ACTTAGCATTCAGTACAGTCTTGGAGCAAGCCTACCCTACGGCCTGTCCGCGAGTCCCATCATACACAGACGCGTTCACATCATGCACGAGGGTCAGAGAAACATTCTGCCCGGGTCACCTGGCAGTCTACCAACATCCGTTGTATAACCTATTCCAGTGTGCATTTAACCTATTTCGTCATTGGATACATAGGAGAATGGCTTTCAGGTCATTCGTACGACATCAGAACATTACCAGTTGGTTCGAGACCAATGAATTACTAATGGTTGCTTGAGACAATCACTGAGCTCGAAGACAGAATTAAACAATTGGCATGGGTTATCTCAGACACCTACATATACAAAACGGGAGTTATAAGTATTGGTGAAACAGTATATTGCCACTACGGTATGTTGGGCTGAGAAAAACACAGACGATGGCAAAGCATCGGTCAGTTTATGCAGGAAGGGCCTCCGTGTGTTTTACCTCACTCCGCTGGGTTCCCCAATCAAGTGGCACGGACCCATAAAGCGACCTTAGTGCTAAGATGATTGTAACCTTCTCTAACATAGGCTACGATAGTTGCATAGTAGAACCTGCCCTTTACGTCTTTACAACTGAAATGTCTTGAAAAGCGACGAAAGTTGATGATTGTTTCATCTTATCTCGACCGTGTGTGTGACATTATTCGTATTGTGATATAATCACAGGTTTCTACATTCCATTATAACTAAGGTCTTATTGCCCGTGACGTTACAAAAAGTTTCTGTGCTGACAACAATCTCCGAGACACACAAACTTAAGGCTATAAACACAACATGGTACCTGTATCAAACACGACGCCATCGAATAACCATTTCTTGTTTGAGTCGTTTTAGCCGCCACCAAACATCTAATATAATTTTTCCCCGCTTAGTGGGCTGTTTTCTTTAACCTTCTTTTCCAGCTTATCCACTGATTAAAAAGCTACAAACCAGTAGCCGTCATGCAAAAACCACTTTACCTCAAATTCGGATAGTCACTCTTCAGTGCGAAGCGATTCGCAGCACCAAGTTGCCTATAATGGCGGGTTCGAACCTAGTGTTGGTTTGATTGTGTTTCTAAGTACGTCAGCCTCCGTGCTCGTGGTGAACGTAATCAGATCCGTATCACCATCCGGCTCAAATTTCCTTCCACAGCAAGCTGACACCCAGTGACACCGTTAGACGCCATTGGTCATAGCTAAATAGTGTGTAGCTCATTCTGACTAATGGTTACGTAAATGTATAAATTGTTAGAAAAATACAACTTTGGATTTTCACTTGTCTTGAACTAACGGACAATCGTCCGAGTCTATCCATGGTTGACATTACTGAATACTGTTAACAACTGGCGTTAATCTCCAATCACTCACTCACTTCACATTCCTTGCCACGCAACCGCCATGCAGTGTCATTAATGAATACTGAATATAACGTTGAAGAAGAACAAGTTGCATTGATTGACAACTTGTTTACTGCAATAGATCCGACGTTTTAGCGTAGATGCTAACGCCATAATGAAGCAGGTGATCACCGAAACGTCGCCTCTATTGCAGTAAAGACATTGTCAACCCATACTCGTTCTTCTTCGTCCTACAAACTTCCAGTCTGCCATACAAGCCCTGAAACAAATATATCCAAGAAAGCCCCTACAAGTCTAGTTTATGTGGCAAGTCTAGATTTCCACAGTTTCTGTAAATGAAAAAAGTGTCTGGGCTCCTTTTAATTATATTTTATGATCATAATATAGGAACTGTTTTTCTGTATAATATGTTTATTTCAGAGATGTTAGTCTAACAAACTTGTAAATGCCATGTAAACAAGAACAGATCTTTCTATATTTTTGTCCTGCACCTGTGTAAAGTGAAGCCTGTCACTGAAGCACTAGATCCACCGACGTCATGGCCGCCCAAACAATGTTGTGAATGACGTCACCATGTGAGGTCAGTCAGTACACTTTATCTCCTAAGTGTGTATACCAACAGGCTACGTGTACAATGCAGTATAGCTCATGAAACAATACATCTACAACCTACTCGCCACAGTAGCTACCAACAACACTACGTGTATATTGTTGTGCATGCAACACAGCGTGTAAGTTGCTTCTCCAATCACACAGTCATTATGAGTAAATTCCCCTTGATAGAGTGTGTGTTCTACTGTCTGGTTTATGATGTCATAATATTGTTACATAAACACTCTCATTCACGATCTATAGACAATGTTAAGCTGACAATTATACTCTGTATAGATAGAGCTGGCGTAAGATCGTAGTGTCAAGATAACCACAGAAGTACCGCTAAACAAAACGGGGGGTGGGGTTGGATCAGTCGACACTGCACGGTATCCACCTATAAATACTGCTACGGTCAGGTTCAATCGTGTCAGATTGCACTGGACGCTCCTCTCGGGGTATTTCGGATCGTTACGACACTACCACATCACGGTAAGTCGCAGAATGAACTGATCGTCATTATTATATGTTAGATAGGTCTGAGGACATTTTGGTGAACTAATGTGTTAAAAAGATCTAGGGGTTTAATCAACCATAATCTTTGATGCTGTCGCAATTGGCAAATTAAAGATCGGGTGGTCAATATCTGTGACTTGGTTAATTTGCGTGGATCATCATCATTCACTTCAGTTATGACAAGAACCGGGTTAGAATTGATCTTCAGCAACCAATGTTTGTCGTAAGAGGCGACTAACGGGATGGGGAGGTGACTTGATTGATGCATTTCATCGTATCTCAGATCGATGTTTATGTTGTTCATCACTGGATTGTCTGGTTCAAAATCGATTATGTACAGAACGCCTCCATGCAGCTGGAATATTGCTGAGCGCGGCGCTAAACACACACAAAAAAAAACAAAAACGGATGAATTACTTTCATGCTCCCGTTAGTATATGGAATATTTATGAATGCAGCGTACGCGCACGTGCGCAGAGATGCATCCAGTTATGTACGGTGTCAACTTACCTAAAGTTCTGCTCAGGAAATGTCCCAAATATGTGTAACAACTAGGGTGATATGGCCAAGCACTCCTGGGTAGGAAGGTGATGTGAGGCTGACCATGCTATAAGCTAAGCAGGGTTAGATACATCCTTTTCTTCAGCATGTGTAACGTTTAATCAACAGGAATGAAGAAGGTTTTACTTGACATCCTTTGTTTTAGGGACAATGTGCAGCAACTGTTCTGACAAATGAAACTGACACAAGGTGTTACAAATACGTGTTACTCTCGCCGTGTCAAGTGTTGTTTGAAAACTAACTGTCACATAGTTGTACCTAATTAACACATGTGCCTAATTAAGAAGTCCATAGTCCATGTGAGACCGCACAGGTGGCCTTGGATTTTAGCTTTAAGAAACGATATGTTGCAGACAGACAGACAAGTATTTTATTAGCCTCACCTCAAATGTGGTACATACATTACATTGCATTAAAACATATATACATAAAATACCTTGAGCCACTCCGTTAGGAGTTGTGAGAGACTTTTCCGCGAAACAAAGTTGGTCATACAAATATACATATATACAATTAAGAGCAATTTTCATAGAAAATACTTTTACATTTATCTAAAATAAGTTTGCAGGCTTTGGCACTAAACACAGCACAGTCTCCTTTGCATGCTGTATCTTCCGAAAAAGATGTGTTGTGAAAGAAAATTGTGCAGAAATGCTGTGGGCTACGAATCACCGACTTATAAGTATAATGAATATGTGGAATGTGGAATATATTAAGTTTTTATGATGATATCCCGCGACATTTTGGGATAAATTGTCATTATGGAACACATAACAGTTGTGAAGTTTGGGGGCAGATTTTGCAAATATCAAAATGCATTTTATAGAAAAGGCTTCATTTAATCCAACCAAACAGATTATACACATACATTATATGAAAAAAGGTTGGCCACCTCAAGACACCCCCCACCCCCACCCCACACAATTACACACTCCTTTTGTCAATGCAACATTTTATTGTACACTTAATGTCAGCTCCGAATATAGTTCAAATAAAAGCGGATACGAGCAATCTACGTTCCAAATAACATTGCATCTGTTCTAAAATGTCACTTTTTATGTAAGTCGCCCTTTCCCCAACATCGGTCTATCGGACACCTGGACTTATAACACGTCACGGTAACCCTGACAAGCAGTCATCGAATGGTCAGAAAGCTATACACATACTTTGTATTGAATGACCTATATTTTGAAATACGCATCAGCGCTAAGGCTTCTGAAGAGGCTCATCCTGACCCATGTATTATTGATTCGTCAGCCTTCTGACCCACATAAAGGTGGTTGACCTATATGCTGAACACATAGCCCCCTCATTCGCGTGTATCTTTATAATATGATCAAGAATGACTTAAATAGGTCGACACAAACGTTTTTGCTGAGCCAGCTAAATGTTTAAAATAGCCCGGCGTTAGCCAGCGTGAATACTATTAGATTACTGCTATGTAGATTTCGGCAAACAGGTATCCTTTCTGTTTCTCAAAAAAGAATCACGTATTTTTTCCTAGACTATGACACTGAAGTTTTTAGGCATTCTCAGTAGGCAGTCTCTCCGGTTCTTACCAAAATGCAAAATAAACTTGCAAACAACAGCTAAACAATGGGGCCCCGCCCAGGTGCATATATTTATCATCGTATCAAGAATAGAACATTGATTAATGTTCGTCTGAAAAAAATCTCCTATGAAATTGACACTTGTTGCGTAATTCACCCTGCTTATATAAATACAAAAAATGACTGCTTAGATATTGCTGACATGCAAGCTTTAAAAATAGCCTGTGTTAGTAAACAGAACTGCCGAATCACATCGTCAAGCATTAGTGACCGCTGGGTCAGCCATCCGGGCATCAGCCACAACTGTCAAAATATCAGCCAATTCGCACGTGATATAAACATTACCACGCGCTGGTATTGCCTTATAGGGAACGTGGTCCTCATTAATATTCATAAGATATCCATATATGACAGGTGATCCCTACGCAACAGCCAATGAAAACCTGCCAAGCTCAACGTAAACAGAAGATGACGACACAGATTCGCGACTGCTCTGCTTAGACGCGATCAGCTGTTTTTGACAGAGAGCGACATTAACACAAAAAATACATTACACAAACTTCTCCTGAGACCTGGGTTGAAACTTATATTGAAGCATAGATAAAAAAGGAGCTCATACACAAGGTAAGTGTACATTATCTTGACGCACAGTCATCATTTCCCCAAATTTCTTTGTTCACAGCTTGCAAGCGGACGGCCTTCCTCCATTATTCGTTTCTCTGCGCCAGTTTGTCCGAAGGGTACATCCCTTGGAGAAAGATATTTGCGACGAATTGTTAGTGCATATCGTTGAACTTTGTTTCTAATCTGTCAAATAGTGTATTGATGTAGTAAAAGCTGAAGGTTCAAGTGAATAATTCGGAGAGCCAAGGTGAGTTCTCGGGACTCAAGGTCAGCAATCTGAAATTGTCAATGTTGATAGCGAAAATTCTCTGACAGCGCTTATTGGCAGCCTTTCCAAATCGATCATAGTATGAATTATATTGATGCTAGGTCCAAAGGTGGTTTTCTGCTAAGGAAATTCAAGCTTACTATTAGTCAATCTGATATTTTGGAAAATTATAACGAAGGTGCCACTCCCACAGTCCGTTTGACAGAATGACAGCCGTCATAGATGATTGATTTCGCCCTACATTCTGGTGAAGTAGCCTAATTATGTTGTCTTTAGTCAGACGAACTATTTCTGATTCGCAAACTGAAGTCCTATGATATACATCCTGGGGCATCCTGTATTGGCTTATCGCAAATGGACAAGACAAATATTCAGAGTATCGTCCTGCTTTTCGCTTAATATTGGCCTAACATCTAATATTTTCCTTATTCATTGTGTGCTATATCCGCCAAGAGTACCTGTAAATGACGCTTTGTCGCCCTAAAATGTAAGTCAGTCAGTGGCTAGTCTCATATGATATTTGTGAAACGAATGCCAGGGCAGGGATTGCATACATTTTCAGAGTACAAATAAACGATCAAACGTTGATCGGAATTAACATCTATGTTTAATTTTCCCCTGACCTTTTCACGAGAATATAATAATGAGAAACTATTTTGGATTTGAAATACATAGACAATAATGAACGGCGCGCGCGATAATCACTTGCAGGTCAAAGGTCATTATATGTGGAAGCGTTCGCTCTGCGCGCTGAACTGTCAACATTCATAATCATGCCTCGAGTTCGTAAGTCCGCAATTGCATTTCGTCACATTTTAAAAATAAATCTGTACGTGCCATACAGCTCTGTACTGTAACGTAATGTACAAAGCGACGCGAAGTGTTGCAATGGAAGAGAAAATGTATGCATGCCGACGAGACAAAAGACACTTCTGTGCCTGTAGCGGCTGTACTGCAGTACCGTCGCTTGTGGTTGACAGTTGGACTAGGCTTCAAATTTCATCTCAGTACGTGTAATCATTTATGTCATAACTAATTCTGTCTTGATTATCGTCAGCCATTGAAATACATGACCCAGATAAGTGTTAATATCCAAACTGATATAGGGACTCACAAACCGATAGCACATCACCAAGACAATGGGATTTATTTTGGCAGTTGTTCCTTTATTGTTTACACGGCCCAAACTGGCCGGTTCAAGGGAAGTAACTCGTTCCTTATGGTGTTTCACAACCACCTGTCAATGTTGCAGAATGTCATTTGTGTGTTTGTGCGTGAATAGTGGGGGTAATGTTCTATTGTGTAAATGAGTTGACGGCAGCAAGTGTGAAAATAATTCACAGGTAATAAGTTATTGAATTAGTAATGCTAACTACATCAGCTAAACTCCAGCTTAATCGTTCTGTTTCAGTATTTAGAATAGTATGTCTCTTCATATTTATTTACTTCATTAAAATGAATTCTTTTTGTCTGTTCTCGAAATCATTTATAAATACCTTTCGAATACAAATTACAATTCTTGGTTCATTTAAGAAAGCTGGGAAATATTGTACTTTCATTGATCTCCTGTTCTGTTACGCTTCATTGTTAATTATGTTCAGCTTTTTAAGAATTGTATGACTTTGTGAATCATTTTACATGAGATATTTGCCATCTTAATATTCTAATGAAAATGCTACTTTCTTAATCAAGCAAGTGAGCAAGTGAAGTATCATTAAGCTGTTCCTATTAATGGTGTGAAAAGTAGCCTTTATAATGAGGAATTTGTCCAAGGCATTTAGTTACAAGGTTTCTAAGTCTTCCATTTTTAACATTAGAACGATATCATGATAGAATGGTCAAAGAACATTTATCTGTATTTTTAATGCCACATATTTTAACCTTCAACATTTGGCTAATGAGGGGATTCAATTCTGCAAATCTTATTCTGAACACATCCTATTGACTTGTACCAAGTTCAAATTTTTCAGGTTTGCTCATAATATAAGAAGGTGAAGGGGTCAAATTTATTGTATTTACTGAGCAATGTTGAGAGTGACAAGTATTTCAGTGGTACCATCACATCACCAAAACCATCGGCCAGTTTTGATATTTTGTAACTGTTACTTGCAGGAAAAATGTTCAGCGGTGTCGCCAACCTGCTTTTTGGGAGCTCCTCCACTGAGCCTGAAACTGAAGTGAAGGAAGTTGATGTCCCAACGCGTGATGCTGAACTAGGCTGGGTAGTCGTGGATCTCCCATCCTCGGAAAAGTCCTCCAGTAAGTAGACACTACATGACTGAAGGTGGCTGGAAATTGTCCCCTGTTCCTGCTTTCTGCTTCTAGAATTGCCATGGTAGCCAAGCCTCACATTTCTTGAATTGGGATTCAGGCCAAATAGAATCAAAAGCTCTTCTCATATTTAAAGAATTAATAGTATAATGTGAAAAGATGAACCTTTCTCTTGTTGGTATTAATTGAATCCAAGTCATATTTTGTAAGGTATATCTAAACTTTGTGAGTGTAATTTAATGAATTTGTGGAACTCGTAATGGTTTATCATTATATGGGATTAGATTCTGAGAAAAATATCTATGTATTTTAAAATATATCACACCTGTTTGGTATTCGTTTGTGATTGTGATTTTTTTAATGTATTCATGACATTCGCTATTTTATAATATGAGGAAGTGAAATGCATCTCTCTTTTTTTTTAAATATCAAATGATACTCTTTGGCCTGGACACTCCCAGATTGTAATTTCATAGCAAGAACATGAATCCTGCCTTGCAGTAGAGATTTAGCAGTAGGTTTTCCTTCCGTGTACTGGATCACTGTGATGATATCAGTGACCAACTGTCTCTGTGGACACACTTGTCTTGCATATTTTACTGATGCATGACAACATATAATATTTTGTGAGAAGAAATAAGTAGACATTAATCAATATTCCAGTCATATTACACTTTAGACAATCTTTTGATTGCGGTATGTACATCTGATCTCCACAGGGAAATATTTCATTAGCCTAATTTATTTGAAAAAGATATAGCATTAAGTATTATTTAAGTTCAAAGAATGTACAAAAACAAAAAATTGTTCTCTTAACATATACATAAATATATATATTTCTCTAAAAATGCCAATAGCATTTGCTTATTGAATAAAATCTTAGCAGTGCCTGATCATAAGCTAGTTCACAAAGAAATTGATCATTGATTTATTAGCCAATTTTGGCCAGTAGTATGCTGATCTAACTACTCAAGAAGAAATTATATACTAGATTTTCTTTTGACTTGTTTGTCTAAAGACACAGACACTGTTGGTACAATATTTGTAATTGGTGTAGATCTGATGTATACAGTTTATTTGCCTTTATGATCAACTTAATTTATCCTTAGCATTTCCCCCTTTTAGCTTGCTGTCGCTGCTGCTGCTGCTGCTTGTCTCCTGTGTCACATCCCTATACAAATTGTGCACTTGTTCACATTTGGTCATTTTGTTTACATATCTCTTTTACTAGTGTCTATCTTCATTTCTCACAGTTTTAGATAACCATAAACATTTTCCAGACTCTTTTTGTGTTTTACCCTGTGTTCTGAAAGGTGTAGTTGTGATAGAACATTCATTGTTGTCACATATTTTGTATATTGTAGTGGGACAATTGTGTGGATGTCTATTGTTTAACTAAAACTAACTTGTAATTTTTGGTGTTTGGTGAAAGTTAACAATAGGAAATATATGTTTCTGATAATCAAACATCAGCTAGTTAATTCCTAATTGTAAAACTGAAAATGCAAAATTAACAGTGTCAAAATATTAGTATCAAAGATGAAATGGAAAAAAAGTATAGTCAGTATCTTTAACTTAAATTCAAACTGTGAGACAAAGAAAACAATAGTATGAGTAAGATATGAACTAAGTGTTTGGACAATAAGTGCACATGGACGATGAGAAGCTTGTATCAGTTACTGTTAGACTTTATCTGACCTGTTCCAGATGAAGGTGAATACAGGCAGCAGCAGCAGCAGCGGCAAGGGGGTGAGTGCCCACTTCGCCCTCACCACTGTGAACTAAGGGTACCTGTGGAGATCCCTGAGGGGGACAGCAGCTGTCCGTCCGACCCCGAGAGTACAAGCTCGCAAAATCCCTGTAGCCCTGGCTGCTGTAGTCCCTCATCTCACTCCAGTGATGTTGTTTTATGTAATAGAAACAGTATACGTGTTGAAAGTTGGGTTCTAACACCACCACCTTGTTTTACAGGGAGGAGAAAAAGAAACACCGGAGTAGCTGATAGCCCCATGGAAAACTTACTAATTGAACACCCAAGTATGTCTGTATATAATTCTTACGGTGGTGACAGTACCGGTGAACTTAGCAACCAATCAGAGTCTTCCAGTGATGTAGACATGGAAGACGAAAATGTTGCTAGAAGGACTCGCAATCAGGTGGTGCACCAAGCTCCACGTAGGCCACATGCTGTAGCTGCACGTGCAGGGATGCTTGCACATGTTCAAAACGTTAAGATTGCTCAACGAAAACATAGGTTGCAGGACTGTAAGCATATGAGCAAGAAGAGCCTTGAGAAATCCAACAAGGTGAAAGAGTATCAGTCTCTAGGCAAACGACAGAGTCAACGCAACCGTACCCTTCTCCATCTGGTTGTATGAATGGCCGTATTGGCCAGAGGAAATTCTAAAGTCCAGCTCTACCGGTGAAATGTTTCCTCGCCTTGTTTAGAGATTAAATACCCCCAGAAGTTTATGACTTTATGTATATTAGAATTTGTAATTATTAATATTGTTATTTATACACCTTTATGATGTTTGTATTTTATGTATATTGAGGTGAGTAATATGGAAAATAATAGTTATTGTTCAGATTGAAAGTTAATGTCCTTTGCTGCAGTATAAGTCAAGAGTGATGATATCTAACACTTGTGTATGTGTGTAAAAATGAGGGAAATACCGGGAAAAAACCCAGCAAAACAAAAACCCACAAAAATAACTTTTATGAGGTTCCAGTTTCTGTTGTATTGTTTGTTTTTCTCGTGTATGTTAATGTCAAGTTAAAATGGTTCTGTATGTCAAAACAATGGCATATATGCATTATATGTGTATAATGTATATAGTTGGCATATTCCCAATTCACAGCCATGGTGTTCAGAAGTTAACATGTGTCACTTCTGACCCCCTTGTTAATTTGTTTTATGTTAATGTGGTTCAAAGGGTTATTTTTAAAGTTTATTGTCTACTCGAATTGTTACTGCATTCATCATGTTGATCAAGGAAATTTTTAACATTTTTTTTGGTATTACTTTTGTCTAACTATAATATTATCATGTCAACACAAAAGATTCAAAGATTTAGATGAACAACATACATTTTACAGGCTATTTCTACATTAATTTATTCTGGGAGTATTTCATGTCATACACGTATTAAAATATGTAGTTACATTTTTTTATTTTGACATTTATGCATAGTTCTCTATCCATACTAATGAATTATTTTGCTGCATGGGTAGACCAGAGATTGAATGGCATTGAATAAAATCATTTGATATATCAAAGAATGATTGGCCACCCAATACTGACAGATTGACAGAAACACAAATGTCATGATGATTGAATTACTGCTTATCACTGGAGACCAATGTTTTACTTCAGGGAACAAACAAAAGCACAATGTGATTACCCAGACATCAGACAGAATTGTCATTGCTGTGAACAGAGGTCTTGAAGACTGAAACTGTTGTATCCATGTTGCTAAACAGTCAGCACTTTGAAGACTTCATATCATTGAGATATTGATGTGTTATATAAATTCAGGATTTAACCGTTCATGCTTACCTAAAATATTCATGTACAATCAGACAGAATGACTGATACCTCCAAATCAATGTTATTTTTTAGTGATCTGCTTTAGTGAGCTGCTAAATGCCAATCTGATTACCAAGGTGCTTAAGATTGAACACTGCTTGTCAAGTTGTACATAGAACATTGAGTATTACTGCCATCATCAGCCAATGAGTGTACATACCTGTAATATACTGCAAATTACATCATCACCGTCAGACAAAACTGGTGCTAAGTCATCTAGGCACATGGCCCACCCACTTGCAACATGGCCCTCTCTTGTCCACCCATTCAACCTTGTGTGACTGCAATACTCTCTGTTGCAGTCTCCGTCCTGTGTTACTTTCTTGTAGACTAATTGTTACACTGACTAGGTTTAAAGACTTTCTTGTTACCATGTTCTAGTGTGGAAGTGAATATCCTTCTGATGTGTTCGACTCTTCTGACATGTTTGCATTCAGAACTATTTGACAATGTTGGCATCAACTGATTTGCGTTTTGTGTTGACACTGCATGTGAAAATTGTAGATTAAACTTGACATACTACCACTTGTCTTTTTGTAAATCTGTTCTACATTTTGAATTGTTTTAATGAAAATAAAACAAATTTAACTAAATATGAACTGTATGCCTTTATGATGTATACATCTCCTTCAGTAATATGAAAAATTCAATATTTTAACTTAGAAAATACATCACAAAAATATACACAAATAATGTCAGCTGTTTAGTAGAAATACAATTTTCATGTATCTAATTTATATAAAAAAAACATACTTTTGTTTCTCACTTGTGGATTAGGTGTTTGTTTAGACGGATACCAAGCTTTGATGCCTCAAATTACCTCTTGACCTATTTGATGTTTTATTGGCACATGCATGGCGCTGTCTTTAGATAGCTTTGCCCTAAGTGCTGTTTTATGTCCAGTTGTATAGCATTAGTAGTCTGTATCACATAGTTGCAATGTAGATGATATAAACAAAAAAAATAACACTGCATCACTCCCGGGAAAATATGCAGCTGTACTTAGGATACACAAAAAGCAGTAAGAAATTACTGTTAGGGTCATCTGTTAATAATTTGGATTACAGCATCATTAATCTTTTCCATCCAACCTGTCCAATAGTTCCCCTTAAATGATTCAAAATGCCTCCCGCCTCATGCTGAAGGCATGGTGATGAGAAGACCTTGTTAATATAACTACCTCCAAGGGATCTAAGTGGCCATCATATTTTCTTTTTGCTCCTTAGCATCTTGCACTGTTTTCCATGATATATCTACTATGCTGTGAGAAGTGAGTTTCTAACTGATGGACAGTTAAGTAGTAAGACCTTCAATTCGTTTTTAAGCATTTCAGTTTAATGTGACAATAAGGATTCCTCTCACCACCAATCAAACAATGTCTGATGTAAAGATACACCATGGCCGATGATCAACCTAGCTTTATGAAATGTGAATTTACATTACAGTGATGTTAAGCCAACTACTCTGCTGTTGCCACTTGTGCAGCAAGCATGACCTTACTATGCTGTGTGCACCTGTGCAGCAGGCCTTATCTGTTTACTGATCTGTTGTTGACAGTGAGCCAGCTTGCCACTGTTGAAGTCTTATCTTGCTCGAGTCACCCTGTGACAGCTGTATATAGACACCTTGTATCATACTGATGTTATGGCTCAATATGAACTATATGAAACTGAAAGGCAGCTTTTCCCCATTTGTTGTTAAGAGCCTGTTTTTTTAATTAGAGGATTCTGTATGATATCTCGGGCTATTAATTTTGCTGTAAGCTGAACATGTTGATGAGGACATTAATGCAATTTGTATTTATTCATAACTGTCATACTGTGTATGTGTTGAAGTTGTTACTCCTGTGAATGATCTGCGGAGAGGCAAGAATGTTTGTGTCTGAGTAGCTGTGTGATGCAGGTTTACAAAAACAGTAATAAACTTCTTCTTTTCAAGTTAAACAAATTGTTTGTTGTATTTATATACAGTGAGTGTAAGCATTAAAGAATAACGTATGAGGAATTTAGTTTGTGCTGACACATAACCTTGATTATCCAATATCTCCTTTCTGTTACAGTACCCCAGCCACATCAGCATGCTTTTGACTGTGATGTCACATTGCCATCTCTCTGATCACTAACTTCACAGAGACTTGTGCACAGAGCTCGAAATAAACAACCAATCAAAATGCCACTTCTGAAGGCACATTCTGCACAGCTATTGTCATAGCTGCCACAAAAGCAATCATAAAGACATTTAGCTGGTAAAGATATTCTCCTGAGTAATGAGACATGAGGGATGTCCTTTTGTTAAAAGATGTTCGAGTTGTATTTGAGACACTAGTAAAGTTTGAATTGGTAAACACACTTGTTTCAATCATTCATTTTAACTGGGCATTTATTTATCATAAATCAGACAATAGAGTGATATGATGCTTATTATGGAATAAGAGATTTCAGGGTTTCAAATCTGTAACATTTTTTTTTAACCAAGCCGATCGCAGCCTGTACCCACATTCTTCTTACAGTGGAGATTTGATTGATACACTTGGCAAACCTTTATATGATCGATATAAGTAGTCCGTCTGAGGAACACATTCATGTAAATAATTTAACCACAGAGAAATAGGATGAAACTTTCTTGATGCTCCTGGAACGTAGTCATAGAACTCTGAAATTCAATATTCAGACTTTCATTCCCTTCATTCTACTATGACTATGATCAAACAAGTATTTTGAAATATTTCCTGTGAAGAGCAGCTAGGAAGGTTTTGATAATTTGGAAATGGGTGAACTCATAAGTAGAGCTGCAATGGTTGACATATCATTCCAGAGACATTTTATTTGAGATTAAACTTGTATATTGGAAATTGTGAATCCTTGACAGCATGTAGAGGGGTGTGGAACTTATGTTTATGGTTGGGTTAGCTTGATATTTCCTCTATGCTTGTGAAGCTGAAGGCTTTTGCATATACTGGTTACTCTTAATGACGGTCACAGAATTCCAGTCTCACTCTAACACCTTAAACTTTTACAACATGAAGCTGATACACGTACTTCATTTCCAACATCTCTGAAAACTCTGGGCATACAATTCTCAACAGTTTATGATCAAGGTCTCTAAAACCTGCTCAAAGAATTCCTATTCCTAATTGCCCAAGGTCACTTATGTTCACATAAAACATTGCTCAGGTTCAGGAAACTACAGATCAAGCCATTTCTCTAATCAGTAAATGAATTGAAATGGCTTGTAAACAGTTTCATTCAGGAAGTATTGTACGTAAGGAATAAAGACTCCATATTTGTAATAAAACCTAAGCTTGTGACAAGGACTTCCTGTTTCAAACTGTATTGTGTCTTCCCAAGACAGCTGCCCACATCAGACTTTCTGTTTCAATGTTACTGAACAGGACATAAGATTTCCTCAGTGTGAAAAGCAAGACCATTAAAGCTGTCATGCTTTGGACTTAGTCTGCTATCACTGTGACTGAAAGTGCACATCTGACCCTTCACTCAGCCAAATACTGATGCATCTGTGTATAATTCAATGTACAGTAAGCAAAGGTTATTCCGAACTCAAAGAGGCCACTAATTGTAGTTCGGTATAACCATAGTTTGTCATGTGGATTTCAACCAAAATATACAGCAAGTAGGCAGGGTCCCCGTATTCAGTGTTATATCCATCAGTTTGTTGTAAGTGTGTTCGTTATAAACAAAGTGTACTGTACGTGTGTTCTGTCGTGTAGAAACTTCTGATAATTACTTTTTGCACATTCTTGATGATGATGCTTCCTTATCTAATTCTAACATTTCAGATATGGTTTATAACAGCGATTGGGTCGAAGGTATTTTTCAAAACAAACATGAGACATTAAGGATGATAATGAATCTGTGGAACTACACCATAGACTATTCAGTGCATCTACTGGTGGGCTTTGAGTGGGTGTACTGTGTCAAAGTGCTGTATCCATGTTGTACTGCTGCAGGGTGTTGGGCTAGAACATGAGATAAGTCTGGACTAGAACATGGGATAAGTCTAGACTAGAACACAGGACAAGTCTGGACTAAAACATAGGACAAGTGTGGACTAGAACATGGGACAAGTCTGGACTAGAACATGGGGCAAGTCTGGACTAGAACACAGGACAAATCTGGACTAGAACATGGGACAAGTCTGGACTAGGACATGGGACAAGTCTGGACTAGAACACAGGACAAGTCTGGACTAGAACATGGGACAAGTCTGGACTAGAACATGGGACAAGTCTGGACTAGAACACAGGACAAGTCTGGACTAGAACACAGGACAAGTCTGGACTAGAACATGGGACAAGTCTGGACTAGAACACAGGACAAGTCTGGACTAGAACATGGGACAAGTCTGGACTAGAACATGGGACAAGTCTGGACTAGAACACAGGACAAGTCTGGACTAGAACATGGGACAAGTCTGGACTAGAACACAGGACAAGTCTGGACTAGAACATGGGATAAGTCTGGACTAGAACATGGGACAAGTCTGGACTAGAACATGGGATAAGTCTGGACTAGAACATGGGACAAGTCTGGACTAGAACATGGGACAAGTCTGGACAAGTCTGGACTAGAACATGGGACAAGTCTGGACTAGAACATGGGACAAGTCTGGACTAGAACATGGGACAAGTCTGGACTAGAACATGGGACAAGTCTGGACTAGAACATGGGACAAGTCTGGACTAGAACATGGGACAAGTCTGGACTAGAACATGGGACAAGTCTGGACTAGAACACTGGACAAGTCTGGACTAGAACATGGGACAAGTCTGGACTAGAACATGGGACAAGTCTGGACTAGAACATGGGACAAGTCTGGACTAGAACATGGGACAAGTCTGGACTAGAACATGGGACAAGTCTGGACTAGAACATGGACAAGTCTGGACTAGAACATGGGGCAAGTCTGGACTAGAACATGGGACAAGAACAGAACATGGGACAAGTCTGGACTAGAACATGGGACAAGTCTGGACTAGAACATGGGACAAGTCTGGTCTGGACTAGAACATGGGACAAGTCTGGACTAGAACATGGGACAAGTCTGGACTAGAACATGGGACAAGTCTGGACTAGAACATGGGACAAGTCTGGACTAGAACATGGGACAAGTCTGGACTAGAACATGGGACAAGTCTGGACTAGAACATGGGACAAGTCTGGACTAGAACATGGGACAAGTCTGGACTAGAACACAGGGACAAGTCTGGACTAGAACATGGGACAAGTCTGGACTAGAACACAGGACAAGTCTGGACTAGAACATGGGACAAGTCTGGACTAGAACATGGGACAAGTCTGGACTAGAACATGGGACAAGTCTGGACTAGAACATGGGACAAGTCTGGACTAGAACACTGGACAAGTCTGGACTAGAACATGGGGCAAGTCTGGACTAGAACACTAGAACACAGGACAAGTCTGGACTAGAACACTGGACAAGTCTGGACTAGAACATGGGACAAGTCTGGACTAGAACATGGGGCAAGTCTGGACTAGAACACTGGACAAGTCTGGACTAGAACATGGGATAAGTCTGGACTAGAACATGGGACAAGTCTGGACTAGAACACAGGACAAGTCTGGACTAGAACATGGGATAAGTCTGGACTAGAACATGGGACAAGTCTGGACTAGAACATGGGACAAGTCTGGACTAGAACATGGGGCAAGTCTGCACTAGAACACAGGACAAGTCTGGACTAGAACACAGGACAAGTCTGGACTAGAACATGGGATAAGTCTGGACTAGAACACAGGACAAGTCTGGACTAGGACAAGTCTGGACTAGAACATGGGATAAGTCTGTCTGGACTAGAACACTTGGACAAGTCTGGACTAGAACATGGGACAAGTCTGGACTAGAACACAGGACAAGTCTGGACTAGAACATCAGGACAAGTCTGGACTAGAACACAGGACAAGTCTGGACTAGAACACAGGACAAGTCTGGACTAGAACACAGGACAAGTCTGGACTAGAACACAGGACAAGTCTGGACTAGAACACAGGACAAGTCTGGACTAGAACATGGGACAAGTCTGGACTAGAACACAAGTCTGGACTAGAACAAGTCTGGACTAGAACACAGGACAAGTCTGGACTAGAACATGGGGACAGAAGTCTGGACAAGTCTAGACACAGGACACAGGACAAGTCTGGACTAGAACACAGGACAAGTCTGGACTAGAACACAGGACAAGTCTGGACTAGAACACAGGACACACAAGTCTGGACTAGAACATGGGACAAGTCTGGACTAGAACACTGGACAAGTCTGGACTAGAACACACAGGACAAGTCTGGACAGAACAGGACAAGTCTGAAGAACATGGGACAAGTCTGGACTAGAACATGGGGCAAGTCTGGACTAGAACACAAGACAAGTCTGGACTAGAACATGGGACAAGTCTGGACTAGAACACTGGACAAGTCTGGACTAGAACATGGGACAAGTCTGGACTAGAACACTGGACAAGTCTGGACTAGAACATGGGGCAAGTCTAGACTAGAACATGGGATAAGTCTGCACTAGAACACAGGACAAGTCTGGACTAGAACATGGGGCAAGTCTGCACTAGAACACGGCACAAGTCCAGACTAGAACACGGGACTAGTCCCAGTCTAAGTAAACTTAGGCTCAGTATTATTCGTTTTAGATGACACGACCTTCTACCAACCTATGACCGTCCAATCAAACTGAGATGTCTGAACAGACTTAACGAATCAGACAACGGCTACTATTTAGTATTCGCAGGACTTTTTCAGTTCCCTTTCAAAATCACTAATGACTAGTTTAATCTTTTCAATTCTTTCTGAATTCAGTTCGAGTTTATGTGTGAAGAGTTTTTGGATTTTCTCTTCCCTGGTCACTCAAGAAACGAAAATCCGCACAGATATTTGATCTGCAGTATATATGCTTAGGGGTTTCCGATGATATGGTTTCCGACTGTTTACTCACTGTTGTGAATAATGGTGTCCTCCATGTGTATCACTCGGAAGCGATCATGTGAAAAATAGCATTTGGAATCCTTCGAGTACAAACGTTTTCAAGGTAAAAGTTCAAACGGTATGTGTGAATGTTAACTTTCGTGATTTGGTAAGCTGTGTTCTGATTGGTCAATTCAAAAGGTTAGCTGACGCAACCTTCTCCTAGGGTTTGTTAGACTCAGTATAGCAGTGTAACGAATAACACTGAGCCAAAGTTTACTTAGACTGGACTAGTCCAGGCTCGAACACTGGACACATTCGGACAAGAACAAGCAGACACATCACAGTCACCTCCAACCCCATGTTACATTACAATCATGATTGCACCATACAGACTCCAGAATAAAGTTGAGTTGATGAAGAATGATGACAATATTTTTATGGATATACAACTTCTTTATTCAGAGAAAGGAGACGTTTCGACATAGATTCTAATGTCGTTTTCAAGCAAGTGTTGACATCACTTGCTAGACAACAACATTAGAATCTATGTCAAAACATCGCCTTTCACAGAATAAAAAAGTTGTATATCCATAAAAATAGTCGTCATTCTTCTTTATTGGAAATAACAACAACAGAATTTAGCATGAAGTATTTTTATCAAACAAGTTTCATGGCAGTATCTTGCATAACAATCCATTGCATGGAGTAGTACCTCATGTGATCTCACAGCCAGATATAGCAAGTTCCAGACCATTATATAACATGAACCTGTAACCTGGGTCACAGCCTTGATAAATAGTGACAGTTTCCTAATGGAACATATTACATCCCAAATATATGTACATTGACACAAACAATCATGAATATCCATTCAACAAGTGCCATTCATGCAGACAGCTGTAACACTGCTAATGGCCATCTGGTGCCTACTGAGCCTATTTAGCAGTAGGCAGATAATCTCCGTAGGGTATAAGGAGGTCTTATTGGGTGCAATGTGAAACATCCTAATCTTCCTGCTTCCAGATTTTCACAGGAAGCACTTGTGAATGTATTATACATAAGGTGATGAGTTCACACTGCAAACTCAAGACAATCTGGTGGTAAACAAGTTATACTGTATCCTGACTTATGCTACATGAGACATGGCATTAAACTTTTATGGAAACAGGAACATTTATCAAGATATTTGAGAAAATATAAATATGTAACATTCATAAAACTGTCTTCAGACTGGCACAATGTGCTCAGTTCACGGTTACTTCATAGCTACCCAACAACATCACACACAAGAACACCTTTGGCTATAAACAAACATTGGGAAGTATCACAGTTACCTTTGTACCCCACCTTTAACCATTACTACTGAAAATAACCATGTATAATACCATCAACAGTCAACATTGAAAACACCCATATTCATGGTCAACACAAAAAGGTCATTTCAAAAACATTGTGAGCATGTCTGTTACTAGTATTTCATTAACTTATTGAAATCATCGTCCAATACCATACCTAACATGTTACATGTGGCCCCGTTCCACAAAGCGATCATAGCGCTAAGATGATCATAACGCTAAGATGATCGTAACTCCCATTCTTTAACATAGACTTACAACAGTCGTAGCGCTACAATCGCTTTGAGGAATGGGGCCCAGGACCTAGATTTTCGAAGCTATCTTAGCGCTAAGATAGCTGTAAGTGCCATACATTGACACTAACTTACGACTATCTTAGCGATAAGAGAGCTTCGAAAATCTAGGCCCTGGATCTTAAAGACACCTCAAGGGGAACCCTGAGTTAACTTTGAAAGCTCAATCTAAATCATTGTTTCTTGTTTTCTTGATTCAAATGATTTGGCTTATTTCTTCACCAATGTTGCTTTGAGAATTTTATTCTTACCAACAATGTAAATGCCACAGAATAAAATGTACCTTTGGGAGTACACCATTTTGGGTGTAGAAGGTGCTCAGAAACAAGAGGGCACATAAACATGATAAACTATCATCAAGATTGCTGTAGTACATCATACAGTTCTCCCCTATGAGAATCATTCACTCCTTGTACTGAGAATCATTGACCGATTACTAAGTTCCAGGTGTGTCCCACAATGTGACGAGGCGTCCTCAGATCTTCATGCAGAGAGGCATTGTATCAGAATAACAGACCTAATTTTGTTGAGATTGTTTATTTTACTACTGTGATTATGCAACACGTTGATGGTTTTTGCTCTGAATTTAATATGAGATTACCCATCCTATCAGTGCTGGTACATGATCTAATTATCATGATATAATCTCTGGTTGACACCAGTGTCAGTGGTTCTGTACACAATGACACCATGGCAACCTCAGGCTCAGAGCAAGTGACTGAGTTTGTTTCAATGCTCTTTTGATCAGCAATTTGATCAGTTTTGATATATGAGCTAGGTGATGCAAATCTTTGACAGTTACCATTTGGAGAAACCCACAAGCACTGGTATTGTGCTGTTAAACCTGGAAACATAGCCTGGGCCAACTGGGGATTTGAAGGTATACATGCCTAAGGGAGGCAACTCTGAACAGGGAATGGCTTTGCTTCAGACAACAGGGCCAACTGTGGCCCCTGTCAGAAATTATACAATGGTAAGTAAATATTTTTGTCAAATACTCCATGAGAAAAGTCATTCACAAACCGATTGTTGTTCTACTTCTCCATAGATGTGAAATCACAAGATCCCACTGTTTCAGGAAGACTGTCTATTACATTACCATGTCTGTCTGCTGGTGCTGGCAACCCTTCACACATCAACAGCGCTGTGAACTGTTCAGCTGCTTGTAACAAACTGAAGGCTTATTGCGCAAGTATCACATGCATATTTCACAGGCATGAGTTGTCCCAGCAATGAAGACACAGGGATGTCCAAACTGGTCACACCATGAATCCATATCTGTGCTCAGCACTTGACTGACCTCATGAGAGGACTCATGTGCAGCTTCACAATCAGCCAGCCAGCCGGATATCCATGTTTCATGGTTCCTTTGGTATGACAGGTGAGGGTTTGTCCATGTGGTCATGGTTCACATTTGGTATGTGGTGCTGAGTCACATCAAGTTGGGGACAATGTGGTGCTTCCTGTGAGTCACATCAAGTTGGGGAAGATGTGGTGCTTCCTGTGAGTCACATCAAGTTGGGGAAGATGTGGTGCTTCCTGTGAGTCACATCAAGTTGGGGAAGATGTCGTAGCTTCCTGTGAGTCACATCAAGTTGTGGAAGATGTCATGCTTCCTGTGAGTCACATCAAGTTGGGGAAGATGTGGTGCTTCCTGTGAGTCACATCAAGTTGGGGAAGATGTGTGCTTCCTGTGAGTCACATCAAGTTGGGGAAGATGTGGTGCTTCCTGTGAGTCACATCAAGTTGGGGAAGATGTTGATGCTTCCTGTGAGTCACATCAAGTTGGGGAAGATGTGGTGCTTCCTGTGAGTCACATCAAGTTGGGGAAGATGTCGTGCTTCCTGTGAGTCACATCAAGTTGTGGATGATGTGGTGCTTCCTGTGAGTCACATCAAGTTGTGGAGGACTGATGGTGGTGAGGAGGTGGGGAACCATTTGCTACACCGTGAAGCGGATTAACCACAGCCATCTTCACCATCACAAACAAGATTTCATGAAAATGTGAAACATACCAGGTCATGAACATGACTGTGAACATATGAACCTCTGCTGTCAATGAACACTTTCTGTAACTGCAGATGCTGTGAACACAACCATGTTCATTAAGGGGGATTCTGGGAACAGGTGAACCTCTGCAGTCCACTGTGAATTACAGCTGGCAAGTTACCAGGATCAGTGATGTTGGAGGAGGGAGTGGAGAAGCACCACCAAACATGTCTTTCCCCCTGCTGTTGTTTTTGGCAGGTTCCTGCAGGACCGGAAGAGTGTGGCACAGGCGCAGCTAGGACACACAGCACATGTCCTCCATGGTGACTCGTAGATCTCCATCCAGCAGCGTCCTCATCACAGCCTTGCCGATGTATCCTGTCGTGCCATGCTTCACGTTGGGTGCCGTATTGAAGAAACAGCGCATGTCATCCTGCTTCTCGCGACCTTCAGACTTGTTCAGGTCACGCTGAAACTCGTCGTACGCCTCCTGGATGATCTGAAACATGCAGAAGTATCACAGTGAATAAGAGATGCTGGCAACATCTTACTTGAAGCAAGGTATAGGGAATGAGCAAATGTTTTATTTGAGGTTTGTCATGGATCCCCATTTTTAATCATTTGAACTTATGTTTATCCCCCAAAGGTTATGAAAATAAGAAAAAGAAAAAGTTGTGACCTTGTCCATGTTGACTGCCTGCTGGAACATGAGCTCTGGGTTCCTCTCCAGGATGATGGACACCACCATGAAGGCCTACAGCACATAATAACACAAGATCATAAATCATGAAACTGCTCCATAACACAACACTATATATCATGAAACTGCCCCATAACACAACACTATATATCATGCAACTGCTCCACAACACAACATCATAAATCATGCAACTGTTCCATAACACAACAGTATATATCATGAAACTGCTCCTTAACACAACACTATATATCATGAAACTGCTCCATAACACAACAGTATATATCATGAAACTGATCCATAACACAACACTATATATCATGAAACTGATCCATAACACAACACTATATATCATGAAACTGCCCCATAACACAACACTATATATCATGAAACTGCTCCATAACACAACACTATATATCATGAAACTGCTCCATAACACAACACTATATATCATGAAACTGCTCCATAACACAACACTATATATCATGAAACTGCTCCATAACACAACACTATATATCATTAAAACTGCTCCATGATAACAAAACATCATAAACCATTAAACAGCATTGTAACATGAAACTCCATCATGACAAAACAACATCACAGATCATGAAAGCGCTCCAGACATCATAACAGGCAACGACAATAACCAACAAGACAACAAATATAATTAAAATTGCGTCAAACCCAAATGGCTGACTATCACCAGTCAACACTAACCTCCACCATGATCTGTCTGTATGAAGGGTCCACAATCTTTGACAGTAAACACTAACCTCCACCATGATCTGCCTGTATGAAGGGTCCACAATCTTTGACAGTAAACACTAACCTCCACCATGATCACTAACCTCCACCATGATCCTGTATGAAGGGTCCACAATCTTTGACAGTAAACACTAACCTCCACCATGATCTGCCTGTATGAAGGGTCCACAATCTTTGACAGTAAACACTAACCTCCACCATGATCTGTCTGTATGAAGGGTCCACAATCTTTGACAGTAAACACTAACCTCCACCATGATCTGTCTGTATGAAGGGTCCACAATCTTTGACAGTAAACACTAACCTCCACCATGATCTGCCTGTATGAAGGGTCCACAATCTTGGACAGTAAACACTAACCTCCACCATGATCTGTGTATGAAGAAGGGTCTGTATGAAGGGTCCTCCACAATCTTTGACAGTAAACACTAACCTCCACCATGATCTGTCTGTATGAAGGGTCCACAATCTTTGACAGTAAAGGGTCACAGTAACCTCCACCATGATCTGTCTGTATGAAGGGTCCACAATCTTTAACCTCCACCATGACAGTAAACACTAACCTCCTCCACCATGATCTGCCTGTATGAAGGGTCCACAATCTTTGACAGTAAACACTAACCTCCACCATGATCTGTCTGTATGAAGGTCCACAATCTTGGACAGTAAACACTAACCTCCACCATCTGTACGAAGGGTCCACATTCAAGGACAGTAAACACTAACCTCCACCATGATCTGTCTGTACGAAGGGTCCACAATCTTGGACAGCATCTGTTCCACCAGGAGGGAGAAGTTGAGTTCATACATCGTCATGTCTGATAGCGTGGGTTGCTGGAAAGTATAATACAACTATTGAGAAAGTGAAGCATTCAACTTCTTCACAGCAGTTTCCTGGATTAGTGTAGATAATAACTTTAGAAAGCAAAACCTTAAAACAACAGGAAGATAAAAGAATGTCTATTGCGACTGACACATCTCATTTCCCAAAATCATTTTGCAGCATCCTATTGTATTAATTTAACACCTGCTTCCATGACTTCTTTGTGAAGCCTGACTAAGAGTTTCCACCTCTTTATACACAAACCTCTTGTGATGTCATCCCTTATGCTGTACAGGATTTTCTCCTTTAGGCAAGTACTAAATGAGTGAGTGAGTGAGTGAGTGAGTTTAGTTTTACACCGCACTCAGCAATATTCCAGCTATATGGCGACAGTCTGTAAATAATCGAGTCTGGACCAGACAATCCAGTGATCAACAGCATGAGCATCGATCTGCGCAATTAGGAACCGATGACATGTGTCAACCAAGTCAGCGAGCCTGACCACCCGATCCCATTAGTCGCCTCTTACGACAAGCATGGGTTACTGAAGGCCAATATTCTAACCCGGACCATCCCTTGAGTTAACATATTAAACCAAAATCTTGGAGTCATGTTTACTCCTGTACAAAACCATGACAGACCGACCTGTGGCAGTAGATAGCCAGCAACTTTGATCCCTCCAGGGGTCCGCTCCAGGATCTCCCACACTCGGTCATAGAAGTCTTTGGGGACACGGTTCAGAGCTCCATCTAACTGGCGTTTCTGAAATGGCGTCCTGGAAGGAACAGTAAAATATTATGTGCATAATTATGATGTCCATAAAGATGTATTGTTTATAAGTTAATATATTGTACTCTATCATATAGCGTGTCCTCATGGGCTATTTTCTAGTTTGGATCATGTTACTGGTGTGACTTCTGTACCTGATGTCAGCCTCGGAGGTGTTGCGGGTGAGCACTGTGAGCATCATCTCCTTCACCTGATGCGGAGAGATGGCGTGGATGTCGAAAGCGCTGCCTTTGTCCTGCTCCATCTCCACTTCGATGGCTCGCACAAACCACCTGCAAGTAGTCACAACATTCCAGTGCAAAAAACACATATGTATGCTGGACAGTTTTCTTCAACTGGCCCAGAGGCTTTAAATTCCTAGTCTTTTAGACTTGTTTCTAATTTTCACCCCCTCCTGATACTGCATACACATGGACTAAAGGCTAGTTTATCCTTCTCCTTTAATGCATGAACATTGAGTAAAAGTCACACCCATCCTCTTCTGATAATAAAATGAGAAATAAAATGTAATTTTTCAAGTAAAAATCTAATTTTTCAAGAAAAATGTAATTTTTATGACAAAATTAATATTTTATACTTATCCTGACTCGCGGGGAAGGGCAAAAGGGAGGTAACTTGTGGGTGAGTATTTATACGTCCGCTTTGGGAACTTCAAGGGATTCAAGTGTTCCACTACCATTCGCAAGGGAAAGGGAGATAAGCAAAAGATCATGAGTCAGGATAAGAAAAAATAGAAGATATTCTCCCACTCTACTAATAATGAACAAGAACCCCCTCCAACTCTCCTGATAATAGCATAACAATAAAAAAAGGCAAGTGTCTCCCAATCCTGGTAATGAAACAAAAAGAACCAAATGCTCTCTCAGCCTCTCCTGATAATGAGTACACAAGAACATAATGCTAGTCTCACCCAATGCGGACCTTGAGGATGCCATCAAACAACTCGGAGGATGTAGCGATGATCTTCCCCAGACACAGGATCAGCTCCTGCTGCAGCACAGCTTGCCGGATGTCATAGGGAAGGCACTTGCCATAGATGATTGTCTTGATTTCATTGGGACCCACAGGCTTGTCCAGTACCTCCTCCTCATGGCCAAACACACCCACCGTGATCTACACACAGAGATGTGAAGGGTTCACTTTTATTTCAGCAGTAGTTAAATTACAGTGATGTACACAAACACAGGCTTCAAATCTTCAAGAAAACTGGCCATGTCCTTTGTGTTTCCATTTGAAGGTGATAGATGTGTTAAAACCTATCCTATATTGTATCTTCCACATTAACTAAACATTAAAGGCCGGGGTGCAAACCTCCAAAACACCCTTGGGTTTCCACTTAGTTTCCCACTGGCTACTCCTCAGCAGTGTAGATGTTATCTGCCCACGAGTGACAGGACTGTAACTGCTATGGGCACCTTCACTATATATTTTGATTGGCATATATGAAGGTTTAAATTTTACTTATTTTCGGAAAATATAATCTTCAACATGTTGATGTCAGCATCAAATAAGTGTACAATCCTAACCCTGCACAGCTTGGGGTCAGGGAAGTGGGGAGGGGATCATTTTCACAGCCTGCCTAAAATATGAAACCTTTTTTTCTGTCGGGCAAGCAAATTCGTACATCACACTGTTCTGGCGTCCAGTTGACTTTCCAATGTTAATTATGTTGTTTATTTAAAAAATTCCACAAGAAAACGGCTGGTATAGAGGAAAAATTTTCAGGGCAAGTGATTTCACATGTGCCACTGTACCGGAGTACACTAGCAATTTTAAAGTTATTTTCACCCCTGAACCCACTCAAAGGCTTGTTTCTATGGAAACACACCTCCTCTGGCCACCTGACTGATACAGTGGGAAATTCAAATATGGATTTAAAAAGGAGAAACATATTTTCAAACTGTATGTTTTGTTGGCTGTCTGCATCCATACATTTTACCATGAGCCTTCATAACATACTTCTTTACACTATGGCTTAATTTCATCATGAACCGGTAAGTCAATTTTGTGATATTTCATGGAATGTACTTGATTACTGCATTGCTTTACATTGAAAGACAGCTTTGACAAGGCAAGGAGGCCACACCCCATGTGTGTATAGGTTTGAATGCCAGCCTTTAACCATCTCTCTTTTCGCTTTACAAATCATAGAGGACAGAGACATGAAATGACATTCTCCACTCAGTTCAAATCCTAAACTGGTAACCTATTCAGAACACCTTTAATTTCTCTGTAGTGAGTGAGTGAGTTAATATTTAACGTCACATCGGCAATATTTCAGCAATATCGTGACCAATTTCTCTGTAAGAAATGAAACTTTGAAACTTATTATTTCAAAAGCAAAATTTTACATTTCACATCTCACAGAGAGTCATTAATCTAAACTTGTAATAACCACACCTATCCTATCCAGTTCCTTCCTGACCAGGAGACCCCCTCTCACCTGTTTCCCCCTGACCAGCACCGTGGTGACCGATGGCGCCAGACTGTCCACCAGTTTGCCCAGGAGTGCGGAGCAGAGTCTGACCACTGACCAGTGTTTGTGAGCCCCCGCCTTCTGCACCAATCTCTCCAGCCTCTCTTCCACTGTCTGGCCCTCTGTGCGGTACAGCGGACCCTCACGCTCATACAGGATCTCCAGGATCTGGCTCTGGATCGTCAACCCACTCACTGCCTTTAGCATCTGACACAGGTCATAGGTGGACCTGGGCACCAGGTCCTGTGAGAGGATCAACACTTGTCAGGTCATATCATCACATGAGCCTACCAGCACAATCATGACATAACACAGTAAGGACGTCATGTTGATACTAATGGTCCTATTTGGATAAGGATGTGTTTCTTTTCCCTCATTGATTATTGCACAGTAAGATATTGTGCATTTTATACCAATATCTTATTCCTGGAACTTTATCACAATTCCTAAACACTCTGCCACTGCCACAAGATAATTTTCTTAAAAGCCAATGGAACTGACCTTCTTATTGACATGGCCATCCTCAACAATGTCTATGAGGCTTGGAATGTCCGTGAGACTCTTGAAGTTGGAGCCCACAGTCTTCTCCTCAAACTTGGTAAATATACCTGGGTCAATCAGTGTGTGGAGGAAATCCAGGTGCTCGATGCAGGCTGACGAGATGAATGACTGAAACAACCAGTCAGGCATATCACCATGTTGTCAGTATACTTGCACTATACATACTTTTTGCATACTCTGTTGTACACATTTTTCTAGTCTTTTGACTTTAGTCCTTTATATAAACATGCTGCATTGATTTCTTCACAAGTCTATTTTGTCAAAGCATTGTTGAACAGGTAGTCAATGAAACTTTAAAACCTTCAACATGACCTGGAATCTTCATGTGAAATACATACTGATCTGGGTGCACAAAGCACCCACAAAGTTGTACAAAGCAGTCTTAACGCTAAGGTGATTGCAACTCATATACCTTATCATATACTAAGACAGCAATAGCTAAGGCTGCTTTGTACAACAGCACCGTGGTATACCCACCTGTAGTCTGCCCCGACTGACGCGGATACCGTAACATATACTAAGACAGCTGTGGCGCTAAGGTTGCTAGCACCGTGGTATACCCACCTGTAGTCTGCCCCGACTGACGGGGATACCGTAACATATACAAAGACAGCTGTGGCTCTAAGGTTGCTAGCACCGTGGTATACCCACCTGTAGTCTGCCCCGACTGACGGGATACCGTAACATATACAAAGACAGCTGTAGCGCTAAGGTTGCTAGCACCGTGGTATACCCACCTGTAGTCTGCCCCGACTGACGCAGATACCGTAACATATACAAAGACAGCTGTAGCGCTAAGGTTGCTAGCACCGTGGTATACCCACCTGTAGTCTGCCCGACTGACGCAGATACTGTAACATATACTAAGACAGCTGTAGCGCTAAGGTTGCTAGCACCGTGGTATACCCACCTGTAGTCTGCCCAGACTGACACGGATACCGTCCACACTCCCCTTCTTGAACTGAGACAGCAGGTCCAGAAACTCCCCGAAGTTATGACCCCTGAAATACACAAACCATGATAAGAGCCCAAGGTAACCCCCCATTACCCCTACATGCCACTACCCCTACAGCTTACAACAACATAGTTTACGGTCTGTTGCACTGGTAATCCCCTGCCTGTTACCTATTCCATACAATGGACTAATCCACTTAAGAGACATAACAACACACAGCTATAAGACTGAGAGAATGATTTTAATGAAGGTTGAAATCATCATTTGTCATCATCAAGATTTTAATAAGGATTAACAATAAGTTGTCATCATAATTAATTGATGAACATTAACAATTAATTGTTAACATTCAATGTACATAGTACAGTGTTGATACCCATAGTACATTGTTGATACTAAACCCCTTTAAATAGAAATATGATTTTTGTCTTAATTCTGTGTATTTATTGCATGTAAAGAAATAATGCACAGCATTTTCGACTGGATGTCCACATGAGCACGAGGGGCTGTCGATGATGTCTATCAAACCTATCAGCATTCAAATCAAATCAGTTTATATAAATAATAGTTTTGTTATATTGTTGTAATATCGAGTTTTTCAATCGGGATAAAGTATCAATATTTTGAATTTCCGAACTTAGGGATTTCCACAGTTTTATTGTATCAGGTAGAAATGATCTGGCATATGTCGTCGGTAAGATGAAAGATTTGTAGATAATTTCTAAACTTTTACGCGATAATCGATATTTCAAACTTCTTGAGCATTTAATCAGTGGGCTAACTTTCGTTTCATAGAGTTTATGTGAATATCCCAGTAACAATTATTTTGAAGGGTCAAGATGCTTATGATTATCTACGTCTTGGTTATCACACCGTTCATTGTAAGATCAGGTTCAGTGCTTCTATTTTGTTTTGTTAGGATTGAATGACACAAAACACTATCCAATTTGTAAAATTGTTCTACTCACTAGAGGTTTATCTTTCATCATGAAACTAATCAACTTTTAGCTGATCCGAAATTTCCTTGACACGAAACACTAAACAACAGCTTAATCCCTCCCTTGATCTCATCTGTATACTCTATGCACTAATCTCTCCTTGGGTCAGTCCATTATGCCAGACAGGTAAATGCCGTGTGTTGTTTTAACTAATTGTAGGGGTACTGGGGTGTAGGGGTAATGGCATGTAGGGGTTATGGGGTACAACCGAGCCCAAGCATCCTCCCCATCCTCCATGTGCTGGTACGGAAGAAACTAGTCAAGCGTTTCTTTACTCAGATAGTATAACGAAACTCCATTATGCTCCTTAACATTACAAGTATTACATTTGAGTCTGACAGGAATAAGCTCTCCAATTACTGATCATTTACGTGGATGTAAATAGTTTATTCTATTCATACATATGAAGCATGTATAGAAATTATGTATGTGGCTGCACAAATTTGAATAAACAAAACATTTTAGAAGGTATACAGAAATGAACTAAATAAATAAATCATCAACAATAACAAGCCAGTGCTATATCATCTAGGCCATCTATGAACCAATGCTAGCCCTAGAATACGGATAAACTAGTGTCAACTCTTCTTGTGTATAGATAAACCTGTGCCATTCATTGGAGCCTTCATATTATCAAAAACAATGATGTGATTCCATCTCTGAATATCCAGCCAATGAAATAAGGCATGGGGCAGTAGGGAAAACCTTTGACCAATGAAATCAAACTATCCAACAATATTGTAAAAAAGTTGAACAATCATTTGGGACATATTACAATCATTTGGGACTGGAAAACATATCTCTGTTACAATTTGGGTAAACAGACAAAAGCATATCTCAAGGTCTGCTATTCACAATTATATCATAATCAGTGTACTTAAATCATGTAAGATTTTCAGATGTCTGTCTGTTCATCTTTGGATATGTATTATAAGATGAAGGACCTGTGGTATTGAACAATGGAGAATTCCCCATATATGACAATACTGGAAGATGTGATGGCGTTCTACATCAGAGTTGTCATATGTAAATCAAGCTATGTTGAAGATGAAATTCACTTTCTTAATAAATGTCCTTTGCACTTTAATATTTGTCTAAAATATTTTAGAAATATACCTTTGTACATCAAAACTACCCACTAAATATGTTTTTTTGCAAACAGTAGTATATCCCATCTAGAAGCTTACTCTAATTACATCAAAGATACCTTAAACTTACGCAAATCTTTCTCATAATTGTTGTGAACTATTGTTGAAACTCACCCAACACTTTTAAAAAACTGCATCATTAATGAACATAGGCCTAAGTCCCCATCTACTAATAAAATGACTAACTTACTGATATGAAAGGTAGCCAACACTTTGAAATATAAAAGGATAATAATCTGTTCAAACATTTCTTTCTGTATCTGTGAGTCATCTGTAATAGCTTGTGTCTGTTTCTGAATATAGTGTAAATTTGCCAAACTATTGGCCACAGGAATCTGCACAAATTATACCAATATTATGAATTACACAATGAATTATGTTTACAGAATGGATACAGGTTCTATGAAATAGCACAATATATGAATACCCCTACAGAAATCAAACAGAATAGGCAATTGGCATCATCAACAGTTCAGCTTCAACCCTCAGGACAGAAATAATGCTGCATATATTTTAATAGGTTTTGTTTTGGATCAAAATGTCCAAATCAAGGCAGTAATAAAATAAAGCCAAATCATTCAAAAAGCTAAGATCTCATTTGCTCAAGGACCCTATATATCCCTCCCTTATTGCCCGGGAAATCAAAGTTAGCCCAGGGTTTAAATGACATGACCTTCTATTCCTTTTATCCTCATGCAAACAGAAATCATAGCTGAATAAAAAAAGATCTCATTTTAATGAAATTAAAAATATCATATGCCTACAACCTGCCACAGTGAGACTTGTCACTAAGATTCTAGCATAAGTGTATAACTGACATTGTTAATTAGGTTTAGGTTTCTTACTTTTCTTCAAATTGGATGTCCACAAAAAAAAAGGAAAAGAAATGTAGGAAATAAGAACAGAAATTTTTCGGTCTTTCAGCGGCATTTCGAAGTTATATATTGATGTCCAAGATATTATTTTATGGATTATGTTGTCATAGTGACGACATCATAGTCTCAACTGTCAGTTCACCCATCTGCAATGGTCCCGAAATGTTGTGAGGAAATAAAAAGACGTTTAATCCATAAAAACATCTTGAACAGACATTTTCCTGTAATAAAATTACTTGTCTAGTGACTGTTTACAGTAGATGAACTACCACATGAAATCTTCTGGCTGTCAACTGAATGCTGTACAGTGAAGACGTAGACAAACCAACATGCCATTATAGGTATGATATAGTATTTGTCGGACATTTCTACTTTAGGACTACCAAATATTTTAAAACACCATGTGCGGCTAGACCTTCATCAAAAGTTCTGCTATGTGAGTGAGCCATTGACATAAAAATGTTAATTAAAACCAATATGCACTCATCTACTAACAGCCAACAACAAAAGCTAAACAGTATTCTGCGACACTGTGTCAGACACATAACAGATGCACACAGTGGAACCCTGCTTATCCGGACCCCAGATATCCTGAAACCTCACAGAACACAGTTTTTCATGAAATGAAATATATACCACATACTACATAATGCACAAAATATACAGTATTGTGTCCCCCTTACTGGACAACCACACATGGCAATGTTTGTTTTGCACATGATCGACCAAATCATCCTTACTTAAGACAACCACAAGCTTACTACTTCTTTTTAAACATTGAAATGAATGGTAGTTGATACAGGATAAATATGTCATACTTTTCCTCAAAATATATACTTAAATAGCAATTAATTATACCAAATTGGAACCCTTATAAATATTTCTTTTCTCTCTCCCTCTACACATAGACAGACAAACAGACAGACACAGAAATTAGTTTCTGATACAAATTATTCTGGCCATTGTGTCAAACTTGTTATTTTATTGTATATATCTACTGAATCAATGGCAGATTGGGAGAAAACATATATTACTGACTGCTATTTCTGGCTCAATGTTGTCTCAAATTTCCTATTTCTAGTGACTAAATTTCTTCTGTTGTTTGTGCCTCAGTAGAATTTGATAGTGAAGTGATTCGGATATCCAGAAATTTCTTTATCCAGACAATATTTGAGCAAATGCAAGTGTCTGCTTAAGCAAGGTTCAACTGTAGTACAAAAACAACACTTCCAGGCCCATCCTTGAGAGGTCATGTTGCCTGAACTAGATTAGCAAAGCAACCTTACAAGTGACCTTGACCTTTGATAAAAGGCATGGACACATTGAAAGGGATATATGTCTTTACTACAAATTGCAGAAAAGTTTATTACATCTAAAACTATCTTTACTAAGAAGGTTCCTACCTCTACAACAAATCCTAACTCACAACAACTACAGCCAAAGATTTAAATATTTTTAGGAGAAGTGAAAAGTTAGTGAGATCTCTGACTGATAGATACCATAGTTTCATGCACCAAAGTCCTTCGGTAAATATACTGTCATAGTTTAAGGTTCAAACTTGTGAGTTATTCTAATCTTTGAAAGACATAATACTAAAAATGACCTTCCACTGTTTCAAAATGGAAAAGTGGACGCAAGATGTGTCAGAATGCCTCATGGTTTCACATAGAGATTCATCAACACAACATACATCAGCCATGTTTTCACTGGCCTGTTTTGTAAGCAGTAAGTAAATTTACTTTGAATGCTGACATGTTTCTTCATCATGAATTGAAAAGAATTTATAGATATGCTGTTGATATTTTAGGAGACAGAAACTTTGAGTTGATATGTTTAGTGTATCTATTTCACAGCAGCCTTATGTACCCATGACAACACAGCCCTGGAGAAGAAGCGGTCAAAAGAGTCAGCATCCTTCCTCAACAGGCTGACACACATCCCTAGCTGCATCACACTGTCTGCCCCATGGGGACCTGGAGCAAAGTGTCCTCAGCATCCCTAGCTGCATCACACTGTCTGCCCCATGGGGACCTGGAGCACAATGTGTCCTCAGCATCCCTAGCTGCATCACACTGTCTGCCCCATGGGGACCTGGAGCACAATGTGTCCTCAATGTGCATCACACTGTCTGCCCCATGGGACCTGGAGCACAATGTGTCCTCAGCATCCCTAGCTGCATCACACTGTCTGCCCCATGGGGACCTGGAGCACAATGTGTCCTCAGCATCCCTAGCTGCATCACACTGTCTGCCCCATGGGGACCTGGAGCACAATGTGTCCTCAGCATCCCTAGCTGCATCACACTGTCTGCCCCATGGGCATCACACTGACCCCATGGGGAGCACAATGTGTCCTCAGCATCCCTAGTTGCATCACACTGTCTGCCCCATGGAGGACCTGGAGCACAATGTGTCCTCAGCATCCCTAGTTGCATCACACTGTCTGCCCCATGGAGACCTGGAGCACAATGTGTCCTCAGCATCCCTAGCTGCATCACACTGTCTGCCCCATGGAGACCTGGAGCACAATGTGTCCTCAGCATCCCTAGCTGCATCACACTGTCTGCCCCATGGGGACCTGGAGCCTAGCATCCCTAGCTGCATCACACTGTCTGCCCCATGGGGACCTGGAGCACAATGTGTCCTCAGCATCCCTAGCTGCATCACACTGTCTGCCCCATGGAGACCTGGAGACAATGTGTCCTCAGCATCCCTAGCTGCATCACACTGTCTGCCCCATGGGACCTGGAGCACAATGTGTCCTCAGCATCCCTAGCTGCATCACACTGTCTGCCCCATGGAGACCTGGAGCACAATGTGTCCTCAGCATCCCTAGCTGCATCACACTGTCTGCCCCATGGGGACCTGGAGCACAATGTGTCCTCAGCATCCCTAGCTGCATCACACTGTCTGCCCCATGGAGACCTGGAGCAGAAAGTGTCCTCAGCATCCCTAGCTGCATCACACTGTCTGCCCCATGGAGACCTGGAGCACAATGTGTCCTCAGCATCCCTAGCTGCATCACACTGTCTGCCCCATGGGGACCTGGAGCACAATGTGTCCTCAGCATCCCTAGCTGCATCACACTGTCTGCCCCATGGGGACCTGGAGCAGAAAGTGTCCTCAGCATCCCATTGCTGGTCCTAACAAGTGAACAAATTGGGAACCCAGGGGGTTTCTGGGTTGCAATTAGTCTACCCATGAAGATCTAGATTAGGAATGATCTTCAGCACCCCCAAATTGGGAACCGATGGAGTTTCTGGGTTGCAATTAGTCTACCCGTGAAGATCTAGATTAGAAATGATCTTCAACAACCCATGCTTGTCATTAGAGATGACAAACGGGATCGGTTTGTCAGGCTCACTGACACATTTGCCACATCATCATATCCCCATTGCATAAATGAATCACTGGATTGTCTGGTGCAGACAGTTATTTACAGATGTTACATATTGCTGGGTTGAGCATTAAACAACAAACAAGCAAATACAACTTGTCACTAGCATGCTATGCTGCCCATAAGAGGTAATCCCTTTAATATGAGAGCTTGATTTCCTGAACACTATCATGACTGCAGGAATAGTTTAACTTCCTTTGTCCTGTATCCAGAAGCTAACCCACAAACAATGTTATCATCCAAAACAGGACTTCCTGTTATTCGCAGTGACATTCAAAATGGCCACTCTCATGTTAAGCTGTAAGACTGACAGTGGCACCAATAAACAGTTTGATCGGGTGCAAAAATAGATTTTGGAATCAATTGAGTTGGTCAAACTTATTTCATTTTCCATAAAATGAATCATGGTGAGTCTTCTTTCATAATTTAAGTAGTGCTTCCAGGGCACATTGAAAATATTCAACCGTGCCATTTCAATATTTACAATTAGACTAAATGTATGTCACACAGATTAGGCACAATTTCAATCCCTGTCAACTATGTAATGTGACCCTCATTGAACCATAGCTTTACAATGTGCACAAATTCCTTATCCTTTAACAAGATGAAATACAAGTGATGGATACTGGCACAACAAACCTGTGTTGTTAACATGATCAGGTAGTCTTTCTGATGAGGTGTTGACATATTTCAACTTCACTATCAAATAATGCAATTCTTAACTCCAAAAGAATATGTAAATTGATGATTTTAGACAGATTAGACAGGGTTCATACAGACAGAAGCTCTCCTTAGCATGTCTAACATCAAGGAATTGTCAAGATGAACCTCCAAGTTCAAGATATTGTCAAGATGAACTTCATAGCTAATGGAATAGTCCCCATGATGAACCTCAAAGCTCAAAGCAATGTCAAGATCAAATCATAAGTTCAAAGCATTGTCAAGATTAACATTTAAGGTCAAGGAATTGGCAAGATAAATCTCAATATTCAAAGTGTAGTCAAGATGAACCTCCAAGACACCATCAAGAACAACTTCTCTGTTCAGAGAGTTGTCAAGATGAACCTTTAAGTTCTAAGATTTGTGAAGATGAACATGAATGAACACTGTTAACTTCTCTCATGTCAACCAGTGAGTGAGTTTAGTATTACGCCGCACTCAGCAATATTCCAGCTGTATGGCGACGGTCTGTAAATAAACGAGTCTGAACCAGACAATCCAGTGATCAACAGCATAAGCATCGATCTACGATGACATGTGTCAACAAGGTCAGCAAGCCTGACCACCTGATCCTGTTAGTCGCCTGTTACGACACGCATGGGTTACTGAAGATCAATTCTAACCCGGACCTTCACAAGTCACGTCAACCAGAGAAACTAGTATTAGTGTATATACTCAAGTAGGAAGAGGGAGCAAAACACTTGCTTATGTTGATAGGTCTGCCTCACTTGATGCTAAGTGAGTGTTGTAAGGAGTCAACATTTAACATACTTTATGACTGCAAAGAAATATAAGCTTAAAAAGTAAGCTATAGATATAGTCAGGCAACCAAATATGACAGCTGCTTGGGAAAATGTCTTCTCAAAGAAAAGAAATCAGCTTTAGGGTATATGGGTAACATAGAAGGCATCCATGGAACAAGAACATGAAACAAACAGAAACAGTTGGACTGTAGGGTGTATCAGAAAACAGTTGGAGTGTAGGGTGTATCAGAAAACAGTTGGACTGTAGGGTGTATCAGAAAACAAGTATCACCCTATCAGCAGAAGGAATCGGAAGCATCACTCTGTTTTATTGATTTAAGGAATATCATAAATGTTGCTATGTGTGGCCAGCTACCTTTTTTAGCATTGAAATGACTGGATTTTCTACCCAATACGTGACAGAAATAGTTCAGCAATATGACAGCTGAGGATATGGTTTCCACACATTCCACCCATGCTGCAACAACTTCCCTGACTTGTCTACTTTACATGATTCAACAACTTCCCTGTCTAGTTTACATGATTCAACAACTATATACAGCGCCAACAACTGAAGAGATTACCACATTAGTTGCAGAGAGGGCTACTGGACACAAGCTGATACCCTGGCAGTGTTAAATGAGTGAGGTGATACACTGGGGCAACTGAGCAGCCATGGTACTATCCATGCAAGCATGTCATGGCATCCTATGTATGTCAGGGTAAGTGGACACAGAGCGACTGGAAGCAAGTCAAACTGTCAAGGATATTACCAACCTTTGCAGCTTACTAACAAAGAGAACATCTAATTAGAATATAGGTACACATCAGCATATGTACATATAATGCAGCTTTGATGGACAAGTTTGTATCAAATTATGATTTTACATAATTCACTTAAATGATTCTTAATGATACATACAAAAGTACAGAAAAGGCTCTGTGAGGATGTGCAAAGGTGAGTTGTCACAGTGCAACTTGTAGTAACATTTTGTGGCATACAACTTGTAGTAACAGTAAAGATTGTAAACAACTTTGTGTAGTTAAGAGTCACATAAACTCATATCTCATGAGATTATCAAGCATTACTTGACAGCATGGATTCGTCAAGTGAAGAAGATACACTAACTGTATATATCAATATATATCAGGATATATATCGCAGTCACTACAAAAGATTAAATAGCTGTGTTTTCACTGAAGTTTCTTCAGTCATCTCTCCCACATGTCACCACAAACAAAGGGACATCACTCTGAGGTGCAAACAGACCTGAGTGATTTGATTGGTTGTGAGCCTGTGACTTTTAGTAGGACAAATCCTACATCATACAGCTCAGCTGTAACTACTTGTATGGAACTTAAAAGGGTTACGATTAGGGTGTTCTGATGTTGCATGCTAGAAGTTGTTACTACAAGTCACACTGTGATAATGCACATTAACAATTACACTGAAACTTTGCCAACTCCAATCTTTGTAAGGCAAGTACTAATACTGTGTGTGTCTCATCTCCACACTACAGGAAAGTAAAAATGTATCTAAAATACTTTATTTGAGAATACAACTGATAAACCGTCAAGTCTTTGACAAGATTAAGAAGTTGGGAAACTTAAACCAATGACACTTTTAGTATGGACAACAACTTCGATAACCTTTGTAAGGGAAAAACCATTTGAATTCTGCAGAGGAGGGTGGGAAGATTTCTAAAATAAACAGTTCATTCGGAAATCTGCCCAATATGAATTGTTTCTGGGCAGTGGAACATTTCTAGTCCACTTCCTCAGGTGTTAAATGAGCAAGAAGTAGTTCTGAAATGTCGATACAAAGAAAAAAGAAGTTGTTATCCATTATACAAAGCGCCATGTATTTATGTTATTAAAGATGTGTAAAAATGGTATTTCACAATCTGATTGTTAATAAGACAAATTAACAGAAAGAGTTACTTCCCTTCTTCAATTATCCTTCCAATTAAAGTGCATATATCTTTCACATGACACAAGAGCAGGATATCAATTCAGGAAGGCAAAGTGCTAGATATCAGGAAAAATAGAAATATGTTTCTCACTTTTAAACAGAAGGTACATTAGAAAACTAGCAGGATGAAAAAACACAAAACTACAAATAGCCTATCAGCACTATGGTACAGATATTACACTGGTAGACACAAGTTTTGATGATCCTCCGGACTTGTAGTCAGTAGGTTTCACTGTTCACCTTCCAGGCAGTGAAAGCACTGTGGCAGCACTACCATAGGGAGAGATGTTCTCAACAAAAAGTGAAGAAAATTTTGGAATAATGAATTTCCTTTGTACTCAGAGAGCCTTTTCAGGAGGTACTTCAGAAGACTCATGTTGTTATCCAAATGTTATTTTCCTGTGACCACTAACAAGATGGCCTGAATGCCTGGCTGAAATAAAAAAAAACACATCCACTGCAATAGAGAGAGTTACGTCTCACCTGATCGAGTTTTCCCTGATCACCATACACCACGTTAGGCGGCCGGACAACTTCCATCGCTTTGACAGGAATGCCAGATCATTCTGCGGGACAGAAAGAAAACTATGACATTACCTCAATTTCATTAACTGTTTTTTAAAGTCAAGACAAAAAATTACAAGAAACAAATTCAAAAGTTAATTCAGTTCTGAACCTCATGGCCCAGAGATCGATTCTCACGATGTCAATCACTGGATTCAGTTATTTACAGACAGATGTCATGTAGCTGGAATATTGCTGAGTGCAGTGGTAAACAAAAACCAAACAGAGTTATCAGTCAGTGATCCAATGTTGTTTTACACCACACACAGCAATATCCAAACTATATTACTTGGGCATGTAAATAACAGCATCTTGGCCACACAGTCCCAGGGGTTTCATACTAACAAACAATCTGCCAAGTCACACACTTTAGTTAGCAAATGAATCCAACATCAAGCATTATTACTGGGAACTTGTGTATCTAAGTCATTGAGAGTTACTTCCCTTGTAGGCAGCCATTGTCAACCTACCTTACAGTCATCCATGACCAGTGAGATGTCTTGAGCCAGGTAAAAGTCGGACAGTTCAAACAAGAGTGGGTAGCAGAGAATGGTCTTGCTGCAAGCTCGGTATATCTGGAATACATTCATATTCTGATATCAAACTACACTTCCATCAGTAGTGACAAAATATTTTATCACAAATGTTTCAGATCCCACTCTTACCTCGTCATCCGAAACTTTGTGGATTATGATGCCCTTCCACAAACATCACACCTTCCTGATCAATACGTATAACAAGAATTTAAGTTAGTGAACTAGGTTTACCTCAGAACACTATAACACCTGTATCAATGCATGTGAACCTGGAGGAAGCCAGATAAGAAGGTTTTAGATGCAATACCTGTGAGTATGTGGTTCTAACAAACCTAGAAATGTAACCCAGGAATAAAGGCTTCTGACACACTTAGCAATGCAACTGTGCACAGTGAACTGTGTAGTCAAGTTCAAGACAAGAGATAGTGAGTGATTGACCAATGGACTTCCTACCTTGGATGTACTGAGAACACCGAACGGACGGGATGGCCTTCCAGTCAGGCCCAGCTTCTTGTTGATGCCCAGATACTCGTAGGCTTTGGTCAGTTCTTTCGGTGACCAGATCTGGATGGGCTCTATCTGATGCGGAGTCTGTCGTCTGGATGCCGTACGTGGCCAGCAGCTGCTGCAACCGGGTGCTCTCCGCAATCAGAACAATCTGGATAATCAGGTCTGGTGGCGTCCCCTAGAAGGAAAACAAACAGAAGCTGACAATACTCCAAGGTCTGGTGGCCAGTTCTCACATTCTGATGTACATAATAAAATACTAGTTAGTAGCCACAACAGGTATTGAATAACTGGAATCGAAGCATGAAAGAACTGCAAGCTGAACCAGGTCATGTCACTCAAAAATCAATAATTTGTTTAATGCCACACTCGGCAATATTACAGATGTATTTAAATAATCAGTCTGGACCATACAACGCAGTGATTTACATCATAAGACACGACGGAAGGGCATGCATTTATGAATCACTTTCAAATAGAACAGTGAGTGAGTGAGTTGGGTTTTACGCTGTTTTTAGCAATATTCCAGCAATATCACAGCATTGTGCCCATGTGGGGAATCGAACCTGGGCCGTTGGCATGACGAGTGAACACTTTAACCCCTCTGCTACCCCACCAACCCACACATAGAGTAACTCACAGTACATTAACTTTGCAGATCAGGGCCATGTTTACTTTGCTAATGACAGATACTATCGTCTTCTTTGATCTCACCTGAAACTTGGAGTACCTTGCACTAAACTTTGGCCTTTCTAGAGCTGGCAGGTATCTCCTGATTGGATCTAACTCATTCACATTCAACAGGCCATCAGCTGAAATGGACATACAAGGTCAAGTTTAAACAGAAATGTCACCATCAAAATTGATAACAACTTCCCTTTCAGTTATTAAAATTCAAATCTGATTTTACATAGAGTAACCTTCAAAGTAAAGTTTCATCGTATTTGACAGTACTTACTTTCAGACAACAGCCTTAAGTTCATTTCAAGGTACTGATAAACCATAAAGTCTAGACCAGTGACAGTTTTCCATTGGTTACATCTGCTGCTGAGTATGTGCATCTATGGGACGTACTGAGTAGCTGTGAGATGAGGTAGACCGCCTGTCCCCACATGAAGATGCCGTCAGTCGACCCCTCCGGGCTGGCCAGCCGCTTCTGACTCCCTGGTTTGCTCTTCTCTAGGTCGATCTTGTCTGCTGGGACGTAGTAGTACCGTGGGATCAGCAGCCCTAGGAGGTCACAACATTAATTACATCACTACCATAACTATATACATGTAAAGTATCACCAACCAAACAGCAGAATCCATAGACGCCATCACTAGTTGTGGATTTCGAGTAGTGAGTGAGTGAGTTGAGTTTTACACTGCTTTTAGCAATATTCCAGCAATATCACGGCGGGAACACCAGATATGTGCTTGACGCATTGTACCCATGTGGGGAATCGAACCCAAATCTTCGGCATGACGAGCGTACGGGATTCAGAATAATACCTCGGTAAAATAAGCCTAATGTCAGAGGTAAGGCACAATGGCCAGTGCCATGATGCAGCTTTTCAAAATTCTATTTTCAACCATTATTATGGCAACACATAAAATGCATGTTAGTTTCTTCTCATCTTCCCAGTACATTCACACATTTGCAATGTTAGAGTGGTAGTCACAAGTCTTGGATATGATAAAGTATACTACTCACACTTTGCCAAGGATCTCAAAATTTAGCAACTTTACTTAAACGTAGATTTATAATTTGAAATTGTATCCATTTAAAACTGGATAAATAATTATATGGTAACATATCTTTAGAAAAACAGCCACTTTAAGCTAACCGTATGCACTTGATACATGAGTAACCATAAAAATGGTTTTTATGGCACCAATCATGGAACGAGTATGGGATCCAGAAGATGCAATGACATATTGAAACCAAGGATCCATGCTTACAATAGGCTTAGATATTTAAACCAAATGTGACCCCACATCATAGTTTACTGTTAACTCAATGATTTGATCCTTAGCAAATTGTGAACAGTATAGTATTGATAACTATTTCCTCTGCTTCACACTCCCAGTTCCCTTCAGGTAACAATACAGGTCCCCAATAAACATATATATCACTGACAACATAGCAACAACGTCAGTGCCTCACCATCAGGACTCTCCACCAGCAGCGGCTTCAGCAACTTCTGGTACTTCTCCGCCCCCTCCTTGTCTCCATGGAAGATGCCTGAGGAACACCACACAGGTCACGGTAACACATCTCATAATAGCATGATATCCTTAGGATTTGCAAATACACTACATTGATTCTCATTGAATTGTAATGAATTCATCCAAGACACAATGTGATTCGTTCCTTCCTCCCATAACAAGAAGAAAACAGTGAACTGCTATCACAGATAAACATGCAAATTTTCATTTTAGCTTCAGCAATTTTTAGAAATCTTGTCTCAATTTCACATAACCCCTGCTCGTCCATCCTCGATAATCTCCAGGGTATACGTTACAATCACTCTCCACTATACCCTGGATGCATCCACGGCTTGGCCCGATAATTATATTACCTCCCTTTGCTGACTCCACATTCTCACAGTAGCCAATCAGCTAAGCCGCCGTTACATCCGACCTTCCAGTGTCAGTCTTGAAGAAAGATATTGATCGGTTATCGAGTTGTGTTCCGGAAATGAAGCCTACCCCTCCCTTTTGAGACTAAGTCCAAATCGTTTCCATGGATATCATAAAAATTAAAAATGCCAAAAATCTGCAAATAGCAAAAGGCACCACTTTGGGATCTGCCTCACATATCTGCCAAGTTTTGCTGAAAGATATTAAGAAGTTTTCGAGTTGTGATCCGGAAACGAAAGCCCACCCCTCCCTTGTGTCCGAATCGTTTCCATGGAAACCGAGAAAATAATAAATCACAAAAGTCTGTAAATAGCAAAAGGCACCACCTTAGGTTCAGTTTGATATACCTACCAATTTTTATTGAAAAATATTGAACGTTTTTTGAGTTATGCTCTGGAAACAAAATGATTACTGACGGACGGACTGACAGACGGACAGACGGTCGGACAAGGCGTCGTTTATATCCCGCCGCCATAAAAAATATATGAAAGAACTGCTTCTACCTCTTTCAGAGTACCTCTGCATCAATTGTGTTGCCAAGTTTAAATGGTTAGATAATTTAAGAAGCGAAAGTGAGTTGTGATTGGTTCACTCAACTTCCCAGCGTAGACACCTGATTGGATAAAAAGCCAGCAAAGGGAGGTAATAAAATCATCGGGCCAAGCTGTGGATGCATCCAGGGTATAGTCCCAGGTGGCATGCCATCATCGGCCCGACGTCGGCTGATAGTCGGCACCGTCGGCTAAAATCGGCATCGTTGAACAGCGCTGGGCCGACAGCAGGCCAATGTAACCCAGATAACACATAACATTTTCAAAACATGTTCATAAAGTTTCAAACTGATTTAACAAAAATATTTTCGTCAAAACACAGTCACAATCTTAAAACAATTCTCTCAACTATTTAAAAGCATTAATTACTCATTTAATTATTAAAAGTTGTTCATGAAGAAAGAAATGTTACCGCTGGAAAGGGCGCCGGAATGGCGTCACACGCCGTCCATATTTTCGCACCCGCCATCTTAGTTGAAGTTTATTGAGGGGGCGGTACAACAATGTCATTGTGCAGCAACAAATGGAACAGTATCATCGATCTGACCTCGGTTAAGGTAAGTTAACTTTACAGTCACTACTACGGTTGTTGTTATGTTTATGTACATTTTGATATTCACTTTCGATCGTGCTACTCAGAAATCGCGATGTTTTGAGCAGCCGTTACCGATCTGTTAGATTCGGTGTTGTTAGGCTTCCAACAGAAAGTATTATGTATGTTGTTGTGAAGGAGACCTAAGGGAGTTTGCACCATATTAATTTTATGTTGGATACAAAATTTTATTCAGCTATCAATGGCATGCAGTATGTTCTTAACCAGAGTTCATGTCAGGCGGACATTTGTCGCTATTACGCTTGGTTTTCGATCTAGTAAGCATATGCACAGCTCACAAGCCAGTGACACTTATCGACATTAATTTTGTTCCATGTTATTTCTGAAATAAATATTTTTAATTTAACATTACACCTTACTATCAAATTTCTAAGCTATGAACAGTTCGCTTCACTTCAGTCGGTGGGAAAAGTTGCATCAAACTTATAACACGAAAATGGGGAATCAAATACTTTCTGGTCCACCTGACTGTAGGCTATTAGTTACTGTCATAGTCTAAGTATCCGTTATTTAAAATGAATGTTCAGTCAGAAATGACCGAAGCATACTTGGTAAGTTACTGTAACACTGACTAAACTAAATGTTGATCATCCGCATGGTTGTTGTGGTTTTGCTTGTCTAACATTCCCACGTTATTTTCAGTAAAATGCTAGGTCTATATTATCAAAGTAAAGTGTTTACATTGTGTATTCTTCAATTTTCCCCAAAACGAATCAGTTTATCATTTTCGGACATTTATATTTCTCTTCTAAACGAGAGCCAGAAATAAATATGTTTCCAGCGCTATAACGGGCTTGGCGATGACCGGTCCTCGGCAATGTTCATTCGGTTTTCGATCACCATGAATTTTCATGATACAGTATTAATTATTCAAATTTACTTAGTCTTTGTTCAGGATATGTAGACCAAATAAATTTATTATGGTTTACTTGGTTCACCGAAACATTTTGCCAATGAGAAAAAAAAATATAGTGATCGAAAACTGAACGAATCTGGTTACAATGCTCGCGAACGAAATCATACTGCAGCAGTAACTGTCCCGCGTGTAAGACGCGTGAATCATGTAGCTAGTTACAATAGCTATTTAATATATCAATTCAAGTTTGTATTCCAGGTTAGAATGTATAGAAGCGCTGTCCAGTAATCCATGTCTGTTGTAAAGGGGCAGAGTTATTTCCAACCCAACTTTATACACGTTGGTGTTAAATCTACACACGTTGACCCCAAAAACTTTAGGCTATAATTATTACACAATATATTTCAGCATCGGACTAACTAGATTTATATATGCTTGGGGAATCTAGTTCAAGTTGTAACTTGTTATAATGTGGAACATTGTTATTTTTGTTGCAGCAAGGGCGAATATGAGACACAAGAATTCCGGCAGATGCAAACAGAAGTGATGGATTTGTTGAGGATTAAATCAAATAATCCAGGAGCTGTGAATCAGTAAACGTAAGTGCATCTGTTAAATATCACTGTCTATATACTTGTTGGTGACGTTTTGGCTTTTTATTGCAAAAATTGGATTTGTACCTGAACTCAGCCTCTGACCAACAAGAGTGGTGGGGTAGTGGTTGCTATGCAGTGTGATTTGATAATATTATATATATATATTCAAGGATTTCCATTATTTTCCATTGTGTACTGGTGTCCATCAAACACTTGCATATACATATGTGCTGGAAGACTTCATTAACTGATTATTGTCTCTTGATTTGACTTAATACACATACTATACATTTGTTTTCTATATTTCAGAAAAATGGATAAAGTCGAAACCAAAGAAGAAGCTTCTGAAATAATCTCGAAAAGTGTACGCGCGTTTTCTGAAAGAAATTAATAAAGAGTGTTGATTACATGTCTGCCATTCTGTTTTTATGTTCTTGTTAAGAGTAACAATGTCTATTTTCTATAGACATGTAACCTTATTGTTAACGGTTAGTGTTTTACTGAAAAGTTAAATCCATATCTTGACAGAAAATGTTATTACAACGCTTCCTGAACCATAAACATTCTCATGGATAAAGGTTTTCAGAAGCCTTTTGGTGGTTACTGAATTTTATAACCAAACGCTCATAGAACACACTGTTTCTGGAACCATACAAATTCATATGAATAAATTGTTTTAAAACATGATATGTTTAGGGATGTTTCTTCACATTTATATATATGTTTTGATACACATTTAAGATAGTATTCATTTATGAATTGTGGTATGCGGCTATCAAATATGTATTCACCGTTGAGAAGTGAAGTGAGCAACTAAACTAACAGGTAAAAGAAAACGATGATAAGTCGAATTACTGATATTACAAAGCGACAAACCACCATTGTGTAAAAGGAAAGTGAATTTTAATAACAGGTGTATGGGCATGTGTATGCACATGCATGTTGCCCATACACCTGTTATCAAAATTCACTTTCCTTTACAATGATGGTGGTTTTGTCGCTTGTAATTTTTCGACTTGGTATCGCTTTCTTTGCCCGCTTAGTTTAATATTGCAGTGCCTATAAAATGACGATGCTAAATGATGCAGTGCCAATAAAGTATGCCGACGCTGAGCCGCATCGTGAGGGCCGCGATACAGGGCCATTGAAGTTTGCCAACGCTAAATGAACGCCTATACGATGAGCAAAACTTCATCGGCCCGATGAAGTTTGCCGACGTCGGGCCGATATTGCACACGACGTCGGGCCGATGTCGGGCCGATGATGGCATGCTACCTGGGGTGGAGAGTGATCGTAACGTATGCCCTGGAGATTATCGATGATGATGCTTGTCGTACGAGGCAACTAACAGGATCGGTTGGTCAGACACGCTGACTTGGTTGACACGTCATCGTATCCCAATTGCACAGATTGATGCTCATGATGCTGATCACTGGATTGTCTGGTCCACACTCGATTATTTACAGACCGCCGCCATATACACAACAAACCAACCAACCACAACCAACCCATTACAAAGCAGACATACAGACTGAAGGAAGGATGGAAGCACAGATAAATGAACTCCAGTCCTACATCCCCAGCTCCCTTCCTGGTGGGGGATGATAGTACTATCTTCATTGTCATCTACTCGGTAACAGACATTATTCATTCCATACCGCAATGGATGCAACGTTACACAGCTTGTGACATGAGGTTTGTTACAGATCCATATACTTCTGTTGCTTAACATGTTGTATACTTACAGTCAATCATGATGAACAGGTAAAAGATTGGCCATTCACTCTCAATGCCATCAAAGTTCTGTGAAAAATATGAAACGATTCAGATACATGTATTTATATTCAAGTGTCGTTCAACAATTAGTGAATACATTTAACAAGGAAGAAAGAAAACAGTAGCCATGTTTAAAATCAGAACAAAGTTCCATGAGCACCTAAAGTGATACGTCTGCTGGTATAAACTTTCAGCATCATTGGCCTCCTAATTTGACAGACATCGGAAAACTAAGATGGATGCCTGAACAGCATTTTTGAGATTATTCAATTATCCTAAAACAAACTTGAAATTTTCCTGTAATAAATAAATATACTGAACACAGATCTCAAAATGCTTACTCAGCACTGATGACTTACTTTTATTTCAGCCGGCCTGTAGTACTTCCTGTTCTTGTCCTCCAACTCTGTCTTGTATCCGTCCCGGAAGAAACGCTTTGATGCCATACTTGCCGTTTAGTTTGCGGATCACTTTATTGACGGTGTTGCGCTTCACAGGCTCCTCGTGTATGGCGAACGCCGGCCAACACACGGTGGGCAGGAGGGAGGCATCAGTGTTCTGAATAACAAAAACAACAAGCAGTTATCACTAAGGTGATATAATCCCCTGCCGCAAATTATCAAATCAAACTTGTATGAAATATTAAAAACATAGTAGGAAAGAAATTGCTCATAAAAAAATATTAAAGAGTCTTGAAAGTCTATGAAGAAAATCCAGTGAACCATTCTTGAGATAACTCGCCTACAACCTTAACATGCTGAAATCTTCAAAGTGTCGCCGTGACCTTGAAAATTACATAAAGGTCACCAAAATCGACTGGGCCCTGCGTCTTTGCTAGATGAAGCTTTATGTCAAATATGAAGAAAATCCAGAGAACAGTTCTTAAGATATCTCTCTGACAAGGGTAAAATGTTAAACTCCCCTTGTGACCTTGAAATGAAGGTCAAGGTCACCAAACCTAACTGTGACGAGCCTGGGTGCCAAGTATGAAAAGAATCTAGTCAATGGTTCTTAAGATATTCCAATTTTCTACGTATGTACGTACAGATGGACGGAGCCTAATACTATATCCCCCTGCTTCGCACTAAACATGCGGGAGGGGATAATAACTTATAGGGTCTTATGAAGTAGACAGGGTTGCCTTAACGATTAAATTACTATATTTCCTCAATACAAGGTTTTAGTTCCGATGCTTGAGCTAACAGTATTTCACCTATCTCATAATGTGTCAGCATAATGTGGAAGATAACCAGTTTGATGAAACCTAAGAACTTTAACAGGATCCTGGCACACATAAGAAACAGAACTCAACATAGCAAACAGCATAATCAATGTTGTTCGTAATACATATCTCAACCCTGCGAAGGTTGGATAAAAATTTCAACAAACCTGTAGAGGTTTCTAATTCTTTGAAAAGAATCCTCCTTGGGGTACTTATATGCATTAAAAATTCCATTTTATAATCCTACAACAGTTTAACCAAACCGAGCACGCTCACAAGAGTGTCTGTCGAGTTGGCAATGATGGATGAACATGCTCGGTCGGCTCCAAATAACTGCGGAGCAGATCTCCTCAATGGGCAGGGCCACAGCATACACCTTAGAGGTGGCCAGTGCCCTAACTGAGCTTTCAATCTGGGGGAGAAAAGCCTTTGTGTATATAAGCCATACGGATGGCCGAGACAAGCCACCTAGAAATGGTTTGCTTGCTCACCGGAAGACCAACCTTGTAGAATTCTACGAATCAATGAACAACACATAGACGTCCTTCTTCAAGAACAACAGCATGAAAAGGGAGGTACGAGGTTCACGGATAGAGTTACCTGCTCTTATCTGTTGGGGCCCCAAAGGGGCCCTGCAGGGGAGGCCATATAGTTGGAATATTGCCATGTGCTAACAGACAAATATACCTCTCTTTAAGCCTCTTCTCATTACAATTATTACAAACAAGGTCAACAAGGGAAAATCCTTTGTGTTGCAAATTTTTGATCTTCAAAAGGCCATTATAATCATTAAGATACATCATATTTTTTACCTTAGAATTAGATTCTCTTGGAAGAATAGTTTCAAAGATTGTCCTGTTTCTGTTGTGGGCATCAATGTCGACATAAATGACGGACCATGCAGCGCCCTGCTCCCCATACACGTTGTTTCCATTCACAGCTTCCAGAGCTGCCTTCGCCATGCCAATTGAGCTGGAAGAGGATCAGAGTGACACTGGAGAGTTATGTTATCAACATTCAGCCTTATAATTATCATGTGTTCTCATGAAGGGGTGATGGGGTAGCCAAGTGGTTTAAGTATTCACTTGTCATGCTGAAGACCTGGGTTTGATTCCCCACATAGGTACAATGTGTCTCCCACTGTGATAGTGATGGTATAAGGCAACACAAAACTACATTCACTCACTCACTCAGTTATGAAACAATTTTGTTCATCTTACATGCATTTCTGTGGAGCCACTGCTATGACTTGGATGTATTTCCATGGAGAAACTATATTCACCTTGCATGTATTTCCGTGGAGAAACTATATTCACCTTGCATGTATTTCCATGGAGAAACTATATTCACCTTGCATGTATTTCCATGGAGAAACTATATTCACCTTGCATGTATTTCCATGGAGAAACTATATTCACCTTGCATGTATTTCCATGGAGAAACTATATTCACCTTGCATGTATTTCCGTGGAGCCGTTGTTGTACTTGCTGCCTCTCTCCCACATACCGTAGTCTGGAGTTCTGTATGCACGCTCTACATAGAACACCATGTTCTGTACAAAGTTCACCTCATCCGTTGTGAATATCAGCTAAAACCAGAAAAAGCTTGTGGAATGAGGGTGAAAAGAAACACATTTATTCCACAGTATAATAGAGTATCTCATAGTGTAAAAGAAATATCACACAGTACCCCCCAGTTTCACATAGTATCACACAGTACCCCCCCAGTTTCACATAGTATCACACAGTACCTCCCAGTTTCAAAGCGTATCACACAGTACCCGTGCCCAACCCCAGTTTGAGAGCATCACACAGTACCCCCTAGTTTCACAGAGTATCACACAGTACCCCCAGTTTCACAGAGTATCAGACAGTACCCCCCAGTTTCACATAGTATCACACAGTACCTCCCAGCTTCACAGAGCATCACACAGTACTCTTCCTCTGCCCCCCCAAGTTTCACAGAGTATCACACAGTAACCCCCAGTTTCACAGAGTATCACACACTACCTCCCAGTTTCAAAGCCCAGTTTCAATCCCCCCATCGCAGTTTCACACAGTATCACATACCCCAGTTTCACAGAGTATCAGGGGCGGTGGGGTAGCCTAGTGCTTAAAGCGTTCGCTCGTCACGAAGAACCGGGTTCGATTCCCCACATGGGTACAATGTGTGAAACCCATTTCTGGTGTCCCCCTGATTGGGGGAAAAATTGCTAAAAGCGGCTTAAAACTTAACTCACTCACTCACTGAGTATCACACAGTACTCCCCAATTTCACAGAGTACCACACAGTATAAAAGTATCACACAGTGCCCTACATTTTAACACAGTACCACACTGTATCACACAGTATAAAAGTATCACACAGTGCCCTACATTTTAACAGAGTACCACACTGTATCACACAGTATAAAAGTATCACACAGTACCCTACATTTTAACAGAGTACCACACTGTATCACACAGTATAAAAGTATCACATAATACCCTACATTTAAACAGAGTACCACACTGTATCACACAGTATAAAAGTATCACACAGTACCCTACATTTTAACAGAGTACCACACTGTATCACACAGTATAAAAGTATCACATAATACCCTACATTTAAACAGAGTACCACACTGTATCACACAGTATCAAAAGTACATCAGAGTACACACAGTACCATTTTAACAGAGTACCACACTGTACCACAGTACATTTTAACAGAGTACCACACTGTATCACACAGTATAAAAGAGTATCACATAATACCCTACATTTTAAACAGAGTACCACACTGTATCACACAGTATAAAAGTATCACACAGTACCCTACATTTTAACAGAGTACCACACTGTACCACACTGTATCACACAGTATAAAAGTATCACACAGTACCCTACATTTTAACAGAATTTCCACACAGTATTACAGCATCACAACGTCAGCCACAGGTAAACAGAAAATCACAAAGACCCTATCAGTGTAACAGAGTATCACACAATATGATGCACAGTGTTAATGCAACACACATCATCACCTTGCAGTAAACCTCAGTATGACACATTATCCTAGTGTCAAATCATCCCACAGACTGATATAGTCATCACACAGGACAACAACCACATTACGACACAGCATCAGCTTCGCCTACCTGACACCCTGACGAGATCATCTGAATGAGGAAGATGAGGTACAGAGCCACAGCATCTATCTGAAAACAACACAAGATTTCATCAAACACATCATGTTATCAACTAACACTAGTTATATCCAATACGTTTAGTACCCATTACCAATGGGATACAATAAAACATAATAGCGACAATCAATGCATAATTGTTGACCTGGGTTAAATATCATAAATATCATCCATTTCTCAAGGGCTTCCTCCGTTAATGACAATCAGGCATCACAGACTCTATCATGCCTCCTCATCTGTCATGTCTGGGGAAATCAACCAGGACAAGTACTTGTACGTTGTATGTTTATAGCAAGTATGGAGGTTACAGTCCACTCATTCATTCAGGGAATTGAAAACTATCAGCTTTCAATTTGTATTTGGTATCTGCGACCTTCTAAACTGAATATTTGGTATTTATATATGTCTGCAACAAAACAACACTGACTCATTGTAAAAAGGTCCCCCAAATCTGTTGCCTTAACTAACTGAGACATAGACATGTATTATATATGTTTGTATTACTTACTGTAACATCATTATGGCCTGGTTATTTCACTGCTGGAAGCTGGAACTATGAAACAAATACTGCCTGTTTGTTATTTAATGCCTCACTCAGCAATATTCCAGCTATATGGCCTCAGTCTGTGAATAATCGAGTCTGCACCAGACAATCCAGTGATCAACATCATGAGACTCGATTTACGCAATTGGGATATGATGACGTGTCAACCATGTCAGCGAGCCTGACCAACTGATCCTGTTAGTCGCCTCTAACACATACTGACATACAATAACCTCACATGATTATATGTATGACCTTAACAGAATGTAAACTTACCTGTAAATGTTCATAATCATCATCAGCATAGATAGGATCACCCGTGATGATGTCAAACATGGAATGTAGGGCAAACACAGGGTTCTGGTTGGATTTGAACTTCTCTACCTGTGGTAAACAACATGAGAATACATTAGAAGTAGCAGTTGTTGCAGTTGTAGTGACAGAGGTATTAGCAGTACTAGCAACATTGAAAGTAGCAGTAGTATACTAGTAATAGTAGTAACTGAGAGACAAGCAGTTGTTATAACTGCAGCAGCAGTAGTAGCAGTTTAGTCATCAAAGAAGACCTGTGAGTAGTTGGGTTTAACACTCAATATTTCATGGAGGAAGGTGAGACAAATGCCAAATTGCTAATGTACGACAAAAGACACGGTATGTAGGCCACAAACAAATAATTATATTCATTGTAAATTTGAAACTTAAACCATGATAAAAATATCCAGTGCAGTCCTACACAAACATGCATGCACGCGACGCGCGACGCGACGCACGCACGCACACGTGTGATGGGAATCGACCTCTAAGACCATAATCGATTATCGATGTCTTCTGTCAATCAATTATCGATAAATGATCGACTACAAGTATGGATTTATGAACACAAGACCAGCTGGATGAGATGACTGCTACAAGATCACTTGTAATTAAGATCTGTCATATGACACGAGATCTTAACCCATTATTCTTAGAAATGGAGTAAACACTTTGACGAAAGGATATTGAAAATCTTGGAGCATTTGACAACAAATCTGAATTTAGATCACACTATTTACAGTTAAATGAATGTACGTCAATTATTTGTGTGTGTGAAAATTGAGAAAGTTGAACTCCAGATCTACATGTAGACTTCGATGCAGAAATCAGAATAGAACAGCTATAGATCTAAGAGTAGATGTGACAAGTATCAATAAAGCTATCCATTTCCCACCTTGCTGGTGAATTCAACGAGAACTGAGCCTTTCGATCTAGAAGATACAAAAAAGTTTTCCAACCTTGTTCGTGAATTCAACGAACACCTTCGCAAATGCAATATGTTTTCGGGAAAGCAGGCATTTTGTTGACAGTCTGCCCAGCCAATCAAACCGCTTGTGTTTCGATCACGTGTTATATTGTTTTTAAAGCCATGTTTTCATAACATACTACATTTACAAAACCTTCATCAATGCTTGCATATTTAAACATGTAATTAAACATGGGTCTAAATAATATATGCATCCACGCTAAAACTGTTATTAATATTACACTGCAAGCCACTGGTGGCGTGTGGTCTTGTGCACAGAGCTCAGGTCACGAATCGGTTGAAGTTAAGCACTGTCGAGCTCGGACAGTCCTTGGATGGGTGACCATGTTTGGCAGCATGACACCTGAGAGCTTCTAGGACTTCAGTCCTGCCCCACAACGAAGCACATGTGATACATGTGGTCTCACCTTAGGCAAGTGAGTTCGTTCAAAATTGCCTCTGTTCACCCAGCAGAAAATGGGTACCCGGTTGGATAAAGTCATGTGACTATAACCTTCTAGCGCCTAACAGGCAGCTTGGGTTATCTGGGGTAATAATCATCAGATTCTGATTAAGCATCACGAGCAATCACTTGGTGTTTGGAGACTGTGCGCTACAGAAGATGACTTATTATTATTATTATTACCTGCACAAGAAGAGAATGACTGCTCCCCAGGCAAGCTATAAATAGACTTGACTTCCTGTATTATGGCTGCGATGGCGAGGCTACCAGAAGGTATTTACAAATCTTGCATGTACACACCAATCGCTTATGTTATTCTTGAAGATAGTATACAGTGTTATCGATTGGAATTTTTTTAAATCAATAAACGAAATTTGATTGTCAAACGATCAATAAACCGATTATTTGATCGATCGGTGCACCACTAATACATACATACATAAGTTTGTATAGCGCCAATATCCAGCTCAGCTGCTCAAAGGCACTTTGTTTTTCCCTCGATCACTGGATGTCAATCTCAAGGGCATGTCATATTATCAATCTCAACTCCCTGGGGATCATACAACTCTTGCAGCCACTAGGCCTTTCGCAAATACAAAATGTTTTTTAGTGTGGCTTTCCCATCCTACATCATTAAATAATTGTAGTTGCCACTATGTATTGATGTGTGGTAGCCTCTTGGTGAATTCCAGATGAATCATGGTTGCCACTAGCAGGCTGTAACTCACTCCATCTCACCTTGTCTGCCTGTCGTATCCAGCAGAAGAGAATGCCTCGCATACATTTGACGGCAATCTGGCCAAGTTCATGTGTCTTGCCTTGGTCGTCATCAATGCGTCTAAAACAACACAACATAGAAACAAGTGAAAGAATCACCTGGACAGAATATAGATAATCATTGGATCACAGTTGATTTGGGTCAAAGTCAGAGTGAGTGAGTTTAGTTTTACGCTGCACTCAGCAATATTCCACCTATCTGTAAATAATCCTGGACCAGACAATCCAGTGATCAACAGCATGAGCATCGATCTGCACAATTGGGAACCGATGACATGTGTCAACCAAGTCAGCGAGCCTGACCACCTGATCCCGTTAGTTGCCTCTTACGACAAGCATGGGTTACTGAAGGCACATTCTAACCCGGACCTTCACGGCTCGGTCAAAGTTAAGAGGTCGTCCGAGAACAAACATATGGTGCTGTTTTGTTTTTTAAAACTGACATCAGGTCCAGCATCTATGCTCAGGTCAAATGGTGAATTCACCATCTTTGGTGCCATGGTCTGCTTGATGCTTCAAGTTTTGTCACTTCATTGGAAGTCAAAAGGAGTTATCTTCGTTAAAGTCTGTGTATCCTTGACAAGTAAAATATCTAGAATTATCATTTTCTCTTCAAGCCAAGTATTTCAAAATGAAACTTGCAGGTATGGCATGTTGGCAAATTGATAACAATAACAACTGGGGACTTACCGTTATTCCAAGTATAAACATGATACAGAAAATCTGTGATCCAACAAATATAAGAGCAACAGTTTCAGGATTTAGTGGCTTCCAAACTGGTGCATATTAGCCAGGATTGATTTTCTTCATTCCAGTCCATACGACTTGCAGTTAAGTCTGCTACTGAACATGTCATGAGACTAAAATCAACAGTAGCAATAGGTAGCATGTACCAACCAACCTGTAGGCTTGTGATAGTGACCATGCAGCGACAGCGCAGTAGATGCTGTCTCGGACATTGGCTTCGCGGGATTGGTTATCCTTAGACCCAATGGTTGGGAACAAACCAAGGGGACAGCTCTGGTACTGCAGAATCTGGCGCTTCACTGAAACAAAACACACAGGAGATATCAACATCTTGCAAACACAAGAGTTATCTCCCCTCCCTGAGAAAGCAGCTCATGATGAATTACTTATAAAAGTTTAATGGATAGTCAGACTGCTAGTCTGATATACAGGCCCTGAAACTGCTATGTTATCGTTGTCCTTTTAAATAAGACAGACAAGATTGTGACATCTTTACTTCAAAGTCCACTCGAGGGTTACTTCCCCAGCTAGCCTTGCTTCACTTATTTAGCAAGTCTAAATTACTGCAGTTTCCATTCAGACAATAAACAAAGTCTCTGGGATCCTTTTCATTATATTTTTAAGATAATCTAAGAAACTGTTTTCCCTAGATTTTGATCTACCAGACTGCCTCAGTGCATCCGAAAATGCATTAAAATGTGGTTGATTACAAATGACAGTGAGTCTTACACCACTTTGAACAGTATTTCAGTTATATCATGATGTGTCAGTAAGCTATGTGAGGAAAGCTTTACATGATACAGACTTTGGATTTCACCAGTTCAGTGAATCTGTGGTGCTGACTTAGACCCATAATGAGGACAAACCAGGCTTTGAATCAACAAACATACTTTCTAGCACGCCTTAGGGAAACAAATCTGCTGAGCTTATAGCAGTGCCTTAGAAAACTGGTCAACCTGTGCGCCCACAAGATCTTTAGAAGATTAAAATAGTGATATGAAGAATATGTTTAAGGTGAAATCACATGAATGTTAATTAACTCTGAGAAATTGTAAAGATTCATGGTGTATTTTGCTCTCTGTGAAAACTATGTGAAAAAGACAAAATGAATAAATCAAAATCAGCTTGAAACCATGGAAACTCATTGACTATCCAAAAGAGCTTGAGGCTAGTCAGAGTAACTACAGACTATTAAACATCTGTTGAACTGTCAAACAGCACAGTAACATTACTAACTAACAGTGACAGTCACCAGTATAATGACACAGGGGCTTGTAACATGGCAACGATAAAAACTGGCATCAAGTTATATACTGTCACTGACGGAGTCTTAACACTGTATAAAAGGATACCTTGATTCTAGCTTGTAGCATTACAAGCCCCATGTATAATGAGAAATCTAGATGTTTAAACAGATGTGGCAAAGGAAATGTGAACTGTGATATATTAAATACATGACACTGTTCGGTCATCACCATTAACAATGCTCCTTTGATTTCCATAACCTACAGGGGGGAATTATAAAGAAATGTACTGACATTTTCAAGAATATTAATAAAGATCTACATGATTCAAGCCATAATTATGAACAGCAACGCTCAATGCCCTGAAATCTTTAAGTCTAAATATGCATTGACTTTGCTATGTGAAGTAAGTGTATGAACATGAAACAATGCCACTATGTGATTGAAGCATTGAAGATCATTCAACCTCAGACTGATACAAATCGCAGTGGACAAACAAAGTGGTTGTTCCTTAGCATGAAAGTGCTGTGGCTGTCAATGCATCCAAACTGAATCCCTTAGTCATGAAAAAGCTGCATCATCACCAGCTGATCGTCACTTGGCCGTCCAATCCTTGGCCAATCTTTCAACAAATTTATGCAAAACACTTTTTAATTTTTCGAAGCTATAAATTAAATGGTGTGACGGCGTCGTTAATCCTAATCCCACACGAGCTACACGTTTTGCACGTGTCTAGGTCACACCATAATCTGTCAAAACAAGGTCATGATCACACGAAAAGGAGAGACGTCCTTGAGTAACATTCTCCAAAATGAAGCGTATAAATTAATCGGAAGTTCTCTGCGTGAAAGCGGGGTTTTGTCATCATTAAGACTTACTCATCGTGTAATAGTCGTCCAGTTTCTTGACCATTTGGTCGTGATTATTCTCCGCTTCCTCCATTGCGACCCGCTTAAGGCCAAGGCGGTTGTCTAACCTTAGCCTCGTCCGCAAGTTGTTCATGCTCGCTGATAGGTCCAGGCCTTATCAATATTATAATAAGGTAAACAAACCAGAGGTTCAAAGTTAAATGGTTATAGCTGCAAGTCACGCATTTTTACGTCGCTTGGGTGCTTGTCAGTGGCCACCGCGTCTGCACTCAAGCCGTGTCAATGTGACATAATCACTGACATAACATGGATCATTGTCGTAAATGTGACAAGATATCAAATTTCAGTCGTAAACTACTTTCCTTACAACTTATTCACAAGGGGCGTTCGTGTGCGTTCTTCTACTGAATTCGCTAAAACGCGAAAGGTTGACTTAAAACCATCACTTTTAACTGACAACAGTTTTCGCTTCAGTGCCATTTATTGCCCTTTCCCTGGTGAATTCTGAGTACGCACAAAGACACATGCTGATTATACATCCTGATATATTTACACAACAAAACATAATTATGGTAGGATTTATATCGTTCTGATTTCATTATCCTTTTTCTATTATTTGAACATCCTGAAATGTAGGTGTGTAAATTTCCAACACCTTACGTACAATATGAGAAAATCTGTGTAGTTTCTTCTTTTAAGTGCCATTTAGAAGCTGGTATGATAAAGAGTTTAAAGAATAGACAACTTCGTTACTGCAATAGATGCCACGTTTCGGGGTAGACCGTAACACCGTTATCAAACAACAAGGATCAAGGATCTACACCCTAACACCGTTATCAAACAACAAGGATCAAGGATCTACACCCTAACACCGTTATCAAACAACAAGGATCAAGGATCTACACCCTAACACCGTTATCAAACAACAAGGATCAAGGATCTACACCCTAACACCGTTATCAAACAACAAGGATCAAGGATCTACACCCTAACACCGTTATCAAACAACAAGGATCAAGGATCTACACCCTAACACCGTTATCAAACAACAAGGATCAAGGATCTACACCCTAACACCGGTATCAAACAACAAGGATCAAGGATCTACACCCTAACACCGGTATCAAACAACAAGGATCAAGGATCTACACCCTAACACCGTTATCAAAACACCGTTATCAAACAACAAGGATCAAGGATCTACACCCTAACACCGTTATCAAACAACAAGGATCAAGGATCTACACCCTAACACCGTTATCAAACAACAAGGATCAAGGATCTACACCCTAACACCGTTATCAAACAACAAGGATCAAGGATCTACACCCTAACACCGTTATCAAACAACAAGGATCAAGGATCTACACCCTAACACCGTTATCAAACATCAAGGATCTACACCCTAACACCGTTATCAAACAACAAGGATCAAGGATCTACACCCTAACACCGTTATCAAACAACAAGGATCAAGAATCTACACCCTAACACCGTTATCAAACAACAAGGATCAAGGATCTACACCGAATGTCGCATCTATTGCAATAAAGAAGCTGTCTATCCATAAAAAAGTGTTCCTCTTCATCTGTGTATTTATTGAATAAAAAATATTTGTGCATGCGTAGATGTGTCGACACTGAACATAATCAGCTGCTCGTGGGCTATGCTCTCTGATGATTCAATCCAATTTCAATTGCTGTGTTGCTCCAATAAATCACTGAAATCACTGTATGAGTATTTTGTTTTAAAAACATCGCTGATGGTATATGGATATCATATTTCAAGGACGAAAGAAAAACGGTTGTCACTCTTGCAGCCTCATGCAGCTGTCAATCAGAAGGTCATTGACCCGTGCACGGACTGCTGCATACACGAGGCGGACAACACATGCACGAGACAGTATTTGTGACAACGTTCGACCTCCAAAATACGCGAGCCATTTTCAGACAATTCAAATATTGTCACTTTCATGAAAAACAACACGTCTGCACATTGCCTGACGAGGATTAACTCCCGGTGCACCTTGCAGTTCATACATGAATGTCCGCTCCTACTTGACAACTGGTTGCAAACAGACACAAATAAACATATATAAAAGCCAGAAATAAATATAAAACATGTCCAATCCTTGACGTTTTTATTCAATGACTGAAGTTAATTCACCATATAATCTATCCGTACACAAGATCTATATGATGAGACAAATTAAAATAACAAACCCCTTTTCACAATCACACATCTCTTTCCATTGTACTATTCCGACTATATCACGGCCATATGCTTTTAAAATCCCTTAAAGTCAAAAGCGTACAAAACTCATGATATCAATCGCTGCATTGTCTGGCCCAGTTTCAGTTCTTTACAGACCGCTAGCATGTAGCTGAGTGGGACGATGAGCGTGTTTAGTTTTACGCCGCATTCAGCAATATTCCAGCTATATGGTGGCGGTCTGTAAATACTCGAGTCTGGACCAGACAATCCAATGATCAACATCATGAGCATCGATCTACGCAATTGGGATACGATGACATGTGTCAACCAAGTCAGCGATCCGGTTAGTCGCCTCTTACGACAAGCATGGGTTACTGAAGTTTTTCTAACCCGGACCTTCAAGGGTCCGCCTCTTACGACAGGCATGGGTTACTGAAGGTTTTTCTAACCCGGACCTTCACGGGTCCGCCTCTTACGACAGGCATGGGTTACTGAAGGTGTTTTCTAACCCAGACCTTCACGGGTCCGCCTCTTACGACAAGCATGGGTTACTGAAGGTTTTTCTAACCCGGACCTTCACGGGTCCGCCTCTTACGACAGGCATGGGTTACTGAAGGTTTTTTCTAACCCGGACCTTCACGGATCACCTCTTACGACAGGCATGGGTTACTGAAGGTTTTTTCTAACCCGGACCTTCACGGGCCCGCCTTATACGACAGGCATGGGTTACTGAAGGTTTTTTCTAACCCGGACCTTCACGGGTCCGCCTCTTACGACAAGCATGGGTTACTGACTGTATCTGAGTGTGGTGTTGTACAACATACACAGAAACAAAATGTAAGCTTACAGCAAATCAAGGCCAAAATTTAGACTGGACGAGCAGACAATGGCGTTACAAATCAGACAATATTCAAACTGTCCAACTTTTTAAGCGTCCCTGGCTGAAGTTTCAACCAAAGGAAAATTGTAAGATCATTTTTTGTTATATCCTAATATTGTTGGAACTTGTCCTGGAATTAATACGTGAGTAGGTTTTGTTTTCAAGAGTAAAACTCTCAAAGCTCTCTGTGTTGCTTTGAATTTGGACAGTTGCCTATCAATCTTATTTGATGCTTCCGTATATGTCAAGTCAGGAAGGCCTCTTATGGTGCAGTCCCAGTGGCGACCTCGGGAGCTCGACCGACTCGACCTCGTCAACTACTCGACCTGTCTCGACCTGGGAGGTATCTCGACCCCACAACGACCTCAAAACGACGTCATAACGACCTCGTAAGGACCTTTACGACCTTAGTTCGATTTTAGTTCGACTTCAGTCGACCTATCGCGACTCGGGTCGGCCAAGTTGAGAAGACCTATACTTGAACAGCTAGACCTGTATATCGACCTAATTTCGAATTAATTTCGTCTTAAGTCGACCGGCCCGACCTCTACGCGACCTGTGTTCAACCGGAGCGACTGGTTCTCGACGGAAATTCCATTTTTCTGCCGAGTAGACCCTTGGTTTCCAAATTGTATAAATTACAGGGTGCATTTTAACCTGGGACCCATTCAATTAGAGGACTGCAAAGTAGTAACATCACCATCAGGAACCTTGACGTAAACCTGGTGAGCCCCGAGAAGCGAAGACTGCTTACCATTTGGGTGCAGGTAGCCTGCATGGCACCTGCTTGAACTGGTAGATGACCTGGACAATGCCAACCCTCCTCCAAAGCCAAAGCCTCAGCCGTAAGCACATCAATCCCATCCTTGACGCCTTCAAAGCTGAGTATTGGTCAGAAGAGTGGGATCAGAGCAGATGGAATACTGTAGCCCGTGCTTTCAAGGAAAGGTGGCAATTTCCATATTGCACCGGCGCGTTTGATGGCAAGCACATACGCATCAAGAAGCCTCCTAAAAGCGGGTCCCTCTTCTACTACTACAAGAACTTCTTCTCCATCGTCTTCAGTTCCCGTGGGACAACGTCGGGGCCAAGGGATCAGCATCAGACGCTGATGGTCTTCAACCATTCACGAGATCGGATGGAGGGCGATGACCTTGTATTCCCCGTATGGTGTGCCATACTTCATCATCGCCGACGATGCCTTTCCACTCCGCCCCTGGATGATGAAGTCCTTTTCCATGCGTCAGATGGACCCCGATCAGCAGATCTTCAACTTCAGGTAATTATTCTTTTCCATAAATACCTCAATCAAATTATAACTTAGTATCTTTGGGTGTATGCAATGTCATATCAAAGGTTTTGAATTTTGAATGCATTTGACTTAAAAATGTTTAATTTGTGACTTTTGCAGACGGTCTCGGGCCAGACGAGTGGTGGAGAATACCTTCAGGATTCTGGCTATGAGGTTCCAGATCCTCCGATCGGCTCCCTAAATAGCACTGCAGACAGAGCTGAAAAGATAACCCTGGCCTGCGTCACTTTACACAACATGCTGAGAACGAGGAACCGGAACAGCCAGATGAACCTCATAGACCGGGGAATGAGGACTGTTCACTCACCCTAGGCGAGAGGCGCTCCTGCACACAGCTGCTTGATGGGGATAACCGGGGTGTGAGGAACGTTACCCCACTAGATGGCGCCAACCAAAGAAACTACTAGTATTTGAAGGACTATTTAATGGGCCCAGGAGCTGTTCATTGGCAAGAGAAAATGACTTTAAAGTATACTCTATTATTTAGGACTACTTCAATTACAAAGGAACTATTGTTTCTTTTTTATTTACTCTGTTTCAATCAATCTTTATTTCAGTACTTAAAAAAGCCACAGGCCTGTAGTACATTTAGATTTTACATGAGTAGATAGAATTTAAGTCATTTATAAATTCTTTTCTGTAACAATACTTTGTCATTGCGAAATAGATGTACATTGCCAGATTCTGTAATAGTGATGTGGTAGTATCTGTTAATAGTGAAATTAATTCTCTTACACTTGGATGCTTATAATAGTATGGCTTTAGGTAGTTCGTTCGTAGAGTCGTATAAACAGGACAGATTAGAAGGAGATGTAGTTCATCCTCAACAGTATTCATATTACATAATTGACATATTCTGTTTCCTCCTTGTATGCCTGCCAGTTTCAATAAATAATGCATGGGAAGAGCAACGAAAACGAGAGAGAGCTATACGAAACTTCTTTACGTCGATTTTTGCTAAATAGTCTTCAAAACGTATGTCCGATTTCCATTGATTATAGTATTAACATTTTGTGGATAGAAGTAATGATTCCGACCAAGATTGGAAATACATATCTTTCATTCTTTGTGTAAATGATATGATAAAATTTGCATGGAACTGAACATTGTGATCACACCACACATAACCATAACCAGTTTTGTACAGCAACTCTCTGATATCAGTCACCCAATTTCTTTTCCCATTTTCGTCATACAATTTCATCACATCATACATTTTTTTCGGAAACCTATGGCATGGCATGTGCAGTAATCGTACCCAATACTTTATGGCTTTAATGGAAGGGGAATCTACCTAATTCTCCGTAAACCATCATATTACATGTGTTCCGTTTTACACCAAGAAACATTTTGCATGCATATAAATGAACTCTTTCAATACTGTCATATTGTTGTAATCCCCATATTTCTGAGCCAAATAGAAGTATTGGACTTATCTTCATATCGAATATTTTAAAGAATGTGTTAAAGGACATTTCACCTAAAGATCGCATATTTTTACAGACACCGATTAAGATTTTCAAGGCGCTTGTTTTGAGTGTTTGAACCAGGAAAGGCCATTAGAGAAATATACGCCAAGGTACTTATAAACACTGGTAGTTTGGAGTAGTTGCCCTTTAAAATACCATTTTTCTAATTTAGGGAGTTTTCCACCTTTCTTAAAGACGATAATTTTGGTTTTGTCTCTGTTTACACACAATTTATATTGGTCAGAAAATGTGTCTAATTCATCTATTTGTTTCTGTAAACCGCTAACAGTACTAGAGAATAATACAGTATCGTCGGCAAAGAGTAGTCAGAAATAGTTGTATTGTATCTGGGTGTAGTTGGATCCCATTCGTACATGTGTCACATATTTGTATTGCTAATTCATTAATGAAAAACGTAAAGAGGAAAGGGCTTAAAATACAGCCTTGTCTAACACCTGGTTCACTAATTAAAGGTTCAGATAATTCATGCTTATTCCTTACACACACTTTAACGTTTTCGTATATACTCTTCAACATTTTATTCATTTTACTGCTAAGACCGTGCGATTGTAGATGTCCCTATAGTTTATTCCGCTGCACAGAATCAAAAGCCTTTGAAAAATCAACGAATAGTGCGTAGAACTTTCCACCTGTTGAGCTGAGGTATCTTTGTATTAGACTATACAGTATAAAGATATTATCTGTTGTTTTATATCCCTCCCTAAAGCCCGCTTGACCCTCGTAAATCTGATCCATTACGTCCGCCCATTTAACTAATCTTTTGTTGATAATATAAGTAAATAACTTGCCAAATATACTAAGTACAATTATTCCACGGTAGGTATTGGTATCTTTAGGGTCACCCTGTTTATAGATTGGAACACGAATGTCAACTGACCAAGATTCAGGATAGTTCCCAGTGTCGAGAATAATGTTTTATATAAGCTCAAGATATGGAAGTAAAAGATCAGATGAATGTTTGAAAAATTCCCGGAGGATGTTGTCTATTCCTGGTGACTTTTTACACTTTAGATGCTGTATACTGCTTAATATTTCATCTCTACTTATTGGGGCATCCAACATGTCGGAGGTGACACCTGAAATATGCGTAGACTCAGTATCGTTCACACAGTCTTGTCTATTTGGATCCGGGTTATTATCAGAGGTAGAGAATAATGACTGAAAGTAATTGAGCCATTCGTCGATTTCAATGTTGTTGTTTTGACTATTCTTTGGATTTAGTGTTTTAAGTTCATAGCAGAATTTGTTGGGATCATTTATATTATTTTCTAGTTTTTTTCTTTTCTGTTCCATAAATACCTTTCTTTTTTTCCTTGCAAGTTGTATTATATCTATTTCTAGCTTTGTGATAACTCTCCAGGGATTGCAAGGTTTTATCTTTTCGGAAGAAGTTAAGAAATTTACATCGTTCTTTTTTTAAATGATTACATTCATCATACCAGATATTCGTATTATGTTTTTCTGAAAAGGGGCGCATCCGTTTTTTCATATCCGAAGCAGCTATATAGACACAATGCTTCTAATAATAATAATAATAATTGATTTATAGAGCGCCTATTTCCAAAAGATATTGCTCAATGGCGCTATAAATCTACGACATAATCTACACATTTACACTATTTACAAATGGTAAATGCGGAAAAAAACACAATGAAAACTAACTATATACATGGTGAACAAAAAAAACTGTATTACAATCGTACATGGTGTGTTTACATTTTCACTTAGCAATGGATGGAAAATACAACAAAAATGTCAGATGAAAAAAAGCTTATAAAGCTTTTATTGGAAACTCATTTAAATAATCTGAAGGTAACATTTCACATCAGCATAAAGTGCTCATGACAATATATGAGTATCAAGTTCTACTTCTCAGTTTCACTGCCCTTGCATGTGACTGATCCTCTGAGGTGTGTGTAGGGTCCAAGAGACCGCTTGGCAGGTACAGAGATATACCTGCTGCAGCACTGGAGTCAAAGCTGGGGAAGATACCAGCCTGTTCCGCTGCTTTGCGGCGTGTTGGAGAGGGTGGGGTGCTCAGGGTGGACCTCTGGGTGGCAGCAGGTTGGTGTGGAGATGATGTGCTACCACTGGCTGCCGTTTGGCTTTTATGAAGCAATTGGGAATATGACGACCATTTATGCTGTCGGCGCGGACTCGATTAGGTCGAGTTGAGGTCGAGATAGGTTGACTTCAGTTCGAGTTGGTCGACTCGAGGTCGAGTCGAGGCCGAGTACAGATCGACTCTAAGACGAACACTCATCGGCATGTCAGGCCAGCTCGACTTTCAACTCGACCAGCTCGACATAATTTCGACCTAAACTCGACCTTTTTTCGACCTATTCTCGACCTCGTCTCGACCCCATCTCGGACCGACAGTCGAGGAGGAACTCGGGGAAAGTTTTGACATGTCAAAATGTTTTCAAAGAATTGGTAGACCTGATTCGATCTGACTCGACCTGACTCGACCTAACTCGTTCTGAAACTCGACCAACTCGACCCCGAACTCGACCTTCAGAACATGTCGACCTTCAGGTCGAGTAGCGTAAGGTCGGCACTGGGACTCCAATTATTCGGCACTGGGACCGCACCATTATATATTAGTTACCAGCTTATGTTTACAGAGGCCTATTCATAGTTTGATAACATATGATGTCAGGGACCGTTCATAATTTATGGCTAGAGGGGTGATGATGATTTTAAAGTGTGGTGGGGTGTGTCACCCATTTTGTTCTGGGGAGGTAGGGGGTGGGGGTGGGGTGGGGGTTCATCAATTTTGTTCACATGTACTTTGGGGGTACATGCTTCTCCATAAAATTCATCATCAAACACACACACACACACACACACACACACACACACACACACACACACACACACACACACACACGCCATAAATAATAGAAAGTCCCTTATGTACGTTTTGGCTTATCTTAGCGCCGTTTATCATGTTTTTGACAAAACACCGAGTTCGCCGGAAATGGGCTTCACACATTATACCCATGTGGGAAATCGAACCCGGGTCTTCACATTCGGCGTGACGAGCGAACACTTTAACCACTTGGCTCAAGGCCATACTAAAGTACTGTTGGGAATGGAAGAAAACTGTTTTTTCATATTTATCTCTACAATTTATGTAGTTGATAAGTGAAAGTGTGAAATATCTGATAAACTAAGTTCGACCTAACAGCAGTCTCAGTGGTAGGGAGATAGGAACCGTAACAAAAGGACTTTACTGAGAAGAGATTAGTGCAGAAATGAGCAATGAGGGTTTTTTTTAAGTCCAAAGCGACTTATTAGTGTGCAATGATATTGTATTTCAAAGGACACTTTTTAAATACCCATCTTGAAATTAGACTTAGCTTCATTATAAACGATAGCTGACGTACAAAATAATAACTTTCATGCTGAAACTATTAAGGATGTAGCTACCATGGAGTCTCACTGTCACTATGAAAATAAACAGATAGGAGGGGTCATCTCAAAAGTAAAACCAGGGCGGGTGTCGCATACGATGGTTGGGGTCGGGCTGGGGGATAGAGATATCATCTAAGATAAATTAATCCTTTAGGAGACATACTGGGGAAGTACACGGCATGTTATAACAATTTACAAATAATATCCAGTCCTGTCGATCTTCGGGTGTTCATGCCACTCTATATATTTTGAGATATTTAATACGATGCTTTTCTATGGTTATCAGGTCTCTTTTACATACTTTTCTCAACATAACTTTATGAAAGAAAGACACGTAAGATAGCTGAGACATATTCGACACACATGAAAAAGTACAACAAATCTTTGAGATGACCCCCTTGTGCCTGTAGGCAGCACGTGCATTTCATGCCAGGTGAGTCGACGGTCCGTCCTCATACCTGGCTGCGCGACCTAATTGCCATCTATAGTCTGAACTATTGTTTTCAGCAGCTATTCGTATTTTTTCTAAGTTTTGCCCCGATTTTACAAGTAAACATGCTTTTCTGGATATCCTCTTACGCATCCCACTGAATGCCCAGTTAGGCCGAACTGGGTTATTTCGACATATGCTATTTGCAGTTGTGTAACTTTTAGGGATACAAAGCAACAGCCTAAAAACAGTTTTTTTTCTATTTCCGACAGTACTTTAGTTACAAACTGTTCAGAGAAATCATGGAAACCAATGTGAAACCTCAGATATTTTCAACTCGTGAGAGACGACTACTGTGTGGTTAGTCAGCGACCATCAATACTCATATCATTTAAAATATTATGGCGGTCAATGTATGAAAAAAGAAATAGTCAACAACCATGACAAATCTCAGGAATATTACAACATAGAGTGTTGAGGTAAATACTATGTTACAACCGGAAGCAGTTTGGTTTGCGACACTTGCGATATTTACGACATATGAGTTGGTGCTGACTGTGAAGATGCGAATATGTTTCTCAAATTGACATTAGTTTTAGTTATTTTAGAATGTCTTTCACTTCATTCTATGGCGTCGTTGTCCGATGTGACATCTCTGGTGTTTGGAGATTCTTCAAATGGAATTGTTGCTGCCTTTGGCGACTTCGATGCTGATAAATCAACTGATATTTTTGTCCTGTCAAAAGATGGTAATGTATCTAAGCATACTATTCTACTCATGACAGTGACTCATAATTATATCTTCATACGATGAGTTAAAGATTAAAGATTTAGAGTAAAGATTCCAAACATGATTACAGTAACATACGTTTTTTTAACAAACGCTAATATAACAAACTGACTGTCACTAGGAACTGATTTTGTGGTCCCGGCCAATAGCTGTATATCATGTCTTATCATATATCGAGTATAAGATAGTTTTGATGGATATAACGCACGAAGAAAGTGAAATCTCCTTTTTGCCCTGTGTGTCATCTGTCAATAACAATGTTTATGTTTATAACGAACTGTTAAGTTCTCATGTCACAAATAAGCCCATCAAAACTTCCACAGCCACGCGCAGCTGTTCATAGCTGGAATATACAGCTGAATGAAAGTGATTTACTGGATTAAATTCTGATAGTTTGTCTTTAGTTACACCCTCAATCAAAACAGTGATTAGTTAATGCCTTTGAAATGGGCAAAACCTGACCAGTTCCAAAGTTCAAAGTGAACTAACAGATTTCCTCACTGACGGCAAGGTACTCTCATGCATGTGTCAATGAAAAAATACTTTATGACTTAGGATGACTTTATCCAAGATATCAGACAGTTGAAATATGTGTAAATATTTAAAAAAGTATGTTTATTATGAACTAACATTACATGATTTGTTGTCCCGTTGAGGTTGTTATGACCATAGTTTCTGATCTGTGTATTTCCTCAGACAGTGACTGAATGTTATCCAAAGTGCCATAAGAATATCGTATGTATTTGATAATTGAATAAAGACTCTCCAAAGAGATGTCAGTGATAAATCTAGATCTGATCAGAGGCCAGTGTTCATCCCCAAATGTCAAAAACAATATTTTCAAATTTTTATAAATACCCTGTATTTGGAGAAAGAACAAATAAACAGGAAGATTTTGTCAAGCTTAGATATGTGATTGTAATTTTAAATACAATGTTAAAAACAACCTCTGAATTTAAGAAAATAGGAACTTTCATCAATTCCAAATTTGAATGAAGTAACAATAATTCCGTATTTGTTTGTCAAATAAACCCCTGAGATGACTATGCAGAAACAATGCACATTTGCAGACTTCTCAGCCCTTATGTACCACTAAGTGAGGTGAGGTGAGGTGAAATTGGGTTTTACGTCATGCTTGAGAATATTTCGCTCATATGACAACGTGCATGCATGTGTATGTGTATGTGCGGCTGCTTGTACTAGCCCAGACTGAAGCTGGTTTTATAGTGCTAGCCCACTGAGATACCATGCCACAGTGAAGCATGAATACCCCACTCAGACACATTATACTGACTCCGAGCCGACCAGTCCTTGTTGTACCCATTAATGCCGAACGCCAGACAGGGACCAACAAGTACCATATTTTAACGTCTTTTGGTATGGCGGTCGGGATCGAACCAATGTTCCGCCTCGGCTGGATTATAATACACCAATTGCATGTGTCCCACTAAATGATAATGTTATATCATTAGCATAAAATATCATTAGCATAAAAACAAATAAGAGTTGATGTTGATTTATTAATCTAAAAGTCACATATTTCCCTTGAAGGAGTGTTTTGATTAAATAGGTTGTGAATGCACCATACAAAATATGCCTTTGAGTTCCAAATTTTAAGTTAATAAGACAACTGGAACACAATATAGCCACTGACCGCTTATTGGGACTGGGTCCTGAATACAACAAATATGATGCTGATGTTACATTGACGTATCTCATGTAAACTACATGGTCCTTTAGTTTAGGGTAAGACAGTGATCTGTCAGTCAGCTGTAACATTAATGACATCCTCATAAATACAAAACTCCATGTTCAGCACAGTAAAGAGATACATTCTCATTCTCTCTCATTCTCACTCAAGGGGTGGTGGGGTAGCCTAGTGGTTAAAGCGTTGGCTCGTCACGCCGAAGACCCAAGTTCGATTCCCCATAAGTGTACAATGTGTGAAGCCCATTTCTGGTGTCCCCCGCCATGATATTGCTGGAATATTGCTAAAAGCGGCGTAAAACTAAACTCAGTCAGTCAGTCAGTCATTCTCACTCGCAGACATGCATGAGCATTTCCTGTCCATGAAGTCCAGTACAATTTGTCTATGGTTCATCTTCACAGCAATAGTTGATCTTCACTGCATCAACATTATCAACTTCTGAAAATATATTAAAATTAACAGGTAACACATATTGCAGAAAATAAAATTGAATTAGTACATTTGATTAGCATGATCAGGATCAGACTGTAAACCATAATTTTGAAAATATCCCCAGTGAAACGTCATCAAGCATACCATCTTCCCGGGGCTGCAAAAGTCCACTTTCCTTCTAGCCCAATTAGACTGGAATTTTGTAGCTTGACCATAGCTCCTCCAGTGGCTATTACAAACTATGTCTCTCCTATTGGCCTACCAGACCTATCCCCTATGTCACCTCCTATATCACTTGCATTTGCTTCAAACAATATGATGGTGCCTGGTCAATAATCAAGATCTCTGTTGTTACAATACACCTTCACAAATGCATCAGCACCCTATGAAAAAACATAAGAAGATTTTGCAAACATCTTTCTATGCCCATTTGATGGTACATTTAGCGTTATTTATGGATATACTAATGGAACAGAGACAGTTGTGTGAGGAGCATGATGCCTTTGGTGACGTGTGCACGATTATCATGTTTCATCTATTCATAGGTTTTGCTATCAATGGGAAGTGAATCATAAAAGAATCATCTAGATTTGAGATTCAGCACATTGTCACATGTCATCAACATATTGTGTTAAACATGAGTGCAGTGTACTATTGTTTTGTTTGTGATTTTGTGTCTGTGACTTAACATGTTAAACATGCTATAGGGTTACTTGCTCTTTTCACAATATGTCTATCTGTGGAATCTGATGTTGCTTCCATAGTATTTGTTGATACCTGAACGTCCTAAGGCCCTTTTGACAAAGCAGTCATAATGCCAAGATTGTCGGAAATCTCCAACTTTATGATAGGCTTATGACACTGACAGTGATAGTGCTACAATCACTTTGTGGAATGGGGCCCTCAACTCACTTGGGCCCTTGTAGCTATTCTACCAAATTGATTGATTGATTGTTGCTTAATGCCACACACAGCAATATTCCAGCTATATGGCAGCGGTCTGTAAATAATTGAATCTGGACCAGACAGTTCAGTGATCAACAGCATGAGCATCGATCTACGCAATTGGAATACGATGACCACCCACCTACCACACTGCTCATGGTCCAAAGTAGACCCATGGCTTTTACACAGCCTCTGCTAGATAATACCCATTTAATTGAATTTTCTTGTTTGTTTTTGTTTTTTAGGAAAAAGATTGTGTTTACTTCTGGGTCATGCTGAAGTAACGCCTACTGTGACAGATATTCCCTTCCTGAATCGCACTGTTCTTGAGGCCAGCGACATTGACCCTCTGACTGTCACCAGCGTGGTGCCAGCGGACTTCGATGGGGACTCTATGATGGACGTGATGCTAATACTTCAGGATACACGCCAGCCAACCAACTCCTTGAGTGTCAGGATTTACTGGGGAAATGGACTCAATCTGGATAGAAGTAAGGGGAAAATATACCTGGAGAAATGTCTCACACTGACTGAAGAAATCAGTTCATATGACTCGTTTATATTTTTGGCAAAACAGTCTCAGACATTGGTCCTCATATGACACTTTTCAATTTTCTGTGGATTGCCTGATCTGAAGAAATCCATATTCAGTGAACAAAATATAAATTACATGTAAAATAAACTTAGGCCAGACCAGTTTTATTTCTTGTTTTACGGATCTGCCGGTCGTATTTTTTCAAGAACAAGAAAAAAAATAAAAATTAATTTGCCCTGCTCAAAAAATTAAATCCTAATGTTTTTATTGGCCAAAAATGTAAACTTACAAGAAAATGTTTTTTTGATTGTATTTTGCCCCATATACACTTCATAAATTGCCAAAAGTAAAATACTTTTAGCATTTAGAAGGAATATTACTTTATGACTTTATATATACAGTAGAACACGGATATAACGAACTCCAAGGGACCAAGAAATTTAGTTCGCTATATCCGTTGTTCGTTATTCACATTTGACCGCCATCTTGGATTGTAGAGATGTAGACATTCACAGACATTACCTATATCATGTTGATAAATATGAAGTTTATTTTTATAATAAAATTGAAATAATACAACTACAACTTAAATAAATTATTTTTTAATGAAAATGCAAGCTTACATTTATAATGTCCAGATAAACCACGAAAGAAGCAAAAACTGTAGCAATTTTTTTTCCATTTGTGACATCTCATAACATGCCCGTGCCTTTTTCTTTTAAATTTTCATTTTTATGTAATCAGACTTTCCGTTCGTTAACATGACACAACAACGGGAAATACCTCCGTTTTCGAAGCTTCTTATAAATAACATGCGAGGCGAATCGTGTGGTGTCTGGTATCGTTCGACAGCTCTGGAACATCAACAATATCACTGTACCCTTGCCGAGAGTATTTTCACAGTTGTAAAAAAGCGATTTTATTGGATAAAGATTGACGCTTTTTTCGCCACAGTCTGCTATAAGGATCGTGATTGGTCAAAATCAGACACGTGACCTAAGGCAGCCAATCATACTACGGCAATGGATACCGTCCTCGTCAACGAAAACGATTATTTGGCCTGACACTGAGTGAGTTCGCTAATCACGTCGTGAATTGGGTCTAGGGGGTAGTAAATCAGTTCGCTATAGCCGTTAATTCGCTACTCACGAGTTCGTTATTCACGTATAATTTTAATGACATTATAAAGGACTGTTGACGGGACTTTTAAATTTGTTCACTATATCCGTTTGTACGCTATATCCGTGTTCGCTATAACCATGTTCTACTGTATATATTTTTCCCTGCTGCCGAGGACAAAAATCCGTAAAACAAGAAATAAAATTGGTCTGGCCTTAAAATATTTTTTTAATGTTTTCTCTTTGAAGAATTGTAAATGCATAGATGAATCTACAAAATTACACAAGTGGTAACTATGAATCTTTAAGGTAATATTTGATCAAATCCACTGCATATAGTCTCTGGCCAGTGCAAACTAGGAAGATCAAGTGAACAAATCCTGCTCATACTGAACAATATAACACTACCCCCCTCAAAGTAGAATTACCAGGTAATCCCTGGCAAAATAAACCTATCCAAACAACTAAATAATTAGCACAAAATGTTACTTTTGTTCTAGCCTATCAAAACTCACTGGTTGTATCTTTTTTGTGTCTAATCAAAGATGAATCGTTATTTGTATTTCAGAAACCTACCTGAATCTGAATGAAACATTAAGGGATCAACCACAAGTTCTTGAGTAAGTCATGAATTTGATCACTGGATTGCCTGGTCCAGATTCGATTATTTACAGACCACCGCCATATAGCTGGAATATTGCCGAGAGTCACGTTAGTTAAACAACAAAGGAAGGGAAAGTTTTGTGTAAGCTTCCTGAATTTTTAACTCACCTGACTTAAAGTGGACCAATGAATACACCTTTGTCTGTTCAGGAGGTTTTCAATATGGCTGCCACATCTCCCATACAGAAAAAGAACCCCAACAATTTATGTCTGTTTTATTTTCACAATGCAGTAAAAATAATATGTACATAGTTAGTTATAGGACTGAATACATATATTAAGTTGCAGTTTTGTTGATTTTAATAATATTACCTGTGTATATTTTGACCACACTCATTTGAGCTTCATGTACTACAATGGCTGCCAGTAAAACCATGGCAAGCATGATGTAAATCTCCCACACTGAACATTATGCATGCAAACGATTAAAATGTATTTTAATAGGCATTGAGGATGTTGGATTGTAGAACTTGTTTTAATTCTTTTGCTTAGCATTCTTTAACCTGTATGATAATATTCCAGAAAAAAAAGTAAGGTTAGCTACTGAGCCTTGTACCGCTATTTGAACCACTAGTTATCCATGCTAACATTCTGATATGTTGGAGTTATTATTTTAAATACATTTGTAAGTGTATTCACTTCACTGATTGTGTGTTTCCTGACTTTCCAGTGCTAATGGAGACATGATCCCTGATTTGCTTGCTGAGTTCACAAACAAGTCTCGTGCTTTTTGGATATTCAGGTAAACTTGAGTGTGAGACTTTTCCATGTTTCTAGGGAAAATATGGACTTCAGTGGCCATACTGAATGTTTAAGTCAATTGTTGAGACCTGCTGGACTTGACAAGCAACCATATCTTCTTGTGTTTGTTGCACAGTTTGTCTTCATGCTGTGTAGAAGGTGCTTCACATGGACAACGATACTAAACCCAAAATACAAGGATATGTACGATGAACACTGTTTATTGCAATCTGCACTGAATTTTGCTAGTTTACAACATGATAAACCTGAGCACAACAGCAGATTTGTTGATATGCTATTTTCGATGACGTGAAGATGTGTGATCGCTGGGCAGCTTTTTTAATATGAGAGCCACGGATTACCCAGTGGTTTAACTGAATCCGCGGTATCGCGAAGAGTGTAATTGCGGGGACGACTGTATTGCGATTTGGCTTTGTTATCAGGCCATTGTATTCCTGTATATTACACTAGTGTAATACCGCTAGATGTATGACGTCATAGTGGTTTACAGTTATGACGTCACAATGCTAATATCACTGTCACAATGGTGTTAGACCTTGCTTGACTTGCGGAAGCTGACAGTCATCACATTGTTTCTATCAGTTAATGTTGGAGAGTAATAAACAGAATACTAAACTCGCTTCCGTGAAATACCACTTTTTATTAAACTCATGAAAGATTTAGCATCAAAACTCGTTTTCGCTCGTTTGATACCAAATCAATAAAAATGTTATTAAACAGAAGGTCGTTTAGTATCCTCTGCCTAGGTGACCTCACTACATCACAGCTCCAGCAGACATCCTTTGACTCCTCTATGTGAATCACTCTGTCCCTTGTATTACAGCAAGCACAGAAACTACACAGTGCAGTATCTACACAACGGAACCTCCTCTGAATTGCCTGAACTCCACGTCCCACAGGCATCTGGATTCCTGGACATCAACCACGACATGACGCCAGGTAACTATAGCAACCATGGTCCTTATCTCTTATATGTGGTTCTATGTTTGGCAGACTAAACAGAAAAAATTCTTCACAAATCATAATAATCAACTAATTTTGGAATTGTCCATACTGCCATCCACATGTTTATTTCTTGACTAGACAGTATACTGTATTACGATTGAACTGAAGCACCCAAAAAAAATCACAACACAAATCATCTCCCTTCTTTCTATCCAATCAGAACACGTGTTACATCGACTTAAATCCAATTCTGAAAATCAGAAACTAGCAATAGAAAGTGGGGCTACAAATATCCCTCCTCTGCCGATGACTTATGTTGATGTAACACAAGACATTTAATGGCTAGCTTGTCCATTGTCAACGAGGGCGATGGAGACTCCATTGATCCACCATTACCGGTACATGATGGAGTTCTGTCTAGAAGAAACGTTTGCGCATCGTGCAGGGGAAGAGGTCCTAGTTTTCCCAAAGCATACAGAAATTACTGAGGCTTTGCAAATGATCACTTTTGAAACAACCTTGCTGATTGCACAACTAAATCTGATTGCAACCAATCACGAATCATGAACACTCGCACCATGAAAGGACCGTATTAGAACAGAGGTTACGTGGGAAGATATGACTTGAGTAACCTCTGTGGGAAGACAATGCTAGTTAACAGGTCAACCAAATAGTTAGACCTGTGTCATATAATTAGGAAACAATGTTTACACTGTTGATTGAATATTGTTGTTTCATGAGCTACAAGGGTGCTGCCTATGCTGTCAAACTTTCTATATTCTGTTCCTTATAGTGAAATGTTGCATTTGTGAATCGCCTTTGTAGATACTGTAAGAAATGCTTGCAGCTCTTGAATAAGAAAATGTATCAGTTAATCATTGTTTGCTTCTGAGAATGGTATATCTTAGTTTTCAAGGTTTGTGGGATCAACTTGCACTATGTCCTTGATGGTGTTCAGATTCCAGCCGTATGTCTTACAAACTGTGCCTGTGAAGTTCCGGGTTAGAATTGATCTTCAGTAACCCATGCTTGTCGAAAGAGGTGACTAACGGGATCGGGTGGTCAGGCTCGCTGACTTGATTGACACGTCATCGTTTCCCAATTGCATAGAACGATGCTCATGATGTTGATCACTGGATTGTCTGGTCCAGACTGGATTATTTCCAAACCTCCGCCATATAGCTGGAATATTGCTAAGTGTGGCATTAAACAACTAACCAACCAATCTTACAAACTGACACAATAAATGATGAAGTTTTAATGACAGTGTTGCCGTTTATATGTAATTGATGCTTGTTTTCTGTTCAGATCTGATTGTGATGTCTCTTGACTCCCAGATGAAAAAACAGTTTGAGATCTGGAATAATACAGTGAGTTTGTGATTGGCTAATTTACTAAATGCTTCACTCCTACAAAAGTGTCCAAATGTTCAACATGTGTTTGTACATAACAATACTGTAACCTGCCCGGGTCTAATGAATCAGTAAATCTGATGGTGCATGATGAAAGAATTTTGTGTCTTCAGAATGGAGAGTTCATTTGGAACCAAACAATTCCTATCCCTGATGAAGCTGTAGAAGTAGGACATCCAACATTTGTTGACATGAGTAAGTCCTCTGTTGCTTATATAACACTATCCTGAAGGAATTCATGGTCAGACACTGAGACAGTGAAATATCCAGACGGCTTATCCCTTTCAACAAGTTTCCACTCATCAGACTGCAGTCATATGGACATTTGTTCTGCAATAGTGATTTGCTTGATCAGCTAGTAAGAGAAGTAAAGTAAATGTTGAGTGTGATATTGAAATATATTGTGAACACATATTGCAGAATTTATTAAAGTTAGATATGTTTAATTATTTCAGATAGCGATCATCGCATAAACATTGTGTTACCAGCTTGCACAGATGCTGCCTGTTCCTCGAGTATGATCTTTGTATGGTCTCAGCACAAGGTAGACAACTCTGCTGTTCAATGTTGTAAAGGCCACTAAGAATATTTTTTGGATGGGCTTTTCTTTTATAATTACAATATTCTTGCTAAAAACAGCTCCTTATTTAGCTCTGGAGCTGCCATTTTCCGTTTTTGGCTTTTCTGAATCATAATGCTTGTTGTTTCTCGATGTCATCTATCGCTAATCTTTTACTTATTTGTGTTGTCAGTTTTCACAAATGTATATCTGTTTATCCAGTGGCACAAAATGGGCGTAAACTTCAAAGAATCAAATGGCAGAACGTGGAACTTTGTACCAATGGCAAATCAACTTCCTCCCGTGAATATTCCCCCAATGCTTCGTGCAGGGGATTTAAATCTCAATTCCTATCCCGACGCTGTCACCGTCCTGTCGACAAACACTAAAGGGTGAGTAACCAACTCTTACCTCGACGCTGTGAGTAACAAGATATTCTTGCTGCTGATCGGACATCCTCAGATATCTACAGTATTATCTCTCAGTCTCAGTCTCCAGCTCTCTCGTCACCAACTCACAATTTGTGTCCCACATGACCTTGAAATCAACAACCAAAAGCCAAACATTATTCCAGTATAGCACAAAAATAGTCTCACTTGCATTTATACTTTCATTCATTTTCAATTCAGAATACTGTATAGACTGAACTCTTATCTGGAAAGTTGTTCCATGAAGACTAAGAAAAGAGTAAAGTCCCAGTGGTCTTTGAAACTTCATGATGTAATTGTCTCAGACTCAAAATAAAGCTATTGTTGCAAATGGGGCTGGGATCGATATAAAAGTGTGTGAGTAGGTCTGCTTACTTTCACGCCACTTTTAGCAGTTTTAGCAGTATTCCATCAACATCGCAGGAGACACTGGAGATGTAAAAGATAGGGACATGATACAGAGGAAGATTGAGGTAAAGGTTCTGATGACTTAATGTTCACTGGGTCAGTTAACATGGTGGTGCTCTCATGGAGTGTAGTGGCAGGATGTGTTAGACAAACTGGCTATATTGTCTTCAACCTATAGAGTTGTAAGTTCAAATCTCAGCAGAAAGGAATGTGCAGTGGATGTTCATTTGTGTTCTAGTAACAAGACATATGGAGCTTTTTTCCTGGAGAATGTTGCCTGTTCCTCGGCATGTGACGGCTTCTCACAGACGTACAGCATCGCCTTCCACGCTCCCCTGCAACCCCTGGGGCCAGACATGCAGCAGGTGTCGTTCTTCGACCTGCAGGACGACGTGAGTGCACCAGATAATCAGATCAAGTGTGTGTGTTTGAGATTGGTAGTGAAATCTCAGTTGTCATACATACAGTAAACACACATTCATTGAAGAATAAGTATGATATGACTGCTGTTAAGACTATATTTGCATCAATGGTTTCAAGGCTAATATGTTCCTGGTGGGTGGTAGTTAGAGTTACTTCCCTTAGACTGGTGTATTCTGGGGAGCCTTTGAACAAAGGATGCTATGTGAAATGGGGTTTAACACTGCGCTGAACTTCTCAATGATTCCACTATGTGAGTGATATGCATGCACAGGTGTGTGCAGCTGCTTGTACTAGTGTGGACTTATCAATTGTGATAGTGCTGTCCCACTGAGATACTGATTTATCCCCTGTTGTAACCTTTCGTGTCTTTTGGGGATCGAACCACCTATCTTCCAATGTCTGCGTTGACACTCTGTCCACTACCCCATAAACGTTCATTCATTAAAAAAATTAAGCTCTTAAATCTTTCTGACTCGGGTCAGATAGTTAGCATGTAAATGTAATGGAGATATTTGTCTCTGAAGGGCGTGCAGAGGTCAAGCCAGTCGGTACAACAAAATGTCACTGTACAATATACATGGTTGATTGGTTGGACAGGGATTTACAGGACGCGAATTCCTGTGTCCTATACTCATAAAATTTGACAATGGACGCAACAAAATTTATTAGCACATCAACAGGGACGCAGAAAAAGTCCAAATACTTTTAAATTCCAATCAAGTAACAATAAGTTATCAAAGAGTTTGCTACTAGCTGGGTTATGGTGTCATTTGCAATTCAATTACTGTAACAAATAATATGATGATCATGATACATAAACAATATAACAGTATTCATAATAATATTTATGTGTCTGGACCCCCAATTTGTTGTCCGGGACCCCTGAAAATTAAGAGTCCCAGGGACCCTCAAAAACAGGACTCAAGGTAAATCCCTGGTTGGATTAGGAGAGGTATGTCTATCTGTAACATGGATGTTTGCTTCTGGTTACCAGGGTGTGTTGGACATCTTGGTTAACACCATCAGTTCCAAGGATGCACACATCACAGCTCTCAGGCAGACTTTCTCTGAAGACGCCTGCTTCCTGAAAGTGCTGGGTGAGTAGGCCTTGTCTTTAGGGGTTCCCATGGTGTAGTGTTTGGCGGATTGTATTCACTGTCACTGAGCTGATACGTTTTACATATTCACAGTTGTGCTGTGAACCCGCTCCCTCTTTCTCTCCTTCTCCCCCTTTCACTCTCTCTCCCACTGCCTCTCCCCTTCTTTCTTTCTCCCCTCTCTCCCTCTCATTCTCTCTCCCTCTACCTCACTCCATCTTTCTGTCCCTCTCCCTACCCGTGAAGATCCGGGTTAGAACTGGTCTTCAGCAGCCCATGCTTGTCGTAAAAGACGATTAATGGAATCAGGCTCGCTGAATTGGTTGACACATGTCATCATATTCCAATTGCGTAGATGGATGCTCATGCTGTTGATCAGGATTGTCTAGTCCATTTACAGACCGCTGCCGCATAGCTGGAACACTACTGAGTGCAGGGTTTAACAAGAACCAACCAACCAACTCTCCCTCTCTTTCTCTCTCTCACTCCCTTTCTCTCTCCTCGCCCTTTATTTTTTAAGTCATCTTCTATAGCGCACAGTCTCCAAGCACCAAGTGATTGTTTGTGGCACTTAATCAGAATCTGATTATTATTACCCCGGATAACCCAAGCTGCCTGTTATGTGCTAGAAGGTTATAGTCACATGACTTTATCCAACCGGGTACCCATTTTCTGCTGGGTGAACAGAGGCAATATTGAACAAACTCACTTGCCTAAGGTGAGACCACATGTATCACATGTGCTTCGGTGTGGGGCTGGACCGAAGTCCTAGAAACTCTCAGGAGTCAAGCTGCCAAACATGGTCAACCATCCAAGGACTGTCCGAGCTTGGCGTTGCTTAACTTCAACTGATTCGTGACCTGTGCTCTGTGCTTTCACTCTCTCGTCTTTCTTTCTCCTTCTCCCCTCCTACTCTCTCTCTCTCTCGTCCATACTGATAAGTATCATATAATCTATATACAGTAAGGCCGCGTTAATTCGAACAGTGCCGTTTTTCATTAAAAATGTTCGGATAGTGAAACGTTCGTTTTGCTGACAGAAGTCCAGTACACCACACTGCAGTAGATTTACTTCCCTTTCACTTCACTGATAGAGACAAAAGGACGTATACTGTATATATCCGTAGATAAGCTAAATTTTGAGGACCAAAAATACCTGTTTGTAGATTCGGGTCGGCTTATCCATGGGTTACACTTTTGTCAAACTTGTTTTCAGGGGGTAAGAAAACAACATCGTATCGCTTTGTGTGAATGAACAAACAAGAGAAGACAACTTTGTCAGTAAAGACATCAAATTTTCAATTAAACATGGCAAGACAAGATTATTTACGTATTCAGTTCTAATTTGTTTTTGCTAGGCATTATCTTATAGGCAGTGATTAAGATTACCCTGTGTAATTGTCTCGTATACAGTGCCGGAAATAGCAATCAGCTGTGCAGTGCACACATTCCCCTACCGGTGATGGAGTTAAAACGTACCGATGTTATAACGAGATGAATTCTGATGAAGTGATCTTAAAAATATAGTATCTGAAACTATTATTTTATAAAGAGAAATATATTCTAGTATTATGTCATTTTAATTGCAGGTTTTGCTTTATAAATGTAAAATATTTATAATAACTAAGGTTATGCAACAGCTTTCTGATGTATTGCTGGATAGTCTTTATGCATGGAACATTTGACCTGTTACCGATGAGGTTTCGCACGATCTCTCTGCGAAAGCAGTTTGTTGACATGTGATCATCCAGCTACTATAATTATGACATTTAGCGAACAAAGTATGTATGCGTATCCATTTACTGTCAACTACACTTTATTTTCGAGATGTGAGTAGACGCATTATGTTAGTGATTGGCTATTGTTAGGCAATACGGCCGCCGAATTAATGAAGCAAAAACAAGTACAATTAACTAATCCGTTAGCGATAATTGATGTTCGGAGTCGGAGACTGAAGCATCGGATTAATGAATCAACAATTGATGTGTTTATATAGTAAACAAGATTGGTTAGATCTTGAGTTTGTTCAGATGGCACGGGAATCGGATTATGGGGGACTGGACTAACGCGGCCTGACTCTACTATGGTAATGATGCACTTTTACTGTACAATGTTCTGCTAAATGGTGGGTTGTACTGCCAGCTTGTCCATGTAATGAAGATGCTGAATGAGGTTAGCTGTATGTCTGTGTTTCAGTTGTCAGTGGATTGTGCAATGAAAACTGCCCAGATGGACACAAGGTAGGTCTAGCGGTCACCTGTGTTCAGTCAGTAAGGTCTTGGGATTAACAGTCATCATACAAGTACAATCATTTTGAATAAGAAAACCAAACTTATGCTGTGTTTTTTTTACATTCATAATAATATGAAATAAATGTGTCAAGTTATGGTTGGAATAATCATGCTGTGTATTTAGAGGTAATCAAACACAACAGTGTCAACACTCTCGATTGAAGCAGATTTAATGTGGTTAGGGACTTGAGCACAAAATTCCATCATGTCTGATGCTTATGAACATGCTTTTGTGTTTTCATTGATAGTTGTTGATGAAATGTTGATATCGTTTTGATCATGAACTTTGGCAAGTAAATTATGTTATTGGGCAACTGAAGGGTCAGTTTACTTTGGTTCATCTAATGTTTGAAATGGTTTGTAAATTCCTGGCCATGGTCGTTCAGTAGGTAGTGACTATATCAGGGTACAACTGAGAGGTCAGTAAGATAGGTAGTGATGAGTGAAGAAAGAAATCTCCGAGTCAGAGACGATGCATGTAGTATTGAGTTTTATGCTGTGATATAGCCTGTGTTTGTTGTGTGCAGCCCTATGGCGTGAATCAAGTAGGTCCGGTTGTCCGATTCACCACAACACGAGCTGATGGTGACACACAGATTGGAGTAGGTGAGGCAACAGTTTATGTCTTACAGCTGTGTTACCTGCGACAAGCAGTCACACTCAGAAGAGAAGGTGTCTTTAATTAAATCAGCATGGTCAGGATTAGTGACCCGTCATTTACAGGATGCAGTGATGTAGCTAGATTGTTTTGGTTTAGAACAGTTTCTGATTTCATGTAATTTTTATATGTTTATAACAAACTCAGATCAACATCGGACTTTAATAGCAATTAGACATCCTAGCCCAGTAGACATCAGCTGTCTTGAGCTTGTTTCAGTATAGTGAGTTATCCCCCCTTATCTTCCACAGCCTCTCAGCTCACACAGACTGCCTACTTCTCCCTCCAACTTCCGTTTGTACATTTTGGTCTTGGACAGATGCCCAACTTTGTTGACAAGTTGGAAGTTGGTATACAACACCCCAAGGACAAGGTACAGATATTTACTGGCAAAGACAGGTCTGAGTTGTGCCCCTTTGAACAATGGCTAGACACTAAAACAATTTGGAACATTTGTATGTAGCTTTAATCATAATCTTTAATGGGGTCAATATTTAGATAAGGCAGTTTAGTAATGTATAGGTTAGATTTCTATCACCAGTTATTTACATGATGATGTAGATGGTCTATATTGCTATATATTTTATATTTTCCCCTGAATGAAACATTTAACGTCAGAATTAGTCAATACTGTTGTGCTTCCCAGTGCAACCACATAGCTGTGAAACTGTATCTCCCAGGCAATGAAAGCATTTGTTGTATGACATCATGTTTCCAGCCTCCACGTCACAAGGAGTGGACTCAGCTGATTCCAAACTCTCAGTTGGTGATTATCCCTTATCCACTGGATGATCCATCATCGTAAGTAGCACTTATACACAATCACACATACCCATACTCACTCATACACACTCACACAGAAAACTTAGCCTGGAGTATTTATCAAAACAGAATTGATATTTCACTTGGATACTTTGATACATTAACACTGGCCATTCTTGGGTTAGGTGAGGGGCCGGTTATTTATAAGGATGGGACGGTTTTGATGCACCTATATACTGAAAATAATTACCCTTCCCTAATGCCTGTCAGGTTTTGGGATGACCCTCCTATTCGCTTTGTACAAGGTACTGGGGCGGTTGGGTAGCCTAGTGGTTAAAGTGTTAGCTCGTCACGCTGAAGACCCGGGTTCGATTCCCCACATGGGAACAATGTGTTAAGCCCTTTTCTGGTGTCCCCCGCTGTGATATTGCTGGAATATTGCTAAAAGTGGCGTAAAACTAAACTCAGTCAGTCAGTCAGTTGTACAAGGTACTAGCTACACACTATTCTTGAACTTCCCCAGGGGTGGTAGGATAGCTTAGTAATTAAAGTGTTTGTTCGTCACTCCGATGTGTGAAGACCCTCGCCAAGATACTTTTTGTAACCCTCGACTCCCTCACGACTCACCAGCCTAGAAAATCTAAACTTTGTTATTAATACACTACTGAAATTATGTTATTGTTCCTTCTTAATCATGATGATATTCTCTGTGTCTGTGTGTGTGTGTGCATGCGTGCGTGCATGTGTGCGTGCATGCGTGCGTGCCTAGTGGTTAAAGCATTCACTAACACCGAAGGCAGAAGCATACTACTTACAACCTTGCCAAGCTCCTCTACAGCCACATGTCATGAGTTCCCCTGGTGGGGCAGACAAATGGTTAAAGCTGAAGACCTGGGTTCTATTCCCCACATGGGTACAATGTGTGAAGCCTATTTCAGGTGTCCCCTGCAGTGATAGTGCTAGAATATCACTAACAGCTGCGTTAAACTAAACTCAGTCACTCACTATTAACATGGGTGTGAATGATTGAAATAATATTCAGCTTAGTATTTGTTCAAGATTAAACAGACATTGAAGTTTTCTTTTATATACATTAAAAATTAAGTGAACCTTATAAGATTCAGTGTTTGATAGATTGGTACATGTTAAAAGTGCTATGATTTTCTTGAGTTTGGTTTATATAACTCCTAATATGAAAATGATATATCCGTGATTGACCTAATGTAGAATATCTGGTAATTCTTTAAGTATCTGTTGACAGTTGACGTTTACCATTGTCTGTATGCAGGTGGGTGAACATCCTGTTCCTGACACCGAGTCGGCTGGTTCTCCTGACGGGGGCAGCCCTGCTGGGAACGTGTGGGTTTATAGCAGGAATTGTGGGAATTCTACACTGGAGGGAAAGGGTATGTGTGGCTAAGTAAATAGTTTGTTAAATGGCGATGTTGTAATAAGTCATCCGTCACAATATCGCCCTTTGTGATTACGCAGGGTAATCTGTGGCTCCCTTTGAAAAACAAAATTGCCCAGCGATCACACATCTTCACGTCATCGGAAAAAGCATATGAACAAATCCACTGTTGTGTTCAGGTTAATCATGTTGTAAACTAGCGAAGTTCAGTGCAGATCATAATAGAAAGTGTTCATTGTGTATCAACTCAGTGCAGAGGGAAATTCACTTTGTCAATCTTGATTTGGAACATGATTTCTTTTTTATTTAGTTTTTACTTCCATCTGTGTGTGCTATATATTCTAGACATGAAGTGAACAAGGGTTGCTTCACTCATTGTGTTCATCAAACTTGTGTTTTCAGGCTGAAGACAAGAAAGAGAAACTACAAGAAGCTCACAAGTTTCACTTTGATGCCATGTAAAGTGCTTGTGAGACTGCCAACCACACACAGCTGACGTGACAGTTACTCAACCAGACATCTTCCAGACATCATTTGACTTAGTTCATGTAGCAACTACAGTAGAGTATGACCACTATAGATCTAGAAGTAACATGAAATAATTTGTTAGGCCAGAAATCTACACATTTACAGAGCATCAATAGACTCCTCCTTGAAGTATTGTCAGACAAATTTGTTGTCCTACCATGTTTACAGTGCCTATAGGAAACACTAGTCAACTTTGAATATGGTTAATTATGGGGCAGTGTTACGTGTAGCTGTAAATCTGATCGAAACAACTTGTCAAATTCTATTTCATAAAGAACTGAAGCTTCTCTCCATTTGAGAACCCAGTTCCACTAGTAACTTCCCATAGTTTACACAGTCTAGAAGAAACTCCAGAAGAATTCATTAAGACATCCTGTCTCTGCAGTTGTCTTTAATCATGTGTGGTGCAATCTTGTAGCAGAAGATAACCATATAACATGATGGACTTGAATATTGGTACATTAAGTTAGACGGTATTCAAACAATGAAGTAAGATTGTCCTTAATCAAGTTTGGAAAATCAGAACTGGAAGCACATTTGGATTTTACATTTTGCATAGAAAAATGGTATCATTTGTTTGAAATTTTGTAGTTTAGTATCTCTGACAGAGATTGCTCATGGATTGTGAGCCAAGTTTATTTTGATAGTTTGTAGAAACTATTGAACATGTTCAAGATGCCATTCTGTAATTCCTTGTGCCCTGACCTGATGACCTGTTGGTTGTCTGTGCATGCAAGGTAAAGGGGGACCTAGACACACTGTGGGTACTGTCAGTCTCCTGAACAACAGGGGTTCATTCTACAAACCTTCCGTAGTGTTAGACTTCACATAGACTTTGTAGACGGTGTCTTCTTGCAAAGAGGTATCACATTGTGGTAGAGATTTTGAAGAGATCAGTTACGGCTTCTTAGATACCATGCATTGTGAGGACCAGAAAATCACAGAACTTTGTTTCAACTGAAGCATACCTTGACCGTTTTTTCATTTCTGTGATAATCCTGAAACAGGGGAAAGTTTGGGGGACCTCAATGAATCTGAGCAGATAAAGTTGTCAAGGAAACAATGTAGTGATATGCTTGTTTTTCTCTGAGTTATCACGGAGTGCTTGGTATCCTGTGATATTCTGGACAATAAGTTGTTTGACTCCAGGTTTAGTATGAATCAGGTGGATATGTCTGTTGTCATGGAGACAGGGCTTATTGAAGAAGTATTAACATTGTTTCTGACATGCATGTATTTCTTAAAGCAAAAATGTGTTTGACCATATTCTTTGATTTTTATCTAAGTCTTGTAACAAACTGACAGTGTAATACGCTTCATTTGTTTTACAATTAGCTCTGCCTGTTTTCCATTTTAACATCTGGCATGATCTAGTGAGAGATTTTGTTAGTCACTCAAGTTTTCTGTACCTTTTGTAATTTGGCGGTTGCACCTGAGGACTTGCTTACGCTGTCACCCTTGTGGAAGGTTCAGAGTTGTGATATGTGTGAACCTGATCTGTATTATTCTTGCCTCTCTGCATAATCAAGGCTATTGGGATCAGCTGAAACCGAGGCTGTGTAAGTCTGTCTTGTCATAACTGAGAATCTGGTTCAAGAGGAGTGAGTTGAGCATAGTGCTGCTTTGGTCAGTGATGTTGCTTTGGTTGGAAATAAAGACGATAGTGATGCTGATTACAGTCACTTACCACGTCGGTGAAATCCATGGACATGAAACTGAAGCAACAAGGATAACTTTGGCATGAATTGTGTTTGAAAACCCAGCTGCTGCTATGACAGAGGCTCAAGCCTGAACTGTTACCGTCAGCCATTTCGCCTCTGGTTCACCCATGGCCACTTACATACTAAAGCCTATACACACAGACCAGACGAACAGCAATAGCTGTGGTTTTAGATACTGCTGCAATTAGCTGGTGTGCATTGTGTACCTAGGTGTGTTTGGATCCTATAAACCTTGGTTTTAACTCCCCTATTTGTCCAGATTATACTCCTTGTTTTGTTGGGGGGCCATACCTATTCTGTAGGGTTTCATCAAGGTGTCTAGTACCCGGATCACAATGACCGGGATATAACTATACATTCCCCTGGTCTGAAGTAGGGTCCGCACCAACTAGATATGCTTGAGTTTTTCATGTATTAATTTATTTCCTTTAACATTATATATTTCATTTGTATGTCCTGGGAGGTTCATATTCTGAGTGTGTCATCTTCCTTCATATCATTCCTCATCTTCTGGCAGTAAGTATCATGTATGTATGCGTTATTGAATTTTTCTAACCCTTGCAGTATTTGTTTTGTGAAGGTCTGAACATTCCAAGCCTAGTTTGCTTAAAGTCTGGGCAGCAAGATGTAAATCTGAGCTCTTTCTTGTTTGTTTCCGCCTCATTTGCATATTGTAAGTTTAATAATACGTGCAGTACATGTTGGAAACCATTAACATAGATCAAGGGAGATAACTGTTCCTAACCTGTATGTAATGTGGAGTGTTACTGCACCAGTTATAAACACAAACGTGTGATTTCTGGGAAATAGTTGCATTATGGGATATGTCTGCCCATAATTGGGATCAAATGCACAATACAGAAAGAATGATGGTATATTCTGACAGAGCATCTCCTGTGACTTGTGACATATGTATGCATGTGTGTGGAAGAGATATGGTGTTAGTCTTTTTCTTTTGCATGAGTGGTAGTTTTCAGGTTTGTTGGAAGTTTCTAGCTGGATCCTTGTCTTCTTTGTTTGCCTATACAGACAATCACAGAAATAGTGCAGTACCAGTCTGTTCAACTGTAAGCAGTTCACATTGTATTAGTCAAGTCCAAACATGAGAGTACTATGAAGGAAGCCTTAGTGTTTTAGTTCCTAAATCATACGGCGCTATACAAATTTTGTATATTATATCATTATGAAGACAATATTTGGTGAAAATGTGATTTGTTGTTGCTAATGCATTTACTGTCAAACACATTTGTTACTGCATGGTAACTATTCCAATGCAAGTAAACAGATCATACCTTAAGTACATCTCAAATCCCATTTGAGTTAAAGTTAACAGTTTAGCTTTATGACTGGTTCTGTGAGGTGGTGTCTGTAACAGACTGGGTGACGTCTACAGAGAACAGAGGTCCTGAGTAGTATATACTTCCTGTCTGTTAGATCTTAAGGCTACAACCTGGTGCTACCCTACAAACTGATCAACTACATGCCCTGTTTACATACTTGTATATGTATTTATTTTCAAACGCCTGTACATACTGTGTCTATATATTTATGTCTGTTGACAATAAAAGTTTGTTTTCCAAATAGTTTTCATCTTTTTCTCCAACGTTCTAATGTTGTTTGGTGATATATGTTTGAAAGAACACCGTAAGACTGTAACAGAAGTGGTTGTGTGTGCATGCATCGTGTATCTCCCAAGTAGTTTGACAGTGGTAAAGTTTGACCCATACAATCCCGTGATAATGGTTTTAGTGATATGATGATTCTGTATCAACCAAATCCAGCATAAGTTGCTGAAGACCAATCATAACACATAATTACCCGGAGAATACTGATAGGGAATTGTGTTATATGTAATTAAACAGAACAATGTAATCATGTTTATTGATGTGGACACAAATTCCAAGCACTATTTGAACACAATCCAGGTAATCAGGAAGGTGATATAAGGTATTGCACATGATATAAGACAGTAATGAACACATCAGGGACATAGTGAGGTGAGTTGTAAACTTTTTAGAGAAAATAACATCCTTATAAAATATATTGCTGCTATCCAGGTACACCAAATAATACAATAGTTACAAGATATGGATACAACAAACAGTATGTACATCAGTTTAACCAGCTGTTTAACTATCATAGAAAATTTACTATCATAGAAAATATATCAGTTTATTCCAACTCTAGAAATGTTGGTTGAATTGCCCCATTTGACTATGAGGAACCTTCGTTTATGAACAATACTCTGTAAGACATGTTACTGCTGCTTCTTGTGTTTCTGGGCCATGAGTCTGACGGAGTCTGCAGGATAGGATCCATAGCGACGCTTGCTGTAGTTTTTGGGCCGGATCCAACCGTAGGCCATTCCATCCTCGTTGGCTGGGAGCTTCTGCTTGATGACCTGACCTGGAACATAACACTTGTTTAACACACTCATAAACATGATAGAGAAGTGTGGTGGGCAAGATCACTGAGGTTTTGTTCAACTAAACAAATTTGAGATTGGTACTCTGAGACAATACGTCCAGCAGAGTTCATGTCGGAAGTGAGTGACGTATTTACCGCCTGTCATCTACTGTATGGTGCAGCTTGTTCTAAAGTTGCAATAATCTAAAGGCTACCTTTTATAATAAAACTGAAATTAAATAGTATTTGAACAGGGCTACAGATGCTGCAATAGATTTATAACTTCCCTCAAAGAATCAACAGCTCACCAATGTCTAGACTTACGCTCAGTCTCTGAAAATATAGAATTTGGATACAAACAAATATGTTTCACTGAGCTTCAGTGGGATTGAATCTGAGGAAAATCTAGTCCTGCTTCATAATCGGTTTTTGCTTTACAGAAGGGAAACCAGTATGGTTCAGGGACTGTGAGACTAACCAACGTCATAGGACAGGTGTGTTGACTGCCGGGACCAGTGAGCGCGGATGGCCACAACTCTGACGTCACTTAGCCTAGTGACGTCGACTGTGCTCGCCGTTAGCGCCTCCCTGTCAGTGTCCTCGTGACGCCGGGGTCCTCTGGCCTCCTCCTCGGACCCCTCGTCCGATCCTGGGGGTTCCCAGGCTATTACGGGGGTCGGGGATGTCGCGGGACGGTCCATGTGGGTATCCGAGTCTAAAGAAGATGTTACATGTATTTGTCCTGTTAAATAGTAATATAACACGTTACACATTAATATTAGAGACAATTATACTTTATGTATATACGGAAAACCATTGGAATATAACACGACACAGTTTGTAGGCCTTTAAACCAACCAGGGAGGTAAATTGTTTGATAGGTTATAAGTAAGATATGATGACTTAGATTTAAATCAGTTCTGAGAATATGTAGGGTTTGTTTCTCAAAAAGATTCACAGCACTTGTGTTTCGAACAAATTGTAAGGTACCTCTCTCAGTCCGAGTAGTGGGCAAGACTCTGAAATAGAAAATATTACTTGTGTTGTCCATTTAAGAAACATTGTTCCAGATGGTGTTAGATTTATCCCCCATAAAGGAAAGATGAAAACATACCAGCACGCACATAGGAACACGTGATAAATGATCTGATTAAATGGGTCCCGTTGGTATAGTCGTATGGCTTCTTCATGACGATGGGCAGTAATCAGTTTTACATAGTGCCACCAAATACACTACAGTCGGAAATACATGTATGCTGACATGAGCGCAGTACAACACAGTGTCCCGTTGGCATATAAACGCGCAAGATAAAACCTCGAAACAGCTGTCTGTATAAGGCCAAAGTCATTTTAGGTGTTTCTCATATCCAGATTCAACCAGCGAGAGAGCAGTCGGACGACAAAAATGAACCAACTTTCTTTAGAATACAGACCACTTGGTCCTAGTATTCAAATTAATGTATGATGTAGATAGAATCGCTCTACTTCGGGAACATATTTAAGTATATACGGACAAAGAAAGGTCAAGCTCATCTCGGGTATTTTTCATGAGTGTGCAAAGGTTAGAGTGTTTTTTATCACACAATGGCATAAATTGTGATGAAAATTGTCAAAAGAAAACGTTTAAGTCGGATTTAAAATTCAGTAAATAGGAAACACAGACATCCTTAGTATCATCCTTAGTACCGCGTGACGATACACTATGTCAAGCCCATTTATGGTGTATTCCGCGTGATATTGCCCGAATATTGAGAAAAGCAACGTAAAAACCTTGATTCACTCCCTCACTATCTACATACAGGTCACTCACAACTCCCTGCTGTCCGGTGCGTCCAGGTCCACATCACTGTTGTCGTCCACTGTGGCCTGACTGTCCTTGTTGTCCTCCTGGCCGTGTGTCCGGTAGTCCTTCAACACGCATTGGACAATATTACCAATATTACCTTCGAAAAATGTTTGCTTCGTGTTGATTGGCTACTTCGTGCCAATTGTTCCACTGTTTCAAAGTGCGAAGAGGACAATAGCAACGTAACGTCATATGAACGCTTATCACAAATAGGTTGTAGATGACGTCATCCAGTGTTCATTGTTCACAGAATATTTCATCTTCTTTACGTATTTATGTCGAAAGTCGGGTTTCATCACTGGTTTTCGGTGTCTGGTGTTCCTATTGTATAAGTTTCAAGGCTACCTTGTCCTTTGCCCCCAATGGGATCTTGGAGACAGTTGTCCTTTGATCTTGACTAAAGTCTCCACTTCAGATCAATCAGAAGCTACCTATTTCTACAGCTTGTCAGATACGGTCATTATAAAGACTAACATTCGCAATTTCGAATATCGGTTTTCATGTCTTTCGTGAGTTACAATTAGGTTTACAAAATCAATTTCCGTACAACGACATTCAACGAAAATAGTAGGTTATTCTCAGCACATGCGACCGCTGATTTCACAATAAATAGTCAGTTCCTGAAAAAGAATTAACTCTGCTTGATGCCATGGTAAACAGTTTTCTCGTAAGTATTATTTTTAATTCTTTTCCCTCCTACAGAACTGAGTATGTGTGCGTTCTGTAAACATTACATCAAAATACGGTTACAACGAAGTCGGTTATAACGAACCTAGGCTGACGTACCTCGAACTTATGGAACGTGTGTTCCTTTGCAAACAGATTGCTGTACTTGTTGACCGCGTCCGTGACTGAAAACTCCTGCACCATAGTCTGCAGCTTGGCAAGTCTCTCCCTGCTCGGGTCCCTGTCAGTGATGTGAGAGGGAAACAAGGTTATAGCCTCGTGGTAACAACCCCATTCCATCGTCAGTCACACCAATTATAAAATAGTCAGGTACTACTGCGAAGGATTCAAGTCGAGGAAAATGCAATAGATCTTGTGACGTCTATCTTACAGCATATCTATATCTTATACTAAGTATTGCTTGTTTTCTTGAAAGACACAGACACAATCATGTCATCGTATCCCAACTGCGTAGATCAATGCTCATGCTGTTGATCACTGGGTTGTCTGGTCCAGACTCGATCATTTACAGACAATAATAATAATGGCCATTTATAACGCGCCTTATCCACACACTTGTGCATGCTCAAAGCGCTAACACATTATTACCCCGGATAACCCAAGCTGCCTGTGAGGCGCTAGAAGGTTATTAGTTATTGTCCCACCGGGTACCCACTTTCTGCTGGGTAAACAGAGGCAATTTTGAACAAACTCGCTTGCCTAAGGTGAGACCACATGAGTCACATGTGCTTCGTTGTGGGGCAGGACTGAAGTCCTAGAAACTCTTAGGCGTCAAGCTGCCAAATACGGTCACCCATCCAAAGTCTGTCCGAGCTCACCGTTGCCTAACTCCAACTGGTTTGTGACCTGAGCTCTGTGCACAGGACCACGTGCCACCACAGACCACAGGCTCTCGTGTCTTTGTGAGGATTAAAGATTTAAGAAACTTATATAAAAATTTGAGATGACCCCCGACTCGAAATGAAGCATTCGAACACACAAATGAATAGGGGTGGGTATTGCAGAGAATTTTCACATTGCGATGCGAAAGAATATATATTGCGATATGTACTGCAATATATTGCAAGAAGTTGTTTTTGACAAAATATCGAGTTAATGCTTGATTTATAAAGGAAAACCACAACAAAATCACTATGCTTGATTAAGCTTTAAAAAATCCCTATTAATCATGACAAAAAATGAAAAAAAAATGTGAATAATATTTGGCACAAATGAAACAAGGAAATATCCGAAGATTTCCGAGTGTTACGAAGTTTTCCGAATGCATGTCAAAATACCGGTTTTCCATCAGCGTATCGGAATACGTATCGTTTTTACGTCTGAACCGGTAAATACCGGTAAACCGGTTTTATTGCGCAGCCCTACAAATGAAGCATTTGAAGCATCGGGGGTCATCTCAAATTTTTATATATTTTTCTTAAATCTTTAGTCCTCGCAAAGACACGAGGGCCTGTGCCTCAGACCACCACCATACAGCTGCAATATTGCTGAGTGCGGCGTGAAACAAGAAACCAACCAATGAACAACAGTTTGAATTCTAGCACACAATCAAATACCGCTGTGTGCAAGTTGAATGGACCTACTCCAATACTCCGAATTATGACGCAATTAGGAATAACCAGGGAGTCAGCTTTTTACTTCGAGACAACCGGGAGTTCGACACAACGGTGTTTGACTGTACGTGTTATCATCACATTCGGGGTTTCTATAGGGTACACATTGACGATATACTTACCTCTCGCTCCCATCCAACATTGCCAGATCCTTCAGCATGTCTTGGACCCTGTCACACACAGCCAGCAGACGCTGCAGCTCGTGGTCGTTATAGGCAGCCTCGCACTCCCTCATGTCCTGCAGTACAGTCAAGTCAAGTGGACAGGTATATCAGTCAGGTCGGGGAGAAACTGGCAGCGTTTAGTGCACAGGTATGGGTTAAGATCAGGTCGAATGTGGAATTCGAACACACAAGAGATCCTGACAACCAAGGGACATAACTCTGCACGTGTAATTATGCTACAATCAGCACCTACATGCAACCGAGGTAAGAGATCCTTTAGGTCTAATTATATTCGGTTTCCATCATTATCTAACATGGGTAAACATGTTCTAAAATTGTGATTTATTTATTAAGCTCAATCTCACCAGGTTTGGTTCATCCCTTAGAAAAGATTAATAACTTCCCAGGAGCAAAGGAATAATTCGAAATAAAGTATTGTTTTAAGTTCAACTCACGCGAATGAACTCCTGTCTGTTCATGATGTCTACTCGGAGACGACTCTCGTACCGGAGATAGGTGTCGGTAGCCTGGCGGGACAGCTCCGCACGCTTCTCCTCTAAGTCCTGGTACTTCGGAGACGAGTCACTCCGGAACGGGAATTCCGATATGGACTTCTGCACGTGCTCCAGAGCGCTTTTCTTCCGATGATATCTCTGTAAACATACATTCGAAAACTAAAATTTGGGAGGTTTGAGTCAACTGTGTCAACCGAGGTTAACACATTTCAAGCAACCAGGCTTGACTCTTGATTCAACCCGTCGGAGTTGGCTGTTGATAAAGGGTAACTGAGCGTAGTACCCGGAACAAAACGCAAAAATGCAACCGTAGATAAAATACAAAATAGCTGAATGGAAATACCTCATAAATGACATTGAAGTGCATTGAATGCAAAAACTGCACTGTAAGTGAATGTCATAAAAAGAATTGCAGAAGACATCTCATTTCTGTTATAGTAAGTAATTGTAATAGACACCAGTATATTTGTGTATTAATGTAATTAATTGAAACACCCCCATTTGTATTGATATAGGACACAGCTATCACTGCTTTAAAGCAAGTTCCATTGCCTGACACAGCTGTCTTTGTGGCCATTCAATACACGTAAATGTAATGGTTAAATGTGGTGTAGTTGCTTTCTTGATTGGAAAGTGTGTATTGTTACGAGTGGATCCACAATATGGCCTCCCTACATAACAGAGGGAGATCGCACAACAATGACATACGATCACTCAATCATCCCGGTCTCGTGCGATTTATTTTGGAGAATGTGCACACAAGTAGATTAAATACGTATAAAGACTATCACAAATTAGATATATTCAACCAAAAAGAAGGGGACCGTGCTGAAAGATGTTCACATTTACCAATTATGGTACCTGCCTTTTCTTCACAGCGGTACAAGAATGTATAACAAAATATACCGTGTACTCCTATCCATTTTTACCACATAACGTCGTAGGTCTGAGGTATACCTTTGTCCATGTGAGCCTCGGTGTTAAGCGCATTTTGATAAAAAGAAATTCGAAGGTCAACACGTGAACATGCATGACTATTGGTCAACTGTTTAGATCTGAATAATAAATTAGAAGTCACAACAGTATACATAAGCACTTGATATTGTTACTAAAAGTTCCGCGCCGGTTCACTCCAGTGCACATTCTCTCCGAATTTCGCCATGAACATACAATACGTACCTTTTTAGCTTTCCGAACTCGCTCCTCAAGCTTCAGTTGTTTCTCCATAGCCTCGGCATACTTCGCCATTGTCGCGGACTGGGCCTCGCGTTTAAAGGTGTCTTTGTAGTGCCTGAAGACGTAGAGTGAGTGAGTGAGTATGGTTTTACGCCGCTTTTAGCAATATCCCATCAATATCACGGCGGAGGACACCAGAAATGGGCTTCACACACAGTACCATGTGGGGAATCGAACCCGGGTCTTCGGCGTGACGAGCGGACGCTTTACCCATTAGGCTACACCACCGCCACCAATAGACGAAGGAAGCCATGGAGACATGCAAGAAGTCTGGTAGATCTAAAGCAGCAGACCCGTGAAGGTCCGGGTTAGAACTGATCTGCAGCAACCCATCCTTGTCGGAAGAGGCGACTAACGGGATCGGGTGGTCTGGCTCGCTGACTTGGTTGACACGTCATGTCATCGTATCCAAATTGCGTAGATCGATGTTCATAGTGTTGATCACACTTATATAACTTAAAATATATCTCAGGAGGTAAACGCAACCCACTCACTCATACACAAACACACATGTACGCACGCATGGACACACACAAACAACACACACATACATACATTTACAAATATATACATGAATAGTAATGCCTGTCACGTGGTATTCAAACTGTACACAAACCCAGACACCGGTCTGGTTTACTCACTTTTTCAACATGGTCGCCTCGTTCAAGATCCTGTTGGCAACTTTGTTGTGTAGCGGCGCCTTGTCCGTCGGTTCATTGAATATCTCTCTTAACACGGTGCGGAACTCGTGGTACTCGAAGTCTGTGAATAAGCCCCATGGAATTGTACAGCAATCGTTTTCACATTACCGACAAAGGCATAAAGAATATGCTTCTGAACAGGTAAATTTTATAGGTGTGAAGTGCCCGATCACTCTCCCGTACTGACTGGTAATGTCTATCGTATGACGTTCATTATATTTACAAAACAGCAGACAAGAGCAGTAGGTACTGCCATTGGGTGTGTGTTTTATATGTAAACGCATATTTTGTGTGAAACTGACAAAGGATTAGGCAAGTGACATACTTCGAACTAGCACTCTCTCATGAAGATTATTGCAATATACTTATAAACAAGAATCTACTACTTTCTAGGGATTCGGCGGGTTGAGTTCGACGTAGCTTTCAGCAATATTCCTGCAATATCACGCCGGGGGCACCATGAATGGGCTTTTAACATTGTACCTATGTGGGGAATCAAACTCGGGAGTTCGGCGTGTCGAGCGAAAGCTCTAACCACTAAGCTACATATTGTTCCCACTCGTCCTCTTTCTTTCCACACTAAACCCGAGAAGATCCAGGCACGAATTGGTCTTCCGTAACCCATGATTGTCGTAAGAGGCGACTAACGGGATCGGGTGGTCAGGCTCGCTGACTTGGCTGACACATGTCATCGTGTCCCAAATTGCGTAGATCGATGTTTATGCTGTTGATCACTGAATTGTCTGGTCCAGACTCGATTATTTTCAGACTGTTGCCATACAAACCAGCCAACAAATATTTCACACTAAATTCGTTTCATGTTGATTTTAGTTAATTCACCCACTCCACACTTACGTCATGTTTCAAAAACCCAGACTTTTCGACAAGGATCTAAACTGGAAAGTAATCAACTCATATTTTTTTCAGAAATAATCAGCATAATGAATAACATATGTGTATATATGCAGAGAGAAAAACATGGATTACAGTTATATCCATTAACAATGGGGAATATAATGATGCCTTATCCTTCACTATAGCCCCACGGTCAAGTGATCAATGTAGAGGCATTACGATCATACACTAACCTAATGTGTCGGCGAGTTTCCTGTTCCACCTGGCTGCTAGTTGTTCCAGAGCGACCGAGTAGTTCATCTCAAGCCGAGCCCTGTCCTCCATGTACTCCGACAGGCACTTCAGGGACCTTCGACGAGAACACGTGAATGTTAGAGTCACGAGACAACTGTCGGTGGAGTCTTACCGCGTCCAGCATGTAGCACTGCGCATTCACGCCCATTACATAGTGTTACCATTTAGGAAATCAGTTCTGAGGTTGGTGTGACCGAGCCTGATACGTAAAATAAAATATAAAATAATTCTTCAACACTATTGGTACTACGATGGTGGTAATGGTGTAACCCATAAACTACTACTACTACTACTACTACTACTACTACTACTGTTATAGGCTTGCTCCAAGGCTGTATTGAATTTTGAGCCCATGGGTGTATAGTAATTCTATCCTTCAAAGAGGCAAGTCTAGATAGGCAGACAGTACGATAACGTCTGATACTTTTAGAAATTATCATTTAAACAGTTTACTATTAATTTTGACCTTCGAGACTTATGCAAGTCTACTATTCCTCCTCCTCCTCCTCCTCCTCCTTCTACTACTGACCCGTGAAGGTCCGGGTTAGAATGAACCTTCATTAACCCATGCTTGTCGTAAGAGGCGACTAACGGGATCGGGTGGTCAGGCTCGCTGGCTTGGTTGACACATGTCATCAGTTCCTAATTGCGTAGATCGATGCTCGTGCTGTTGATCACTGGATTGTCTGGTCCAGACTCGATTATTTACAGACCGCCGATATATAGCTGGAATATTGCAGAGTGCGGCGTAAAACTAAACTCACTCACTCACTACTACTACTACTACTACTACTACTACTACTACTACTACTACTACTACAACTGAAGAATCCGGACAATTAACTAATCATCAGTAAAGGCCGATGACACTAAAACTATTGCTACGACTTCTGCTGAGACTAAGACTTCTACTAATGACGATGTTCAATCACTACCTTACACTAACTGCACTATACCAGTGTATCCGTGCAATGTAGTAGTAGTAGTAGTCGTAGTAGTAGTAGTAGTAGTGGTGGTAGTAGTAGTAGTAGTAGTGGTAGTAGTAGTAGTAGTAGTGGTGGTGGTGGTGGTTGTAGTAGTAGTAGTGGTGGTAGTAGTAGTAGTAGTAGTGGTGGTAGTAGTAGTAGTACTACTAGTAGTAGTAGTGGTAGTGGTGGTGGTAGTAGTAGTAATAGTAGTAGTAGTAGTAGTAGTAGTAGTAAGACATGTTGCGGTATCCGCGGGCATATTCCGGGTATGAATACTAGTATATACTTGTGGAAATAGGCGGCTAAATGGATCCACATTTCTTTAATAGCCGGTTTGTATAAGACAGTCCTCCAATCCACACGACGGTCGTTCAAAGCACATGATATATTATTATCCGGATGAAGGGCTTACTTGTACACACAAATTGTATGTTCGGCTCCCTGCAAATCAGATGTAACAGTACTTATATTAGGTCACCATTATTGGCTGCACACCGACATACCGTTATTCCAGACAGCAAATCTCTTTATACTAGCCAGGATAGCCGTTATGACTTGCACGCCCCATGCACAAACAGTGATATAATCTTAAAGGGTGTCGATATTTGTGTTCATCCTATGTAATACTTTATCGATTGTAACCAAGTCTCTTATTTGCCTAGCCTAATATCCAAGATTTACTACATTTTGTACCGTTAAATTACCACTCTTTCCAAACAACGCGGGATCACTGATAAGCTCCAAGCCTCATACGAGCAAGATGGAGACATCGTTTTGGGAATGTGCAAGTACTTGGTCATTGTATGTTCCTCAAATTGTGCTTAGTCCAAAGGTCAAATGCCCCTGTGTATTTTACCGACTCGTCACAAAGAATCATTCTGCTCAATCGACAAATGTTTTGTGCGTGTAAGTGTTACAGTCAGATTGTGAAATCAGTCATTTCGTGATGATGCAGCCATTGTTGGTCAGATGTATGATTATGAATCAGAACGACGATACAGAGATAATGTAAAGAATTTCACATCATGGTGTACAGAGAAATGAATCATTTGATTTTAAATGTGAAAAAGACAAAAGAACTCTGTATTGATTTCAGAACTAACTCCCCAACAGTACCGCCTTTGTTCATTAATGATGAACCAATTGAGACAGTCACTGAGTACAAGTACCTTGGAACTTTTATTGATAGCAGGTTAACGTGGAACACCAGCACAGATGCCCTGTATAGTAGATGTCAACAACGCCTCCATCTAATGCGCAAACTGCGATCTTTTAACGTTTCCCAATCTGTTATGATGTTGTTTTATACCACTTTTATTCAGAGTATACTCACTTTTTCTTCTCAGTGCTGGTTCGAGTCTCTTTCAGTCAAAACAAATCAAAACTTAACAAAATTGATTGTAAATACAGCTAGTAAAATAGCCGGGGTCACTTTCGATAATCTTTCACTTCTCTATGAGCGGCAAGTACTTTCAACGACTGAAAAAATCATTAATGACACAACACATATTTTAAATCTAGAGTATAAGCTTTTACCTTCGGGCCGCCGCTATACAGTGCCAATCACCAAGACTAAACGAGCTGGTTCGAGTCTCTTTCAGTCAAAACAAATCAAAACCTAACAAAATTGATTGTAAATACAGCTAGTAAAATAGCCGGGGTCACTTTCGATAATCTTTCACTTCTCTATGAGCGGCAAGTACTTTCAACGACTGAAAAAATCATTAATGACACAACACATATTTTAAATCTAGAGTATAAGCTTTTACCTTCGGGCCGCCGCTATACAGTGCCAATCACCAAGACTAAACGAGCTCGAACGTCTTTTGTACCTCAAAGTATTGCAATTTTAAACCAATGTTGAATGTCCAGTTTTCATCTTATTCATTTATTTCTATTTAAGCACATATTCTTTTTATGTTTTTAGCAATGTCATATTTTATGTTGTTATTCATTTATATTTTTGTCGAGCTCTGTGAACCAAAACGAATTCCTTTTCAGGTAATAAAGTATTGTCTGTCTGTCTGTACCTCTATGATATTGTTTAATGTCCACAAAAGGAGTTCACTATTACCCAGTCCGCGCGGCTGTAGCCTTGTCAATTACCCATCGTAGCTGTGGATTTCGTTGATATTTCCTGACACGGTCTTACTGTACGACGTCCACTGGTCGGTATTATATACTGGACGTCAGATAAGTAGATACATTAAAAATGGAGCTACAAATAGATATAGAGTTATTCAATTTGTATGCCAACTTTGATTAATATCAGCACAAAAGGATAAGATGAAGATTCAACATAAGTATTGTCATACCTATTTCCAGAACTGAAACGCTTAAAAGCATCCTGATGTAAATATCTAGTCTTCTCCGGCGGCGCCGCCATCACACCGTCGACTACCTAGACAACGGCAGCTCGGTGCCGCGCTACTTCAACACCGGTGATTGTCGCGCCGGTTTCTGGGTGAACCTCCTTCAGTGGTATGTGACGTGTATGTGTACAGTGTTCTGTGACGTCACAATTGATGACGTACTCCGCAGTAGAAACATTCAGCCATGTATGTAATCAATTTCTTTAGTGTAAACATGTAATGTCGGCTGCACTAACTATCTCCATGTCCACAGTGAGGACATGCACTGTCACTGACCCGTCCCATGGGTCAAACAGGGCCCCAATGGTCACACATCTGACAGTGCAAATAAATGACTATAGCACATAAGTGAGGGGATGAAGAGGCACACACACCACCACGCCGCCCCTTTTTGCATGCTCACCACCATGCATCCATACAAAACACGTGTGTAAATAAATAGTCAAGTGATATGTTTTTAACAATAACAAAAAGACAAACTAAAATACAAAAACAAAAGACCACACATACACAAAAATACTTTAATAAAACAACATCACAAAAACAAAACAAAAACCCTCGGGTACCATACGAAAATTGACTAGCTTATTACAGGCATTCATACAGAAAGTTGAATTATATTGTTCGAGTTTACCCGGTACTGTTTATTGTTCGTAATTGGAATTAGACTTTGTTTCATTAAAACCATTAGTCAGTTTCAAAGAGAGACAAAAGTAATTGTTTCCAAGTATGGTGTTAAGTGGGGTTGCGAATCACTGAACATTGTGAACGTAAACTGGGGTCCTGTGTGTGCATGCATACATTTTGTAATAAAACGCAATTTCCTGATTTGTTCTTTGGTCTTTATCATTAATATATTTTATGTTTTAACTGGTTTCAGGTCATTCGATAAATGTACATAGTTTGCATGTATAACCGTATCAAGTTTAAGAAGTAAGGTTTCCGGGGGAAATAATTAACACGTATTGTTTATGTTAACAAACAAGGTCTTCATAGATCAACCTGCCAGCAGAGTGCTATTAATCACATCCAGATCATAAAGATTTATGTGACTAACACGTTCATCATACGTTCCGTCATATCAAATCCGTAAATGTGAAATTATCGCCCTTCCGTTCGTTTCGTGGTCACTATCTATGGTGTCAGTAGCTGGAACGCGCGAGCACACACACGTGCATATGACATGCATACACAAACGGTGATTATGTAATTAATGAGAATACGACAAATTGAGTCCATTACACACTTTTCACCGGTGGGAATAATTTTACAAGACATCACTTAATACCGTGAATTAAATAATTACCTGATGCATTTCAAGTTGTTGGTCTGGTACGACATTTTTGTTCCACACATATAGTTTAGCGAGGACACTCGGTTACACATGGACCCAATACAGCAGTTAGTCCTCTGATGGTAAACTCAGTCCCTACTTCCAACTATTGTTTACAGTTGGAAGTACACTTTCGATCGAAAAATGATATACACACTACCACATCAGAGTCTCACCAAACAACATGCGAAATGTCCGGATTCCTCTCGATGCTGTAATACCGGTACACAGTTAACAAGTTGGCACTGCTGTAGCAGAAGTAGTCGTGCAGGTGTTGGAGTCGCACAAAAATGTACACTAGCTAAGACATTTCCGACGTGAATGAGTCAGCATGTATCCCTTTCTTCAGAAACAAAACAAAATCATATTACACGCTGCCCATATCTTATGTTTACGGAAACGCTTTTTATTTATAAAATAAGAGTCTACCATCATCAGCACGATAAAGTGAAAAGCGTTTCTGCATTGTGTATCCAGTCTCCCAGATATCGGGACTTTCTCACCTTCATATTAATGTCTAGAAAGAAAGGTATCGTCCACACTTTCCGAGCACGCGTTCCCTCGAGGACAAACGCACATATGAGGCGAGATCTGTTATAATTGGGTAATCCCTAGTTACTAATACCTCAGAACTTTTCATGGCGGCCGCACGTTACTATGGCCCACTGATTAATGGGTGTAAGCCTGGCAATCGAGACCAAAGCTTAAATGTGACAAGTAAACAAAACGGTAATCGGGAGATTATTTCGGTTAAATTACTTACGAAAATAGTTGTTATAGCAATGAACGGTCTCATCACGACCTCTGTAATATCACATTATTGTTAATGTACAAGTTCACTAGAATATGCATTAAAATGACATGTACGAAAGTGTTTCTGTCATACTACAATTACTCACATGAATTAATATTTTAACAAAATATATTTTAACAATCTACTCTTAGTTTTTTTAATTTTCCTACATTGATTAAATTATATCTTCCACAAATAGTACAACACGCCGAGAAATATCCTTTAAACGACTCCAGATTTAATTAAAATGTATATATTTGTAATAACGTTCGTCAAACGAATTTCTCTCTATTACTAATTCAAATTGAATACTGAAAGATTGTATATAAGATATTAGGAATATTTTTCTCCTTATTTGTGCATTTCATATTATTCCACTTAAAATGTGATGTTCGTATGCGTATAAAACAGTTTACTACTATCTCGTGCCATCTCCATGTTTGATAGTAAATGAATGAATGAAACTACGCTGACGACCTCAAAGAACTTCCCATATTACCGCAGCAACCACGGTCAGAGGTCATATACGAATGACAACAAACGGCACGCGTCACAACCGGAAATTCACTGTGCCTGTCTTACAAAGTAGGGCGTAGGTTAGTTTCCAAAAACATTATATAAACTATCTTTTTACATCATTTTATTAACAGGTCATACGTAATATGTTCATTCATAGCTAATCGTATAAAGAAAATATATGTCGAATCATTATTCAGGATTAGTGCGATCGTTGTGCTTCCTTAGCAACGCGCAGTAATATTACGAAGGGATTTGTCCCTTGACAACTACACTTAGACACACACCACACAACGGATCCTTCACTTGACAACTTGGTGATCAAGGGAGAAGTTGCATATAAGGGCGAGGAGCAAGAAGTTCGGTAGATATTCTCCTGTAAAGTCCCTTAGCATCAGTCGAAATGTTCAAGAACACATTTCAAAGTGGATTCCTATCCATACTTTATAGTATTGGAAGCAAGCCTCTACAAATATGGGACAAAAAGGTGAGTAAACTGCTAGATGTGTGAAACAGTTTTCCATGGATACAGATGGATAGCAACCGGGAAGATTGTCGTTTTCTCGGTTTGTGTGAACACTTGTGACATGACAGCTGTTAATGCAGCAAATATACGGTATCTACAGACGTTATTTGGGTTTATATTTTACTTTTATACCTCCCATTTTATGATATTAGCGCTGATTTGTGACTCGCTCAGTTATGTACTATGCCGTCGAGAGACGCCTGTCAGTTCACTGCTATTTCGGTTATTTTATGATACGTGTCTAGTTGCACAGCCATTATGAATGTGTTACAACCCTGTCGTTTATAATTTGGTACGTCTAACCTTATGTGATCATGAAGGCTTTCTTTTCTGGCATCAATATTTTGGTTTATTTCATGCTCCGTTTTCATATGATCGTTTCCCCTTAACACAGCCATTCTGTGCCGTTATTTATCAATATTTAATAGTATAAATGATTAGTGATAGCTAAGTAATTAATATGTAATGAATATTTTGGAGTACGAGGACGGTTGCTATGATCTTTTAAAATTGTTTCATTTCAATACACATCAAGTTGTCCGCCATTTTGGATTGTTCACTGACCTATTTCATATGTATAACACATGTGTTTTTGTGTTTCAGGTCCGAAATGGGCATATCAAGCGTATCACAGACAACGACATCCAGTCACTAGTCTTAGAAATTGTTGGGACAAATGTTAGGTGAGTAGTTTTTCGGAAAGCGGAAATGATTAAGTCCTTTGTACCGGTACCACATGGGAAGGGCAGATAACTCTTGTGTGTCTATGCGTTCTCGCTCATGAAAGAAACGTCATAAAATATCCAGTGGTGACTGCAAAAATTGTTATGATTAAACAACGATATACTTTCACAAATGTTATGAAAAAATACTCTGAAGATAGGTAGTCCAAATTTATACGTAAAATCCAAAACCACAAATTACATCAATATGAGCATAACAAATGGTGGGGATGTTCTTATATTACATTACTGACATTCTGTTTTCTTTTACAGTACAACATACATTACGTGTCCAGCAGACCCAAAGAAGACACTTGGTATCAAGCTTCCTTTCTTAGTGATGATCATCAAGAACTTGAAGAAATATTTTACATTTGAAGTTCAGGTAATCAATCATATCTTTGTTTTTATTATGTTCAAACAAACAAACAATTTGAAATTGGAGGAAACAACTGTACAATTCATTAAAAATAACACATGCACAAAAGTGATTTGAATATTGATGCAAAGTGTATTTCAGTCAAATAAGTATTCTCTTTTTGTCCTATTCAGGTATTAGATGACAAGAATGTAAGGAGGCGCTTCAGGGCTAGCAATTACCAAAGCACCACAAGGGTGAAACCCTTCATCTGCACGATGCCCATGAGATTGGATGATGGCTGGAACCAGATCCAGTTCAATTTGTCAGACTTCACCAGGAGAGCCTATGGAACGAACTACATTGAAACTCTTAGAGTACAAGTAAGTATTGGAATTCAATATATATTAGCCATTACAGCAATGTATATATGTGATCTGAAGTTCAGTTCGTACATGTTGTGGGCAAATTGTGATGTTAAGCAAGGTCATTTGGGTCCTCTACAATAGTACCTGAGTTTGAGCCCATAAATCTTTAATGATTAACATTATGATTAGTAAGGACCTCATCAATATCATGCTTAATTGTGAACAGTGAGACAAGAACGGAATCATGACTCAGAATCAACTGTTGACTGTATTGTTATAGGATAAATGTTATTGTTGTGTTGAGGTTAGATTTTACATGTTGTCACTTGTGTTTTCAGATCCATGCCAACTGCCGTTATTCGTCGAGTGTACTTCTCTGACAGACTGTATTCTGAGGATGAATTACCAGCAGAATTCAAACTTTAC